TGCCAGGTTGTTCCTCTTGTATATAATCATTGACGTCTCAGGTCCCTCGATGGGACTTGAGAAATTGATACGTTCGGGTTCCATTAAATAGGAGCAGTTAGTCATTGAAAACATTTTATCTCTTGTTTTATTATGCAGTCAAAATCACTTCCTTGGATGTTTTTCAAAGTAAATGGCTTTTGCCTTTATTGGCTAAAAATCCACGTAGTTCTGGTCTTGGGGGACTCGAAGCTGACTCGTGTTTTTTTATAATCCAAATTTGAGATCACCTACCTAGAGGTAAGTAGAAATTAGAGGGCTAGCTACTTTGATATAAAGTAAAGTGAAATAAATGTATGCTTTCTCGTTACTGCTTTACCTTAGAACTTAATAGTGTATATCGATCATATAAGGATAAAGAGGCACTGCCAAATATGTCTCAAAGGATGACAACGAAAGAAACCTGCTTTTTTATACACAGATGCCAGAGCAGAATTATGTAAACTGGCGACTATACCTACGCACCTGACAACTTTGAAAATGATATATCTTTCCTTCCCCTTCACACTCTTGCTTTCAGTCATGTTCTTTCATATGCTCTAGGGTTTGCATATCTCACAGCAAACAACCATTAGAAAGCAGCACGTTGCATTGCTTTCAACCGCCTTGACCTTCACAGATCACATCTTCTCTTGATATCACCCATCTCAAGATCTTCCTCTTGCATATCTTGTTTCTACCAAGAACTTGATCAGGAAATGACACCAGACCATGGACTCCCAAAGGTATGCTTTATATCCCTCTTACTTTTGCCGAGATATTGCAATCTATTTGAGAGATATCTGAATCTATTTGAAACCTCCCCTAAGCAATTTGTGGAAGATGCGATTAACTAATCGATATAACCTGTAAAAGGATGTGCCGTGATTTCGCCAGAGGCAATTGCCAATGGAAAAACTGCAAATTTGCTCATGTGAGCAATGGCCAAAGCCGCAGACCAACAATCCCAACCAGCCAGATCCAACGCCCTGAGCCCCTGCCCCCACGAGCTCATGGCTTGCCAAATCCAGAAAAGGCGTTTCGGGCATGGCAAGGCAGCCTTCCTCTACACACGGCGGTAACCCGTCCCTCCTCTGGGAGGAAAACGACCATCTTCCAGAAAGCGAGGCAACTGATTGAATATGACGCCAGTACACGACAAGAAGTTATCCGGACATTGGCGAGTGAGGATGGCTTGCGCCTAGTTTTGGACCTCGTCCAGGAGAATTTCGAAGACATGGATTCCGCAACCAGAGACTTGATTTTCAAGACCCAGGTGCTACCATTTCTAGAGACAGTCTCAAATCCCGAAGTTGTATCCTCGCTCATACTGGAACAGACAGTGGGCACAATCTACAATGTCTTATTTGGAATCGACGGATCTAGAGCAGCGCGATGGCTCAATTTCATCTGTGGCGTTCTCGAAATCGATACCACCAACGAAGGCAGTGCCATGTTACTAGAGGCATCTCTACATACGTTCTCTCGCATCGCGGACCTTAATTCCACGGCTCCTATTCAAGACAGCTTGCATGCAGTGGCACAGAGATTTGAAACGGTCTTCGCCTCGATGAACAACAAGAATGGCATGAGCAGTAGACTTTATCAATCCCGGCTGCACCTTGATCGTCTTCACCAGCGCATGGAGACTGGAAAATTGCTCCCAACGGGTACGCCAGAGAAGAAAGTCAAGAAAGAAACCAAAGTCGCTTTCATTGCCAACCGCGAGACTCCCGGTGGCAGACACAATAATGATTTTGATGACATCTGCGACATTAAGATCATGCCTAGCTTTGAGGAAATTTGCAGCCTTCGAGCGGAGTACCTGCCCGTCAATAACCCACTTCGGTGGCATATTGATGGCCTCGACGGATTGCTAGATCGAAACTTTCGGTTGTTGCGAGAAGACACCATCGGTCAACTTCGAGATGCAATCCACCACGAACTGAGTCCGCGTGCCCAGCAATCACAGTTGCGCAAGTTCGTATACCCCATGTCAATCGTGGTCAATCTCGAATTCAATTGGCTTTCCGGTCTTTACTTCGAAGTAGACTTCCCTCAGCCTGCTGCAGTAACAAGCTACACGCCCATGGCCCGGGAGATGTGGTGGCAGAGCTCAAAACGTCTACAGCCAGGCGCGCTTGTGTGCTTGATCATTCAAAAGAATGTGGTATTGTTTTGCATTGTGACACATCGTGACATGTCACCTAGACGCAAAAAGGATACCATCCCTCCACAGAACAGGGCAGAGCCACGAACGCCATGGAAGAGCTCCACGAGAGGCTCTGTTAAACTGACGCTGGTCGATTCTCGATACACTCAGGTTGTTCTGGACCTTTTTAGTCCCCCAAAGCCCACGATGTCTCTGGTGGAGTTTCCAGGAGTCATTCTTCCGGCCTTTGAGCCGGCGCTCCAAGCACTTCAATCGATGAAGGTGGCCCAAAACCTGCCTTTCTCAGAGCTGTTTGTCCCGTGGGCCTTCGACAATTTCAACTTATCCGACATGGCTCCCCCCTCGTATGCCTTGGAGGCTGGCTTTGCATTTGATCTCCGCTGCATCATGAAAGACGATACCAGTTTCTACGTCCGCGTTGGCCAGCCATCTAACGTAAAATACGTACAAGATCACTCAACCCTGGATGGCGCACAGGCTCATGCATTGATCAGTTGTTTGAAACGAAAGCTTGGTTTGATCCAAGGGCCACCTGGTACCGGCAAGAGCTACACTGGTGTGGCTCTTGTTAAAGTCTTACTGGCAAATAAAGATGCGGCTAGAGCAAGATTGGGGCCCATACTGTGTGTCACATATACCAATCATGCTCTTGACCAGCTTCTTGAGGCTTTACTGGACAACGATGTGACATCGCAAATTGTTCGTATTGGATCCCAGTCCAAGTCGGAGAGGTTGGGAAAATTCAACCTTCAGACTGTTGCAAAAGATACAGCAAGAACAAAAATGGAGAAAAAAGCGAGATGGAGTACAGCCGAGAGACTTTCATTGTGTGAGGATAACTTTCGCGCCCTTGACCTGAAAAAGGAAGTCCCCATTTCTCGTCTCAAGTCCTATATTCAGCGGACAAATCCTCACCACCACGATCAGCTATTTTCGTTGGTCCACGCAGATGGTTTCTTGGGAGTAAAAACCGACAGTCCCCAGGCCGCGATCACCTCCTGGCTTGATTCAGCAGCTAAAGACAGTGCTCCTCCACGGCCTGTGGACCAACTGAAGGATACCAATGTCTTCGAGATGTCCCGAAAAGAACGACAGCATATTTACAACCGCTGGTGTCGTGATTATCGAGCAGAAGTGGACGAAAAAGTCAAGCGAATCGTTTCATCGCACAAAGCTGCCAAACAGGGATATGATGGTGTCCAGGATGAGATGCACCTTCGCTGCCTGGCTCAAGCAGATGTCATTGGTGCCACTACAGCAGGACTTGCTCGCAGACTGGATATGTTCCGAAGACTTCCATGCAAATTTATGTTGTGCGAAGAGGCTGCTGAAGTTCTAGAATCACATCTCCTTACGGCGTTTTTACCTTCTGTTGAACATGCAATTCTGATCGGCGATCAGCAACAACTTCGCCCTCAGGTCCAAAATTACGATCTTTCTAGCGAGAATCCTCGGGGTGGTTCGCAATACTCGCTCGATATCTCCTTGTTTGAAAGACTGGTGAGCTCAAACAAAAGCCCCATGGACTGTGGAGCTCCTTTCAGCACATTGGAAACACAGCGGCGCATGCATCCATCTATCGCTCGGCTGATCCGTGAAACCCAGTATCCAAAGTTGAAGGATGCCCCATCTGTTTCGGAGTATCCGGAGATTATTGGAATGCGGAAAAGATTATTCTGGTTGGATCATGGACAGCGAGAGGGAGGATCTGACGCCGATGCCATGTCAACATCTCACTGGAACAGTCATGAGATTGATATGACCGTTTCGCTGGTCAACCATCTTATTCGACAAGGTGCATACAAACACGGAGACATTGCAGTGTTGACTCCGTATCTGGGCCAACTCCACCGACTACGGAAAAGGCTTGATGAGCTCTTTGCCATTGTATTGGGGGATCGTGATCAAGAGGATCTCAAGCAGGCCGGTTATGCGGATTATGAAGCGAAGAACAAGCCCACGATCAAAGCAGCCTTGTCGCAGACTCTTCGCGTGGCCACCGTAGACAATTTCCAAGGCGAAGAGGCTAAGGTTGTTGTGATATCCCTGGTCCGAAGTAACACACAAAACCAATGCGGCTTCCTACGCACTCCCAATCGAATCAATGTTCTGCTGTCACGAGCACAACACGGCATGTACATAATCGGCAATTCGGAGACCTCGATTCATGTCCCTATGTGGGCTCAAGTCGTAAAGATTTTGAAGCAAGACCAAAATATCGGAAATTCCCTAGAGCTGCAATGCCCTCGCCATCCGGATATACCGATTGCCGTCTCGATGCCAGAAGATTTCCCAAAGTTCTCTCCCGAAGGAGGTTGCAACCTGCGCTGTGTCAGTCGGCTGGGCTGTGGACATGCCTGCGCTCAAAAATGTCATTCGGATCTTCTTCACAACACGGTCTTTTGCCTAGAGCGTTGCCCTCGATCGTTTAGTGGCTGTAATCATTCATGCCCTAAGCGATGCGGGGACCCTTGCCCGGAAAAGTGCATGATCAGCGTATATCAAAAGCACAGAACGATCCCATGCGGCCATGAAATGCCAAACCTTCCTTGTTGGCAGGCTCAGGATCTCTCAACAGTTCGCTGTCAGATGCGTGTGGACAAGACGATCCCGGGCTGCAACCATATCGTCTCACTGCCATGCCACATCAATGTCGGATCAAAAGACTATCGCTGCCTAGCACAATGTCGCAGCCCCCTGCCTTGTGGACACTTGTGCAAGAAGATGTGTTATCGCTGCATCACCAGGGGACCTGAGAGCATCCCAGTTAACCATGGAAATTGCGAGCAACGGTGTGACCGGAATCATTCTACATGCGCCCATACTTGCAGCGTTCCCTGCCACGGCGATAAGCCATGTCCTCCATGCAAAGCTCCTTGCGAAGTGCACTGTGGCCATTCCAAGTGTCCGCGAAAGTGCTACGAGCCATGTACTCCTTGCGCAGAAGAAAAATGTCTTTCAGCGTGCCCTCACAGCGTCTGCTCAATGCCATGTGCAGCCCCTTGTGATCATGTTCCATGTTCCAAGCGGTGCGAGAAGAAACTGGATTGTGGCCATCAGTGTCCGTCAGCATGTGGAGAAAAATGTCCTGCATCCTCCTTCTGCCAAACCTGTGGGAATGAGGATATCAGAAATTATCAAGTGGATTTCATCCTGGGTCAAACATACAAAGAAATCAACCTGGACCAGAACCCATGCGTATTCCCCAAATGTGGGCATTTCTTGACAATTGAAAACATGGATGCGCAAATGGACATGTCTCGCTACTACGAGGTCGATGCTAGTGGCAAGCCCATCGCTATCTGGGTATCATTGGCCCCGTTCTCTATCCAAGACATCAAAAAATGCGCCACCTGTCGTAACCCACTGAGAGACATTGCACGGTATAGCCGGCTGATTCGTCGAGCTATCCTTGATGAGTCGACGAAAAAATTGATCATCTTACTCAATCAGGAATATGTCCCTCTCGCACAGGAACTTCCCCGGCTTGTTCGTGAATTACATTCAGCCGAAGGCCAAAGAAAGTATCCCTGGCCACCAGTGATTGAGATATGTGGCCCACGAAACCAGCAGGTTCAGAACATGGCGGAAATCATCCAAGGCACAAATCCAGGTCGATGGAATTCAATCCTTGATCTGCGAAAGCGCGTCGATTACTATCGGCGCTGTGTGAAACCCGAGGAGCAACCATTTGAAAGAGTTCGGAGGATGATTGAAAATGCTCGACAACGCGGAAAAATAAGAACCAACCCTGATCATGTTGATAACGTGCTACAGACCAAAGGTTTTCTACAGGGCACCGCCCTCATAATCCGTCTGGACATTGCTTTGCTCGTTGACCTTTTGAGCCTTGTTTCCCGGGGACGACCAAGTGAGGTGACACCTCGATTCGAGCTTGATCTACAGAAGATCAAGGATGATTGCCAGGCCCTCATCCAGCAAGCAGTCACTCACCGACGACTTCTACAGCAGACAGAAGGTCATATTTTCCTAGCACAGCTTTACGCCCTCGAACGAGCACATTGCTTGACACTAGAGAAGAGGGACACTATCTTGCAGCATGGCCAGGCTGCCATTCAGAAAGCTAGAGGTCTTTGCGATGCGCACCCAAGCCAGACACGAGGATTGGCAGACGAAGTCCATAGCGTCGAAAAGATGTTATGCGTGGGCACGATATACACAATTATCACCAACGAGGAACGCATGGCAGTCATTTCAGCGATGGCTCAAGAGTTCAGTGGAACTGGACATTGGTACTACTGTCGCAACGGACATCCGTTTACCATTGGAGACTGTGGGGCAGCTAGGGAGACGAGTCGCTGTCCCGAGTGCGATTCCCCAGTGGGAGGCGAGAATTCTCGATTAGCAGAGGGGGTTACTGCGGCAGAGGACTGGGATCGGGATAGAGCGAGATTGAATCTTTGAGGAAGAGGCGGATTCTGCTCTTTGAGCTCATCCTTTTGGACACATCAATTTGTTGCCGTATAGCGGATAATAAAGACATAGTCAAGTTTTCCACCTGGGTAGCCTTTGAAAACCCCAGAAATATAGAAGTAAAAACATTTGAAGCTTTGTAGATTGAAGGCTCAATATAAGAGAGGTGTCATGTTATGAGCAGCCGCTATCCGCTGCCGTACGTCCACGGGGTGACGTCTCGGGGACAAGGTGCCACCCCAAGCTTATCCTCTCCAACCTCCTTCCAATCTTCCCTCCCCCATTATTTCCACCTTGAATTATTGTTCTATGAATTAATTCGCACATTCTCTCGCTAGCTCATTGTCTTTGCATTGCATGTGTTCACCCTGCTCTACCTCCCCCTAGCTTCCGCCCCTCACCCGTTCCATGATGGCTAGCCCACCACCCGTCGCCGAGGACCAGAACCGCCTCCTCGAGGAGGCATTGGGGGTGGTGAGGCAGCAGTCGAGTCTGATGCGCAAATGCCTAGAGACTCCTGGAAAGCTCATGGATGCGCTGAAATGCGGGTGAGCTCCCCAATGAAACCCTCCAGGCAGCGACCTCGGAACCCGCGCAATATGCTAACAGCTCGAAATCTACTTCTACAGATCGACTCTTGTCTCCGAACTTCGAACCCCCAGTCTCGGCCCCAAGCAGTATTACGAATTGTATATGGCCGTCTTTGATGCGCTGCGACACCTTTCCGTGTACCTAAAGGAGAACCACCCTGTCAACCACCTTGCCGACCTATACGAGCTTGTTCAGTATGCCGGCAATATTGTCCCCCGCTTGTACTTGATGATCACCGTGGGTACGGTTTACATGTCCGTCGAAGATGCGCCGGTCAAGGAAATCATGAAGGATATGATGGAGATGAGCCGAGGCGTTCAGCACCCGATCCGTGGCCTGTTCCTGCGATACTACCTCTCCGGCCAAGCACGGGACCACTTGCCCTTGGGAACTGGTGATGGCCCAGAAGGTAATATGCAGGATTCGATCAACTTTGTTTTGACGAATTTCGTGGAAATGAACAAGCTCTGGGTTCGGCTTCAGCACCAGGGCCCCTCACGAGAGCGGGATAGACGCATACAAGAACGACGCGAACTGGAGCTGCTCGTCGGTAGCAACATCGTTCGACTCAGCCAGCTAGTTGATCTTGAAGGGTACAAATCTGGTATTCTGCAAGCGCTTCTAGAACAGGTTGTACAGTGCCGAGATATCCTCGCGCAAGAATATCTCCTGGAAGGTACGGCTCTCTTCACTTCTTTTGCTGCTCGGAAACTACTCTTGCTTGGTCCAATTGCTAATCTGATCAACAGTTATCACAAAGGTATTCCCGGATGAGTTCCACTTGCACACCCTGGACCATCTATTATCTGCTATCGCCAGACTTAACCCACACGTGGATCTGAAGAAAATCGTCATTGGTCTTATGGACCGTTTGTCTTCTTATGCGGCAAGGGAAGCGGACTCGGCAGCAGAGCCAGAAGCACGGAAACAAAACGAGGAAGAAGCTGTCACCAAGCTATTGCAAAAGCTTGAGCTTGCCAAAGAAACCAAAGCCGAAGAGTCAAAGGAAGTCAGCGCTGATGACACTTCCAAGGGAAATGGTACCGAGGACGACAAAGCAGAAGCACCCAAAGAAAGCCCCGAGACTGCTGAACTGCCAACGGAAGAAAAGCAGGTTGAGAATGGGGACGAGGCTAAGCCTGGTATTCCAGCAGAAATCAAGCTGTATGATATCTTCTATGACCAAGTGGTCAATTTGATCAAAACGCGTGGATTGCCGATTCAAGATACCATGGCGCTGTTGGTATCACTCGTCAATCTGGCATTGAATACCTATCCAGATCGGTTAGAGTACGTCGACCAGGTCCTGGACTTTGCGACACAAAAAACTGCCGAATACACTGATCATGCCGATTTGCATTCAGCGCCAACCCAACAACACATCCTCCACCTTCTCAATGCTCCTCTCAAATCTTACATCTCGATCTTCACAGCCTTGGCGTTGCCACATTACCTGCCACTTCTGACCTCACAGTCCTACCCCACAAGGAGGGCTGTTGCAGGCGAGGTAATTCGCAGTCTTTTGAAGAACAAGATCTTGGTATCCACAACGGAGAACCTCGATCGTGTGCTCCAGGCGGCAAGAGTATTGATCAAGGAAGGCATGCAGCAGTCTGCCGGCTATCCCGGCTCACAGTCCCAACGACGGGGAGGAGAAACAGATGAGACGGTAGAAGAACAGGGGTGGCTTGCGAGACTCGTCCACTTGATTCGGGCATCAGATAATGACACCCAGCTGAAGGTAGGATCACTTACCAGATGTTTTATACCTATAACTAACAGTTTGTGACAGCTTCTCCAAGCAACGCGCAAGGCATTTGCCGATGGCAACGAACGAATCCGCTATACCACCCCTGCAATCATAACGGCCTCGGTCCGATTGGCCCGCAAACTGAAGTCGCGCGAGCATTACGACGACAATTGGCAATCACAGTCGTCGGCTCTATACCGATTCATGCACCAGAGCATCAACAGTTTGTACCAGCGCGTAAATCCAGGTTGCGCCGATCTCGCACTGCGACTATTTGTCATGTGTGGCGAGGTTGCCGATCAAACAGGATTCGAGGAAGTCAGCTATGAGTTCTTCGCGCAGGCATTCACCATCTATGAAGATGCAATCAGTGACTCACGTGCCCAGTTCCAGGCCGTCTGCATTATTTCAGGCGCCCTGCATGGAAGCCGTGGATTCTCTAAGGAGAACTATGACACACTCATTACCAAAGCTGCGCTGCACGGAAGCAAACTCCTCAAGAAGCCAGATCAGTGCCGCGCGGTGTATCTCGCAAGTCACCTTTGGTGGGTAGTTGAGAACCCTCAACGTGGAGAAGAGGATCCCAAAGATGTAAGTATTTCCAATTCTAATGTCTTATTGTTTTAGCTGACTCGAATTTTGCAGCTCTACCGCGACGGCAAACGAGTGCTTGAGTGCCTCCAGCGCGCCCTCCGTGTGGCCGACGCCTGCATGGACACCGCTGTATCTGTCGAGCTGTTTGTGGAAATCCTCAACCGCTATGTTTACTATTTCGACCAGCAGAATGAGACTGTCACCACCAAGTACCTGAACGGTCTCATCGAACTCATCCACTCAAACCTGCAGACCAACGAAGATGAGCCAAATGCTAATCTTGACGGCCCGAAGCGCCACTTCCAACGCACGCTGGAGTATATTCGCTCTCGCGAATACGAAGGCATTGTGACAGATCCACCAAAGTAATTGCCAGATGGATATGCCCAGGCCATTCTGTCAGGACACACCTCCCGGTGATCTTCAAGGAGCACTGTATGTGACGTGCTACGTGGGATTCCTGCTTTGGTCCTCCTGGATTTGTTTTTCTGTTCTACTCTATCCCATTGGTCCCTTTTGTCTTTCTCTTGTTCCTGGAAGCCTGCCTCTTTTTCTCTTGTTGCTCCTCGGTTTTCTTTCATTCCTAGTATATACAAGTGTATCATTGTCTCTGGATAACACCATACCCTTTCAACGTGATTTGTATCGGCCATGGACAACTTTTTTTTCTTTTTGTAGAACAAATAATAACCCCGAGGGGTTTGTTGCACATCCATAGGAGGGTCTAGATAATATATAAAGCCTATCATAGCGAATGATCACCAAATATGTACCTCTACGTTACCAAGTTCTACAAGTTCTACGCCAAAAGCCAACAAACGATAGCCGAAGAAACCTTCGATCATGCAATTGGTCAAGGACGATGACGGAGTGGGAGACTAACCCTATCTCCACGGATATCGCTGCATAATGAAGAAAGGCCAGAGACTCATACCGTACATAAAAACAAATCCGGGGGCCATACTTCAAAAAGTAAAGCATTCAACCACATTGGAGAAATACCAAGCAAATAAACAACCCATATCAATAGCAGTGACTCTTTCCAGTAGAAAGATGGAGACAGATGTGTGAGTATGACGTTAATCCATGACGCTTCAATAAAAGATGAAAAAAAAGAACTGAAAAAAAAGATAGATGAGGGCATTTCAAAGTCGTTCCAGCAAAAGTGCGGAAAGGAGGCCGAAGAAGATTCGTCCTAAGGCCGGGTTGGCGTCAAATCATGATCAGGACAGAGGAGTCCCGCCGAATAAGCCAGTCGGAGGCGAAGAATATTGCCGCAGTACGGAGGATGGTCCACCAAATCCACTGAAGGGGGCCGGGTGGCTGTTACTAGGGATCGGGCTGCCGATATCGCCAGGTACAATGCTGCCCCGATGACCGGAGACCGCACTGTTAGGATCGGGCTCGAATCGGACAGACTTGCCATTTGGGCCTTCCTTGATAGAGAAAGATCCACCGCCATTGTGTGGACTACCTTCCGTATCACAGATATCAAGCATTTCGTCCAAAGAGATCGTTGGCTCGCCTGAGTTGCGCAGCTGCTCCACCTGGCCGAGAACAAGGTTTACATCGTGGAAGCTTCCAGCACCCTTCTGCGGGCTGGTCATCGAGTTCAGCTGCTTGCATGCTTGAATGACCAACAGGCGAATTGTAACGGGCCGAGAAGTATGAGGCCGATGATGACCGCCTGCTGAGAAGGCATTATTGGGAGGCCAGCCACTTCCGGCCGAAGCGGGTGTCCATGTGGTACTGAAGGGGGAGAAGGCTGTCGCAGACCATGTAGGATTGCCCATTGGAGAACCAATCCCGAAGTTAGTCTGTGGGGATCCTAGAGGATCTGTGAGCAACGACGGTCCTTGGAAGCTGGCACGTGTCGGCCCCGGGAATGCCCCGGGGGCGGGGGCACCAGGTAATGATTGAGACAGATTTGATGGATATGTAGCATCAGTGTCATCAAGGAGCGCACTGCTACCTAGATGAGCACTCAAGCCATCCACTTCTCGCTGTACTGAAGGATTGCCATTGTGCTGTCGGTCCTGTGCCGAGCTGGATGGGCGTTTGATAGGGCTTGGCCGTGTGATGGGGAACGGCTGGGCGCCAGAATCTAACGGGGAGCGGTCAAATGAGAGAGAAGGCTGCCTGGAATGTGCTTTTGACAGACCGGCTTGCTGCAGAGGGTATGCACCAGGCACTCCATGGTTGCCAGCGAAGGGAAGACCGTGTACAGGATCAGCTGGGAACGCTCGGCTCGGTGGCATGGGGCGTACACCGTTCATCCCAGGCGGCACGGGAATTCCACCAGATCCGTTAAATGACCGCAAAGGGTTAATCATCCCAGCATTCGACGAATACATCGATTCTTGAGGGTGAGTCGACCGCGGAGCCATTCCTGGTATGCCCGGGGGTGGTTGAACGGTAGACTACCGAGGCCAGCGAATGCCGAAGGATTGGTGCGCCCTAGAGGTGACAGAGGAGCGGAAGGTTGAGGGTGGTGCAATGGAGGCTGTTGATAACCTTGTCTACCAAAAGTCGATCCTGACTGCGGATGACCCATGGAACGTGGGGAGATGGAAGGGTGGTGAGAGGAATCGGCGCTGTTAGGTTGAGAGTGAGGGGAGGATGTAGAAGAGCCATGATGAGATTGTTGACGAGGCCGTCCAGGAGTCGAGACCTTAGGAACGATAGGTGTCGCCATGGGATAATGCGGAGACTGCAGGAAACCAGGAGGGGCCTGGGACTGGAGATTGTATGGAATGACGCCTGGCAAAGTATGTGGTGGTGAGGTTCTGACTTGCTCGCGCTTTCCATTGCGATCTCGGATTTCCTGCTCTCGTGCTGCGTCTCGGTCCTTCCTCGCCTGATCTTCGCGTATTTTGCGTTCACGTTCCTCTCTGGTTCTCTTTTCAGCTGCCTCACGCTCCTCCTTTTCTTTGCGTTTAAGATCCTCTCGCCTCTTCTTTTCCTCTTTTTGTTCGCGTTGCTTGCGCTCAGCCTCGGCTTGACGTTCCCGTTCTTCTTTGAGTCGTCGCTGCTTCTCAGCTTCTTTGCGAGCACGTTCTTCCTCTTGTGCCTTTTTCTCGGCATCACGCTTCTTCCGTTGCTCTTCTCGCTTTAATCGCTGTTCTTCAAGTTTCTTCTCTTGCGCAGCCTTCAGAGCCGCCTCTTCAGCCGCCTTCTCGGCATCCCGGCGGGCTTTCTCCTCTTCTTTTGCTTGTCTTTGCAATCGCTTCTTATCCTTCTTCTTTTGCGCTTCCCGGGCCTTTTTGGCGTTGCGCTGCTCGTTCAACGTCTCCTCTTGGAGGAGCTCGTCAATTAGCTGTTTCTGACGCTGTTCGGCGACCTTCTCCCGATATGCCGTCATAACTCGTTGCTCAAACATTCGGGCGGCGAAAATCTGGAACATTCGTCGGCCTTCCTGCATGCGCTGTTCCTCGGTCATGGCATCCTATTAGTATTATTAGCCAATGGTCTAGACAATATCAGATCGTAGACCCGTACCATTTCGTCCTCGTCGAACTCTTCCTCCTCTTGGCTGTCATAATCCTCATCGTCTTCTTCATCATCGTAATCCTCATCGTCTAGAGGACCATGATTATGCCCATGGAAGGACTGATGAGCAGCAGCTATTCCGTACTGTGTATCTTCCTCTCTTTGCATTCTCCGTTCAGCCAATTGCTCCATCATATCGATGAAGTGCTTGCCATCATTTTTCAGAAGATCGTCTGCAACTGTAAGAATTCCATCTGGTAAAAAAAGATAAGTGTCCAAAGTTAGTCGTTAAAGCCTTACAATATCGATCAGGTGATCTTGCTGCGTACCTTTCACTGTTAGACTATTGCCAAATGCAAAGAAATCAGCTCGGGCTGCTCGAGCTTCGTCATCTTCAAGGTCTTCGTCGCTGTACAACTCCTCATCATCCTCTTCCTCCTCATCCTCATCTTCTTCTTCGCCATCTTCTTCCTCTTCCTCGTCGTAATCCTCTTCTAAATCATCATCGTTGTCTTCAGGTAACTCTTGGACTCGGCTCCGTGACGGATGAAACTGGCCGTGCGTCCGAGTATGATGCCCTGGGGATCGAAGGGGTGGTTGATAGAGTCGAGGAGGAGGAATGATAGGAGCTCCTTCGTCGAATGCGCCTTGATTGTTATTTGCGTATTGTTCCAGCTCCTCGTAGTATGCGTCGTAGAGGACCTCTAGCTCTTCTTCAATCGCTGTTCGTTTTCTTCCACAAACTGTACAACTGCAAGAGTGCTTTTGCTGTTCTTTCATTTTCTTCAGAACAGCATCCTTTTCGACCTTGACAAGCTGACGTCGTTCTTCTTCGCCGAGCTCAAACCAGAAGGTCCTGATATTTTCGCGTTCTTCTAGGGTTGACTGGTTCCAGATGCTGCTGTTTTTCATAGGCTTTCCGGTGAATCGACTGATGTATGGCATGGATTGGGGAGGCGGAGGAGGGTGGGAGAAGGTGGCGGACGGGGTTGAGAGTGGAGTTAAGCTGCGATCAGCATGATTCTGGGAGTCGGATCGGGCTTTCCTATTTTTCTTCCTCTTTGGTGCCTCGCTCGAGGCAGCGTGGTGATCATCGGATCCGTTCATCGTGGGGGGTCCGCGGCGATGTTCTGGTGACGCATATCCGTAATGAGAACCACTTGCTGTATGAGAGTGATCCTCGAGGTGATATTCGTGGTCTTCATCGCAGGAGCGCTGTTCATCTGTTGCTAGCATGTCCGCATCTCCGGAGGCGCAAGCATTGGGATGTTCCGCGGCTAAGCGAGCAGCTTGTTTCTGTCGGCGTTTCTGCTTCTTGCGATTCACAGAAGGCGCAGATGTCGCCGTGGAACTGGCTGATGTGGTGCCTTGAGGACCCCGCGCGTGGGTCTCGCCGTTGGTTGCTGGAAGCGGATTTGGTGACATATGGGTCGCCATGGTGGAGGTGAAATAAGCTGCAGGGACTGCCTCAGCAGCATCCTAATACCACCAGAGCAAGCTTTGAGTTAGAAGAGCAATGTCAGAGAGGTGGGTGGTAGAATGAGGAGGAAAAGCGGAGAACGGAAGAGCCAAAGAGCCCTACTAACAAAGCTCCGGTGATTCCACGATCTGGTCTTGACTAACCGGAATTATTACCCTTAGCGTATTCACGCACAAAGAGCCAATCGCGTTCTTTGTTGTTTGCTTAAAAGACACTTCGGTAGTGGCAAACGTGGGGGGTGAGATAGGATAAGGACACGGGAGGAGGGGGTTGAAAGCAATAATCCCGGCGGGTCACGACGTGTCTGCGCTTCGGATTAGGTGATGGGGCGCTGGCAAACTAGGGGAGGAAAACAAACAATGAGTCAAAGCCAGGACCGACAAGATATCAAAGCTGAGTGAGCGCCGAGGCCAGAGGTAGACAGTCGAACGCGAATGAATGGATGGAGTGATGGGCTTTCCAGCCTTCTGGCTGGCTGTCGTGCCGCCGCAACGGGATAGCCGCCGCAAGCGAGCTGATGCCTTAATCGTCAGGTTTCAGATCTCGAATTGTATGGTTCGGTGGCAGTATCTTGATTGTATGAAGATATTTCAAAATGTACACTGTGGTAAAGTTCTAATCTCAACTAGTTGGGCGGTTTAATCAAAGTTATCATCCCTTGGTTACAAGGCAAAACAGACTACATCTCACTGCTTCATGCTGATCATTATATTGTTTTGAGTCACATGATCTTTCACATGCCCGCCTTTGATCTGCCAGCAATACCCCCCTAACACCAGGCGGTGAATGGTAAATGGGCAAGGGGAAACAAGTATGAGACGCTCTGATCCACCGAGTTGTGTGAGACACGGAGAGCGCTAATTAAAAATATCTTCGAAGGTGATAAACCAGAAGGGAAAAAAAGGGTCCCCATAGGATGGTCAGACCGACAAGATCCCCTTCTGCCCCCCCAAGCTACTATTTAGTCCCTTCGTAGTCTCGGCGTGAGCCTTAATAAATCTCCGCTTGGACAATTGTAAGCGCCTTCTTACCCTTCATCTTATCTCCAGGGCTTACTCTTCAGCTTCCTCTTTTTTAAAACTTCCGCTCACTCAATTTCTACCCTTCTCCTCTCTCCTTAAACTTATCCATTTTGAGGTGGACTCTCGTGTCTACATCAAACCCCATCATTAGCCTCAGCCGCAACGCGACCTCTCCCCCCCCTCCCCCAACAACTCGTCACGTCACTGTTTGGGTGCATCTTCAGGCCACCCATTCATATTTTTCTGTAATCCGTTTGGGCACTATCTGCCCAGAGCTGGACGTTCCTTATACGTGTCGCCAACCCTCGTAATCAGCTGAATCTGACTCGGAACTCCGCATCATCTCGAGTGCCGCTCCACAATACCCTCCGCTCTCCCATTACCTTTGTGTATCACGAAGGGATTTGCAGCCTTCATAATGTCGCAACAACAGGATGATAATGTGATGCGAAGGTAAGTGCAGCCCATTTTGATGTGGTGTCTTACATCCCCGCGGTATGAGAAGGAGATTATGCAAGATTGCAGGTGGCAGCCTAGCACTTCCGATACCATTACCAGTGGGATTGAAGACAGAATGTTGCTCGCATGTGCTAACTTGAAGTCTCTGATAGGAAGCTTGTGATCATTGGCGATGGTGCATGTGGAAAAACCAGTTTGCTCAGCGTCTTTACCCTGGGATACTTCCCAACTGTGAGTTTAGTCCATTAGGCTCCTAGAAGAAGCCCCCTAGAAGCAGAGTCCGTGACTAATATGTTCTTATATCGCAGCATTATGTTAGTACACTCGACCTCGATACATCCCCTACAAATCTTGTCTGACATCTCCCCTCGCTAGGTACCAACGGTATTTGAAAACTACGTGACGGATTGCCGCGTCGATGGCCGCTCAGTCCAATTAGCTTTATGGGATACAGCAGGACAAGAAGACTATGAGCGCCTGCGACCATTGGCCTACTCGAAAGCCCATGTCCTCCTAATTGGGTTCGCTATGGATACTCCTGATTCGTTGGAGAACGTGAAACACAAGGTTCGTCTCAGATAAATTCAAGAATTGGGGCCATTGGTACTGATCTGCGGTGAAGTGGATCGACGAAGCAAACGAGCGATGCCCTGGAGTGCCGATCCTTTTGGTTGGATTGAAGAAAGACCTTCGCGAAGACCCATTGGCGATTGAAGAAATGCGCAAAAAGTCACTTAAGTTCGTGACGACAAAAGAAGGCAGTGACGTCGCAGCATCGATTGGAGCCCGCAAATATCTTGAATGCTCGTCTCTGACGGGCGAGGGTGTTGACGATGTCTTCGAGGCAGCTACCCGTGCTGCATTGCTCACATTTGACAAGCGGAAATCGTCTTGCTGTGTGGTTATCTGATGATGCAATTTGAGATGTGCAAAATGCCGAATCTTTCTCTGCCAGCGCTCGGTTTTTCTGTTGACTTGGAACTTGATTGATACAACTTGGTATAAACCATGAGGATATCAATCGACGCTCCGTTGTATCATGCATCACTGGTGTTTGGGAGGTTCTTGTGCTAACCCGGTCGATTGATCTGGGTACGATGTCTGCTTTCCGGTTATTTTCAGCCGTGCCTTTTCCCTTGCAGGTATTTTCTTACGTCTTTCCTTTTTGATCAATTGCGTCTTTTGTGGCTGATGCTTATGCACGTGCAACTCCGGATTCCCTTCCTTCTCAACACTCAATTCCCCGAAGTACATTGCGATCTCACTCATTGTGTTCTCCTTTTTTCATGTAGTAATTCTGGTGCCTTTGTTTTCAGCGCTCATTTCTCATACATTGTGCTCACAGCCCGCTCAGGGTACCATATAATCAACTATCTCCTTTCGGCATATCATACCTCGTAGATCTATACCCCCTATACCCTGTATATACAAAGTCAGAGAACACCGCACATGAAAGGCATACAATTCAAACAAAGTGATATCGAGCTTGAAATGCAAACTAGATCAAGATATAAAAAAAGAAATGCATATGTTACATAGCGCCAAAATGATACATATATTCTGGGTCCGTCCTCCAGTCCAATGAATCAACCAACATCAAATCCAACCAGACAACCTCTGCCTCAAGCCCTCTATTTCTTCCCAGGCTTCTTCCAGTCATGGTTCCAACCATCGGAAGGAGGGGAATCGGTCTGCATGCGAGCATACTCGATAGGGAACATATCAGTGAAGATACCCTTCTTGTTCATCGAGATGCGGAACAGCTTGCCACCATCGCCGGCACCCGTGCGCAGCTCCTCACACGCATCCTGCATACTCTGGTACTGGCGCATCATCTCGAGTTCTTGCTTGCGGCGCTGCTGGGCCTGGAACAATTGCCAAGCGCGGTGGATGGTCCAGTGGCGGAGGTAACGGTTTCGGGAGAAGCGGAGGGGACGGGGAGTGAGAGGGTGGTGAAGGAAGTAGCGGATCAGAGCTAATTGGTTGGAAAGGCATTGTTAGTTTTAGGTTCTTTTTCCTTCCTTGGCTATGAGACGTGTTTGGTTTGGTTGGGGGTTCGGGACTCGGGACTCGGGTGAGAGCCCGGCGTAGGGGTAAGGCACATACTAATGCGCTTGTCAATTACAGGGCCGTTGTTGTTCTTTCTCGCGGCCATTGCGCTTGTGGTCGAGAATGGCGCGGATTGCAGGGCTGCTGTGACCGGGCCGGGCTGTTGTGTTTGGCGGTTCAGGGTCTCGTGGCACGCCCGGGAAATTGATGGGCGGACCGGTGCCATCGACATGGGGATCTTGAAAACATTCGCGAGAGACGCGAGGGCTGGTGATAAGGACTTCATTGTGATGGTTGTCTGCTGGGTGGAACGAGTGGGAAGGGCTCGATGTAATTGAGTTCCACGGGGAATAATTCCTTGACGGCAGAATCTTGTCCGCCTGGTTAGCCGCGCGCTTGGTGAGATAAACATTGCCGCTGCATGCATCTTAGCTGCGACGCATTTGTCGTTCAGCTTCTTTTTTAAAGAACAATTAATTTAATTTTCAAACAGTAGGGCTTGGAGTAACAAGATAAACGTTCACATCCGATGACTGGTCAATTAAGCTAATCATGAGGTTTGATAATAGGTACAGATAAAAATTGATACAGGGCCTTTGAATAGAGACTGGCCAAGGAATCCACCGTGTTCGAGGATTGTCAATGCCTTGTTGGCAGATGCGACTCAAGTGAAATTGCTTCTTCGTTGGCGAAATCCTCAGTTTGTGAGACTGCTGCGAGCGATGGATATCCGACGTGTAATCACGAGAGTACATATTGCTTAGCAAAAAAAAAAAAAAAAAAACCCCAAGAAAGTAAGTTGAAGAGGAATTAAACAAATTAGGAAAGTGTTGAATCAGATTCAGCTGATTACGAGGATTGGCGACACGGATAGTGTTTGGACCTGGGACTAAGGCGTTGGTGTCGGCTTCTTTTCCAGCAAAATGACTTGATATTTTCGTTGAAAGATAGAATTTATTTAACAGTATCGAGAATCATGAAAGGCATGATATGTGAAGTGTCCCCCCCTCCCAAAGCCGCCAATGCCATAAAACGCCATACAATGCAGTCGATGCGCCGAAGATAAGCAGAGGAAATTAGTGGCTCAAGTCGATTGAAACAAGAAAACGTATGTTCGACGCTATCCAGTGGACCGCTTTGTGGTATGGTGTTTCTTAGCTCGATCGTAGTTCAAGACCTTGCGGCGACGGTGTGTTTGGGCTAGCTTCCACCGGCAATAAAGAACCAGTGCATCCTTCAAGAGAACAAACATGCACCCGCCGACAACGCTGCGACCCCAGCGGGTCTGAAGTAGTCCCACACGGCCACGGTCCATGGCTGAGGATGTCCATGACTTGGGGAGAAGACACTTCAACAGGCCACCCATTGACGCTGAAATTGCTGGGAAGACGAGTGCTCCGAGTACAACATCAGCAAGATTGCTGGTATCGGCAATGATCTCGTTCTGTCGACGCCCAAGTCCTAGTGGGTTGTTGTTTTGCCCAGCACCTTGTGCTCCGTTGGGGACGCCATTGGCATCTTCGCCTTGCCCGTTAGGAAGGGCTTCAGCCTCCGGTTCATCTTCATCGCCAATTCCCATTTGCAGTTCAAGGTCGATTTCCATCAAGATCTGTCCGTTCGCATTATCACCGAACCGGTTGAGACCCTCCGCCTGATCTTGTTGCTGCGCATCATCCAAGATCTCTTCCGCGGCGCGTGGTTGTACTTCGGCAATCCATTTCCGTTCCAGGCCACCAAACAGCCGTTCGTAAAGGGCTCCGTAAAAGCTTTTGATGTATGGCAACGCGGCAAACGTCATGGCCGGTGTGGGTGGCCAGAAGTCGAAGTCGGGTTCCTGCCCCGGGTTATGTGCAGCGAAGAAAAGAACCGGAATAGCTGGGAGAAGGCCTTCGGCATACCGAGTGCGTGAGAATATTAAGACGAGCGGGATAAGCGGCAACCCGATATTCATCCCGGGATTCCATGGGCCCTCCATAGTCTCCTCCATGATCTGTCTGGCTTCATCGGTTCCGAAAATGAGGTACATCGAATAAACACCATGCGCGCAGCATCCAGCCCACACAGTGCCGGCCACTGTAAACATCATACCGGGAAGGACTAATCGACCTGCTACGCGCTCGGCCAGTCGCATCATATCGACCACATAGCTCCGCGGGCGAGTGACCACGATTTCCGTCTTGCACTGAGGGCACATCATTGTCACGCCACCACCGTTACTTTTGCGCGACCGGGGGTTTTCCATGTCGGCGAGCCAGTCGAGTAGACATGCCTCGTGGGCTGTTAAGGCACAAGGGCAAGGCGACCGCCATTCCAGATTCAGTGGCGAATCCTCCGTTTCATCCGTATAGCAAATCCAGCATTTGCGCGGCTCGTCTTCATCCGAGGCATGGGAGGGTTTTGATGATTGACTGAGTGATTTGCTGGAAATATCCGATCCGTGGCTTGGGGTTGATACGCCTTTATTCAAGAAAACAGTTTCCGTGTCCTCCATCGATTCATTATGAGGTGAGATACTCTCTTGCGAGATGGTGTTTTCATCCGAGTTGGCGGAAGTGGTGCCATCGAAGGGTGTGGTTCTGCCTGCTGCAGAGTATCCCGGGACGGACGCCATGGTAGTGGAGACAAGGTATGTAAAGTCGGGGCCGATGAGAAGTGTAGAGAGATAGTGCGATAAAGATCTAAATCGGACTCGATAAGAGACAAAGAATGGGTTTCAGCATCTTCTGAGTAGAAAGATGAACCATATAAGCCGAAGAAGCAAACAAATGTCTCGAATTTTCCCCAAAAGCACAAGAAGAGAGAAGCTCCATTCCGCTAAGTGGAGGTCGGAGTCGGCTGAGAGCCGCGGCTGTCAAAAACGGTCACGTGGGATCACGTCATTGACCATCAAGCTCCGGAGATGGTACATCTACAATGTATGTAACTTGCTTCCAGAGGTATTTACGATTGATATACCACTGTTTAGTATTTGCCGTCTACGTCCTCATGCCTCAGATATCAGTTCTTCCTTCGATCTCAGCGCGTGCATACATACCTATGTATAGATACAGGATGCCCATAGTCCAATATAAGAACAGTTCAATTGATTTTGGTCGTATCCCTCTCCCTTCTGAGGCCATGACAGCTCTTGGATTTATCTATCTTTTTGTAGTCATCTAGAACCTTGAGGCCGCGGCGGTGTTTTGCTTGATCTGATGTATACTAGGGTAGACCAACCTAGCTGGGTCCTGAAGTGGATGAGAAGAATTACAAAGTAGTACAGCCATCTACATAAAAAGCTAAAGAAGAAGTTTTATCAAATCAAGTAACAAATCATTCATTAAACAAGCAGAAAGGAATACCTAAGGTGTGATCTGGCGATCTGGTGATAAGGGGTTGGACATGAGCGACATCATAGAAAAGCGAGAGATCACCAATCCACACACCCAACTACTGTTCAGAATGAATGCTACCGTCAGAATGTTTCTTGCCATCAGCTGACGCAGGCATGTCTTCCAGGGCATTATCCAGCTTAATCGGAGTCGAGACAGATTCAGGCATCGCCGTGGCAACAACTGCAGGTTCGGAGACTGGCTCAGAGGACTTTGTCACGTTCACATCGTCCTTCTCCTCCTGATTATCTGCAGACTCGGTTGCTATCGGAGACGACTCGGCGGGCTCCGGGATTTCTGCTGGGGCCTGTATAGGTTTGACATCTGCTGTTGTGGTTCTGGGCAAAGTCACGTCCTCCGAAACCTTCGCAACGGGAGATTCAGGCGTTGGGTCAACAGGTTCACCGGCGGTGTTCTTGGCGATCGGAGGGGCCATTGGCTGTGCATCAGGCACCGGTGTTTCTTTCACTACAACGGGATACTTCTTCTCGTTGTCACCAGTCCCAACAACCAGGTTCCCATCCTGGCCGACTTGCCAGACATTCAAAGATTCTGTGATCTTGATCTCTGGAATAGTTGGGAGTCTGGAAATGGGTTTCTCGACGGCTGGCTTTCGTCGTGCTGGGCCGCGGGCTCTTCCCTTGCGAGCATCGCTCAGAGGCTGCTTCTCAACAGGCTCCTCGGGTACCTTTTCTTGAGGCTTGGGCTGCTGTGGACCCAGTTGCAGCCGTGAATTCAAATCAGTGAGGAAGCCTGCCTTCATGGCTGCGATTTTGCTTCCGCCGGGACGAGCAGGGATTGCGGGCTTGGCTTTGACTGCAGGGGCCTCTTTCGGGGCCTCTTTCAGGGCCTCGGCGGTGCTTGCTGGGGCCTGAGAACCAGACTTAGCGGGACGGACAGGGACCTGGGGCTTGGGTCTATCTGGGATTGATGGAGGTTGACGCTTCTCAGTCGGTGAGGTAGACTGAGACTGTCTCTGCGGGCGCGGGGGAATCCCAGGCTTGGAAGGTACTTCTGGGCTTTTCAATTCTTCTTTTGCGGGCTCAACTGTGGTCACCAGCTGGTGACTATCGGGAGCATCTTCCCAAATATCTCTACTAGGGAAACGCTGTTTCAAATTGTCTGGCCGCGGAGGGGCCCTATCACTGACGCTCTCGCCTTCCAGGATGTGGGTCGCCACCTGATGTGAGTCGACGCTGGTGCTCTGCATTCTGCGTGTGGCCTCTTGTTCAGGTGTTTCGAAGATTTCGGAAGAGTCTCGCTTAGGCAGATCTGGAGTGGTGACGGTGGCATGAAGCTGCAGACTATTAGGGGTATCCTCCCAAATATCCTGGCTAGGGAATCTATGCTTCAATGCGTCCGGTCTCTTCTTGAAACGATCCGCAGCTGACACGACTTTCTCTTTCTTAGCATCATCTTCAGGGAACAGTGGCTCATACTCGTCGACGTCTTCGAGCGGTGTATGCGTATCCTCACGCGAGTCATAGCGGGTCAGCACCGGGAGTTGACCTTGCGCGCTTGCTGATCGACTGTTGGAACGACTGTGGAGACTAGGGGTCCGACTGCGACCATCATCTTCGAAGCTTCCCCGACGATCAAATGTCGGCGAGACGGCGGGATGTAAGTATGCCGACTCAGGGCGCACTTCGTCCGCAGCTAGAATTGGCTCCTCCTCTTCCTCGGCGTTCTCAAATGTTGGCGCATGCTCTTCCAACGCCGGGGTCGGGGCAAATCCGTCGGGGTGGTGTAAAGGATGCATCGGGTCATCTACATGGATCACGCCACCCTCACGATGTCCGTGCGAACTGGATCCACGGCGACGTAGTGGGCTTGCGGTGGTTTCCGTCTGCACCCCCTCTGAGGGGAAACTCATTTGTCGAAGTGGTGACTCGACAGTCGGCTGGCTTTCGAGTCGAGCGTCAGGAGGAGAAACAATTGAATGAATGTACTCGTCGGATGCGATATACCCGACCTCCTCTTCAGGGGTGCCCACAACTGTTGGGGAAGTACCTGTCCACAACATTAGCTTTCAAACGACAGCGCAATTGCTCAAAATACTCACCAAGACCGGAACCGGTCTGGGCGGAGCTTCGAACAATCTTGTTCAGATCGTCGCTACTCATTGCCCAATCAGGACGCGGAGTGCCGACACCAGGACCATATTGTCCTTCTTCCTTCACAAATTCATCGGGATGCTTTTCATACCAAGCCTTTTCAAACTTATCGGGATGCTGAACACCATGTCCATGTAACCCATAGCTACCAGGGGGCAGGGAAGAGTCGCGAACACTACGAGTGCGGTTGTGATTACGGCTCGACCGCTGCGAGCCTTGTTCGAGGAACGGGCTAGGGGATGGTGCCTGGACGTCACCGGCATTGGGGTACATGGGCACGCGGAAGCCCTGCTCTTCTCCGATATGGGTAGAGAGCCGACGTTCATTGGATGCAGTTGAGGATTCGGCACGTGTGTCACTCGCTCTGGAATATAGTGAACGACTTGGGCGTTCTTGTTCCTCACGAGCAGGCGAAACACCACGGCCTAGTCCTGCCGCGGCGGCCTGGCGAGAGTCAGTGCGGGTGACAGCCTGAACCTTTGCTTCAGCACTTGAAGTTGGCAACGACGGTCTCGGTGCATGGATCTTGAGATCACTGCTAACATTGCGAGTCTCTGCGGGGGTCTGGTGATGGCTATCCGACATGTTTCCTGGGTCGAGATCCGCATATTCAATGCCCTCCTCGCCGAGAGACGGTATTGTAACGCTGGGAGGACGTGGGGGCAGATCATTTGAAATGGTATGGCTCATGCTAGGACCGGTCCATTCATTGAACGGCGAAGGTGCATAGCTACCACGCATGGGCGAAACGGAACGGTCATTGCGGCGGTTGCCCGGGCGAGGTGGGATCTTGGGCATTTCTATCGACGACGACGGTTGTGGAGATCGAGCCGGTCGAGGAGGGATGACCGGAGCAGCTTTGGTTGACATGATGAAGTGCTGGGAGCTGTTAACAAGTTAGCAGCTGCCTAACCAGATACCCCACGGGTACACTTGGCCCTGTGCGGGCTGGAACAAAATGGATACAGATGCACGGTCCCAACCAACATGCAGGAATTCACGCAACCATCAGCTACTATGGATATGTATCAAATTGATGCAAGACTCCTAAGAGTAACCCGGTCCACGCAACTGATAAGAGCATACTTAATTGATTTGCTTACCCAGATATGATGAGAACCAATTTCAGTCCAATTGGAACAACAGTCAAAATGCGCAATTAAAAGCAGATAATTGAAGCAATTCCGGAACTGAGTTTTGGGGAAGAGAGATGATGTATGTTCTTTCTGCCACCTGGGCCTGACGTCTGACCGCAGATGGTATTATAATACGGTATCATTACAGGTTACATAGGAGCCAACTAGATCGATTTATTACATTGAACGCCCCGCTGATGAGATCAGTATAGGCCTTGATTTTTGATCTTGAGGCATTTTTTTAGACTTTATACTTTTTACTGCAAATGGCTATCGGCGGTCAAAATTGTTCTTAAAATACATATTAATGCCTCGTTTTTGTAGCATTACAGTGTGTTGTACGCGGCAGTGGCCAAACCGTTTCAGTTTCAGACCTATAACACCAGGCATGTTCTTCTCCTATATTGTATAAGATATCTAAAAAAAACTTACGGCCTTGAGGTATATTGATATGAAGTCTAGAACTTCATATCGGAGTTTTCTTTGACCTTTTACTTCTCTAGGACTGATAAGATGATTTCCCTGTGGTTGGATTGGCTGGCCAGACCGAGTCGGTGAACTGTCGTTCTCCGCATCGCATCATCGCTATCTATACTTTACGCTACATATACACTTCACTCTTCGCTTCATTCTATGAACATCCATGCCTTGATTAACGTTTCTTTCCTGAGCACTCTCACTCTCTGATTATGTCTTTCTTTCAATATTGACATTCACCTAACTCACTAAGATACACCGATCTGACGTTGAGATCCACTCTAACCGAAACAGCGAGAATACCCGCCAAAAATTGATCACCAGGCTAAAAGAATTTGCGGGGTAACATGACCTGTGACCAAGATTTCAATGTCCATCCCACCCCTTGCGCCACGTTCCTGGGCTGAGCTATCTATAATTCAAGCCAGAATGGTGGCTTGTCTCGTTTCAGGGCTGGACAAATTGCATCCGTCTTCCCTGGCCAACTGGACGGGTTCCGAGGTTGTCAGCACACGAATTGCTAGATTTGTGAAGCATAGAGTGTAGGTACATACGATGTACAACATACGTGGTCTCGGATCAGTCTATGGTTAAAATCTAAGACTGGCTACAGCAAATACATCGTAACCTACCTATATTCCCACCTACTCCTATTGGTGGAACTCTTTCAGGGCGAAGCGGGTATAGATGCACTTCCAACCATATATGTATTAGTCTTGGGTTGAGTATCACACACATAGCGAGTAACTACTGCCTAATGGGCCTGGGCTTTGTGACCTTACTAGGTACCCAAGTGTGGGAGTCGACGCTACAGAAATGGGGGGTTGTCCACGTGCTTCTGCGCCCCCGAGGGATCCGAAGAGCTTCCACTTCACTAGGTCTACAACATATAGCTAAATTTATGCAGAGTCTAGTATGATATTCCGATTGAATTAAGGTTGGTCAATGAATACACTCTTTAAGATAGTAATCAGAAGGCCTATCCTGGCGGACGCAGTCCACAAAATGAAAGGAAAGCACGGATATATCTGCTGTAGGAACGCTCATCGACTTTGAAAATAGACATGTCCAGCAGGATCATCCTGAAGCAAACTGAGACATACAAGTACAGGACAATAAAAACACAAAACTATTTCATAGCGCATCCCAACGCATGCCGCCCAAATGGCAGGTTATCCTTGCACCATCTGTATCGAGCATCTCGTGTCGTACAATCCTCCAATCACCAGTATTAATCCCAAAATGGGTCCAGCTGGTATAGAACAAGGCAGGGACAACTCGGCGTGAATGTCAAGCCATTAGACAATCATCTGTGCAACTCCCTGGCCACCTAGGGTCTTGCTACCAACAAATTCTTGTTTCGTCAGGGCTGCGAGTGCATAGAACACAGCCGCAATGAGAAGGAAGACGGCACCAGCAATCAAGCTAGAAGCCCGTTCCGCAAGACTGATGAGTTGGACACCACCAAGGACGGCGTAGATGAGGGAGCGCATCCAGTTGGTTGTAAAACGGCGGATAAAGGTGTCAAATTTAGAGGATGTGGGACAAATTCGGAGGAGGAAGGGCACTTCTATGAAGAGAATGACAAATGCCGATGCACTGAAACGGGTTAGGCTTTGCAATGAATCGGCGGAAAATAAATGCGACTACTCACATGCTGATGATACTGATGATAATCAGGACCACGTTGAATGAAAAGATGTTCGCAATTCCTAGCGCAAGGCAAAGGATAATACACAGCACACCCGTCCTAGTTATTTCGTTAGACCGATCTCTTTATATGCGGAACTAATTTTCGAGAGAGCCATTGAGGAACCACCGCACGAGGTAGCAAACGCGGTTCGGTCTTTCCATCAAAGCTCTCAGTGCTCTCCTGTGAGAGTATTCAAGCTTGCAAAAGCACGGAGTGTTGGAAGGTAACGCAGTAGACTAACCATTGTCCATAGATGCCTAGAAAAGGACAGCAAGGTTAGCAGATTGAGATATTGGCGTTGCAGAATCCGGGTACCTACTGAAATTTCGCGATCGAAGCTCCTCGCCTAGCGACATGGTGGGCTAGCAAAAATAATCTGGGGAAAATAAGAGCCGAAGATCAAAGATGGAGGATGCGCGGATGATCAGAGGTGTCAAGAGGGTCCGGCAAAGTGTACACGCGGATTATCCAGGGCGGTCAAAGGATCGAAAACAAACAAAACGGGCAGCAACGATCAATATTGAACTATTCCAAGGTTGAACGACGAAGTGAATGCAAAGTCTGGGGATATGACGATGCGAATCTGCAGTGTTCTAAATGTTCCAACGTTCTAAACGTTGCTTTTGATACGATCATTCCGAGGTACCCCCTATTACTAGGCAGACGCCAATCGTCAACATTATTGACTTTGCAAAGAGGCTATGGCCCCAATATAGTCAAGTCTATATTTCTACTTGGTTCAATACATAATATATCGATAGTCTATCTGAATTAATGGAAGAACCTGGGAAAAAAAACTAGGTTTTGATCCCCACATAAGCGATGAACCCACCATGCAACATCTTGACTTAGGTTTCTGGCTGCAAATTCTTGCAAGTCTGCCTTCTTTTCGTTAAATATGCTGAAAAAAAGAACAGAGGGCACGGTTGGTTCTATACAAAGCAAGATTGGCTCTATATCTCATTGCCCTGAAGAAAAGGTCTGGTCTACTAATCGTGCCAAGCGCCCAACACACACCTGTGTTGGTGCGGCCCATTAGATGCAAATTTCCCATAAGATGCAAAATGTATCTTTTGTATGGCTTGCATATACAAAAGATACTTATACATTTTATGAATTATCTCAACCAAATATTACGAGAGGTCGACAGCGAAGCGTATTGCTCGAAGTTTGGTTGACTCTTCGCACTCTGTGGAAACCATTCTGAAAGGCATTTCCACGAAGGAGGCGGAGGTGGAAAAGATTGCTCAAACCGTTCAAACCGAGATATTGAAAGAGAAATCTGATCAATTGGGACAGTCTCTTAAAGTATATCAAAATGAAGGACGCTCATCTGTTGAATCTTTGAAGAATCTTTTCCATTCACTTGAAGCATCGCTGATTCGCCTCAGTGACCCGCTTGTGTAGTTTCAAGAGTTACTGGATCTGCAAGAGCGCGCAGATTTCTCATGTGGCTTTTAAATGAAAGCTATAAACTACAACACGAGACTACATACAAGGAAGTTATCCCAGGAACCGCACATCGGATTTTATCTCACAAGGAGTATCAATCGTGGCAAGCGTTAAGTGTGTGTTCAAATCTTTGGGTCCATGAGATTCTGGGTTATGGGAAGACTAAACTCGCCTCCGTCATCATTCAGCAACACTTGGACTCTGCTCGGCGTGATTGATTGGGCCGAAGCCGAGATTGCTCCATTCGGTATAAATCTCTACGCTCATGATCGTTTGATAAGTAAGATCCACTTAAAACATGGCTGGTCCAGGTATGATGATTATCGCCTTTTAGATGAGATATTCTGGAGCACGTTCAGTCAAGAAACCGGAGTGGATAATGAAACGATCAAAACCATCAAAGCCGCAAGGATTGCTGGAGTACTGTTGTGGCTTGGCTTCACAAGTCGTCTTCCGAATGAGCCGATGCCAGTACCGATTTCTGATGATGATGAAAGTGGAGCATATGGCATGCGTGATCTAGACGGGCTTTTGATTAATCCAACTACGAGGTTCACGGACTTGGTATGCTTGGTTGAACTAGGAGAAAAGAGAATGTGAAAATGACTAGCCAACTGGATGCAAACATAGCACCAAAGTGTATACATGCGAAGGGTTCAATGTCCAACCCAAGGTCTCAATGGGTTCCACGTGAGTGGTTGTGGTATATAGGGGCGAACAACCATACTCCGGTGGCACAACAGCAACTCGACGGCTGGACTTAACTAAAAATAAGGACCGTAAGCTACCACGATTCTTTTCTCCCCAAAATACAATGCATCTCACCCTCACATCCGTCTTAGCCTTGCTCTTTCTGCAAACCCAAGCTCTACCTACAAATGACACTCTTGAAACCTTCGTGATTCTCGCATTCCTATCCGTTTCCTTAGACTCGAACTACAGGCTTTGTACCCAGAGTCATCAGCCCGCTACTCTCGCTTGCCTGTCGTAGGTATGTACGTATATCACTGTTTAGTTTGATAATTGATCTTCTCATTGAGACTAACTGTTATACTCACCGACCATCCGCAGAACCCTTCAAATGCGAGTGTATGTGCCCCCATCAGTTCTACCAGCCCTCTTCTCGAGTGGTACGCACGTAGGGAGTTTGATGCCATTACGCTTCGGTGCACTGAACATGCTTTTCAGCCAGGTTGCTGGAGTTGTTGCCTCGATATTGCTCCTGTCTTTTTGGGACATATGTTGGCTTATCCCCAAACTAGAGCAGCATCAGAACAGTGGTTTGTGGAAACCAATCGAGAGGAACATCATGGCCCAGCATCTCATTCATCTGGGGGATAGGACAGCTAGACGGGGTTCGTAGTGTCTTGTACCTCATATCCCGAACTGTATTGCTGGTACCCCAAATGTATAGATACTGGATCTAAGTTAGTGTGCAGTAACCTTCTAATGAATACTAAACAAGAGTAGACGGCCGCATGTGCGGCCTTGTGATGTATTTTTAGTAGTGTTTTTTGGTGGCTTTTTTTTCTCGGATATTTATTTTGCAACATAGCTGTCTTTCAGATATGTTGTCCCCCTTCTCAGTTATATCTAGAAAGGAGGAAAAAAACATACCTTGTTCAAGAGACCTTTCTATGTATATGTAACCTTTGATCGGCACGTCCAAAGGTAAAACATGCTTTCTGTTTAGGATCCTTATCGAGAATCCATCAGATCTTTCCCCCTCTCTGAATCATGCCATCAAGTAGTTCTTACGCCATAATATCGTATAGAACTGGATATTAAATTGAAAGGATCCAGCGCCCACTTGTTGTGCCCCGAGTAAGCGGGGGGAAACGGTGTGCTCATATATCCATTGTACTCACTACTCCGAACAAGTCCTTGATATGATGTGCTATGTGAGCGGTTAGAGCTCTAAAAGCCATAGCAATGCAAAGCTTACCACTCGATATGGAGGTTGGTTTTCAAAGCCCAATAAATCACCGAGGCTCAATGTCTTGATATGGAATACCCCTCATGCCAAGGGATGATCCCCCAGTTTTCGGACTTACCCCGGGTTACACTATACCCTTTTCAAGGGATAGGTATAAATACCCGCGGAATGATGTCCGCTGTGACCGATTCTCTTTTTCTCTCATTTCTCTTTGCCCGTCATGGTTGATTCAAAGGACACGGAGAAGCCCTCCTCCCTACACCAATTCGAGAATACACCCGTCCGAGATTCCCCATACAGCACCGATCTCAAGCAAGATGGGCTAGTTGTAGACGCGGAAGCCTCTAGCCTCGGCCCAGTAACCTTTGAGGGAGTTGATGAAAATGCTGTCCTCCGGAAGATGGACATTCGTCTCATTCCCATGCTGAGCATGCTATATTTGTTGGCCTTCCTGGACCGCGGGAATATCGGCAATGCGAAGATTGAGGGGCTTGTTGACGATCTCCATATGACGGGACCGCAATACAATTGGACTTGTATGACGAATCCCTTCGCTTGCTGAGTTCCATAAAAGAATGGCCAATTGACACATGTTGGTGGGTAGTGACCGTCTTCTTCTTTACCTACTGCGTCTTTGAACTGCCGAGCAATCTCCTGCTGAAGAAGTTAAGACCCTCGAGATGGCTTCCGTTGATCATGATTGCTTGGGGGATTGTTATGGTGAGCACTCACCTTACTCGAGAGTCGTCTTAAGCAGCACTTAACGATGGAAATTCTACAAACAGACTCTGATGGGGGTTGTCAACAATTACGGCGGATTGCTCGCAACCCGTCTGTGTTTGGGCATTGCAGGTATGTTGATCTATATCCCATCCCAACCTCCACCTTGTTTTTGTCATGGCTAACAATGTAATGAAACAAAATAGAAGCCGGCTTGTACCCTGGTGTGGCATATTACATTACACTCTGGTACCCACGTCATCGAGCACAATTCAGACAGGCGCTCTTCTTCAGCGCCGCCAGTGTTGCCGGTGCATTCTCTGGACTTCTTGCGTACGGTATCGCTGTAGGTGCTCTACCCACCGACGGCAAGGACCAATTTTACTAATGTATCTCGAAAACCCTAGAAAATGGACGGTGTGGGTGGATATGCTGGCTGGAGATGGATCTTCATTCTTGAAGGTCTTCTTACGGTTCTTGTGGCACTGATAGCCCCATTTGCAATTCACGACTCTCCGGAAACTGCCAGCTTTTTGACCGAAGAAGAGCGTCGATTTGTGATCCACAGTTTGCGGATTCAAAACTCGGTAGACTCGCGCGAAATTGATCAAACGAATGATAAGTTCGAAATGCGCTATGTCATTGAGGCTTTCACCGACTGGCAAATGTGGCTGGGCCTATTCAGTGAGTTCTGTTTGTTTCTGGGTATTCAAGGTATCATTGACTGATTCGTGCAAAGTGTACTGGGGTATTACCTGTCCGCTCTACGGCATTTCTCTTTTCCTTCCTTCGATCATCAAGGATCTAGGCTATAAGTCTTCGACTGCTCAGCTCCTTACTGTAAGCTCACTGTGTCACTGAAGTACTGAATTGAAGATTAACACCATATTAGGTACCAATTTATATCACTGCAGCAGTTGTGGCTGTTATTGCAGCGTGGGTATCAGACAGACGCAAGGAACGATCCCCATTCATTCTCTTCTTCATGGGCATGATTGGTGCCGGCTTTATCATCTGTCTCGCATCTACTGGGCGGGGAGTCCCAGGGGTTATGTACTTTGGTATCTTCGTAGCGGTCGTCGGTAAGTACACCCGTGCTACAGATATATACTCAGCTAACACAATACCAAAAGGAATCTATCCAGCATTCCCCGGAAATGTCACATGGCTTAGTGTCAACATGGCAGGCGACTACAAGCGAGCCGCCGGCATGGCCATTTACATTGGACTAGGAAACCTGGCAGGAGGTAAGGATAGCGCATCAAGTACGAGTTTGAGATTCAAACTAACGGTCCGCACTCAACAGCTATGTCCTCAAACTTCTACCGTGCTCAAGATGCGCCGAATTACATCCTTGGACACTCCCTTGAGCTTGCTTTCGTTGTCGTGGGCATGATAGCGGCTGTCATTCTGCGTATGGCGTACCAGCGTATTAACCGTAAACGGGATGCTATGGATCCTTCCGAGTATCCCGAGAATCCTGACTCGCTGGGTGATCGTTCTCCGTTATTCAGGTACATGCTTTAAGGTGAGGCGAGGGTCCCCAGGTTTATGATTGGATGATAAAGATTGAACGGGCCATGGAGTATGCTCAGATTACGTTACATTCCTCTTTGGGTGTTCCCTTAATATACATATCTCTCTCTTTCAACTTCTATATACATACACATAAGAGTAGAGACGGCTTTCCTAGGTATATCTTCTATATAGTGGATCTTATAGAAACACAGCCAGCATTAGCTTTTATTTGGCCTTAATTAAATAAGATATAGAATGCGCAGTCAATACCTCCAGGGCTTACCCAAGATTGAGAAGCTCATCAGGACCCTGAGTTGATGAAAAAGAAAACCGAGAGATAAATATATTATCAGATCCAACTTGCTACTCTCCCTTCCCAACACCTAAATCCAGATCAGAGCTATTTAGAAGCCCACCACGCCCTCATGCCCACATGTGCACCTATATGTACCTTCTGTATCTGGCACAGCTGGTTCGTTCCTTCTCTCAGTCACTCCCCTCTCTGATTTCCCAGACATTTTCAACACTTGTCTTACCCACTCGTCTCTACCAAGTCCAACTGACGGACATGACCTTCCAGATACGCCAGAAAATTGCTATCGACTGAAAGACCCAAAGCCCAGCACGGATCGTGCTTAACCTCGTGTGCATCCTCAGTCCATGGTGCCATGGATACACACAGATTATCGAAATCGACAATCGTTTGAAGAGAGCGCCCACCTACAACTCTCCACGCCTTGCGGAGTCGCACGGGTGACTAGGTCCAGAGATATTCCAATTTATAAAGGACCCAACATTTGCGACACCCTTGTTCTCAATTCCGCCCAAGCAGACATGCTGTACCCAGCACTATATCTTCGGGGCGCTCACCAGTCGAGGATATGATCCGAACTATATGCCAATAAATGTCCTACTAAAACTCATTTAGATAGAGGCTCGACCTTGCCTGTACATTATTAAGTATCGAACACACCAAGGTTAATGATCCCAAGCTGTGCCTCCCGAGTGTTCACTATAGTTCACAAAGCCTTTGGTCCCCAATATAAGATTCTTCAGCCACTCAGCCACATTAATCCTCAGAGTTAGATCATTGCGGGAATAGCTCCGACATTCGATCATTATGCTATCATAGCATAAGCTCTGCCTCAACTAACCCAATGGCCATAATGACTATCACTCAAGACCTTATCCTACACGGGCCGCCTCCCATCTACAGAACCTCCAATTTCCGAAACAAAATGCCATCAAGCCCATGGACCAAACCCGACACAAGCACCCGCCCAATCGCCGTAATCGGCGGCGGCGTGATGGGCCGAAGAATCAGCATGATGTGGATATCCTCCGGCTTTACCGTAATCCTATGCGAGAAATCAAGGGAGTCCGACAACGCAGTGGGCTACATACAAGCACACGAAGCCGAGCAAGCCGCCAAACAAGGCACATCGCCCGCCGAGCTGAAGACAACAACCTCGTTAGAAGAAGCCGTCTCGAACGCATGGATGGTCATCGAAGCCATCCCGGAGAAGCTGCAGATGAAGATCGATCTCCTAGCGGAGATAGACAAGATCGCCCCACCGGACTGTGTAATCGCCAGCAACTCGTCGTCGCTGCGGTCTAGCCAGATGATCGTGAAGACGGAGAAGAATTACCGCATCTGCAACGGTCACTACTACATGCCGCCAGAGCAGACGTACTTCGAGGTGATGTCGTGTGGATACACGGATCCTAATATCTTTCCGTTTTTGACGGAGAAGGCTGCTCAGGCTGGGTTCACGCCTGTACATGCCAAGGTTGACTCTACGGGGCTTGTGTTCAATCGCATTTGGGCGGCGATCAAGCGTGAGGTTTTGCTTGTGATGGCTGAGGGTGTGAGTGATGGTCAGACCATTGATGAGATGTTCAGGGGCTGGTTCAAGGCTGAAAAGGGTCCTTGTCAGATGATGGACACTGTTGGGTTGGATACTGTGTACAATATTGAGACTGTGTATACGCAACAACGCGGTCTGGACTCCACTGCCATGGATTGGCTGAAGGAGAATTATGTTGACAAGGGCAATTTGGGTGCCAAAAAGGGAAAGGGTTTACTTGGATAAAGCTTATTATAGATTGTTTTTTGGAAGCTACAATACGAAAGTGTTCTAGAAGAGATTATTGAAACCGCAGTTCTGAGTCTAGAGCGGAGTGATGAGACGTGACCAACTGAAGCCATTGAATTATTGGGTATAAGATAAATCGGTACTCTCGCCCCCGGGATTATATAGGATCGATTCGAGTTGCCTCGGACCGTCCAATTATAGCATGACAATAGGGCAGCAAATATTTGAGGAAAAACACGATTTGAACCAATAGGTGGCTTACAAAAGTGTTGAAGACAGGTAAGAATGAAACGAAATAACCAAAAGAAGGTGACACAGGGCATAAGTATAGGTATCAAGCGTCCAAAGCAAACCGGACAGGGAATCAAGAATCATCAGAAAAATTAGTATCCAGGAGACACAATGAAAGGAAATTAGGCAAGGAAGGTGAAGGTGGATAAGTGGGAGAGTAATCAGAATAGGACCGCAATACATAAGCGCGCTCTGAGAGCTCGGAGGAAAGGGTATAGAGTGAAGGGCATTAGGGACAGGCCCTAGGGTGCGACTGGTAATCATTAGGGTATAGCACACCCATAGGGCCAATTAATGTAAAGGGGGTTCGGCAGCGAAGAAATTAGCCAAACAAGATTGGAGACGAACGCGCGAAGCATTGTCCAGAGAAACAATAATTAAGAGGCTTTCCTGCGACGATGGACTTTCCATTCCGCTTTAGCGACACGCATGAACATTTCGGTGTCTTTTATGGGAACCCAGCTGGTGAGAACTTTCATGATATTCTCAAAGTCGGACTCGAGGATGATATCACGCATGCCATCAATAAGGGCAGCAGATGAAGCATGCAAGACGTCAAGTCCTTGACCAAATGTCCTTGGGTTATCAGGAAGGGGCGATTTGTTCTTTCCTAAGGTTGCGGGACGGCCAGTATTGTCTTCGGCATCTCCAAGGAGCATGAAGACATCCCACACCCGAAGTTGAGCCGGGAAGGGGATCGAGTAATTAAAGAGAGTAAGGTACCAGCGAGTGCCATAGGCTGTGGGTGGGATTCCGACCTCGTTCTGCAAAATTATGCGTTAGTAGACACTCGTCATTTTTGGAGCAAAATTGACTTACCAGTTTCGCGGCCACTTCACCTCCAGCGAGCCACTCTCGTTCAAAGTCTGCCAAGGCCTCCATTAGACCAGCAAATCCGCATTTGTACAGCTCTTCCAGACCTCGCAGCTGCCACAATCTGACGAGCATAATAAAAGAATGTTCCTCGTCGTAATACGCCAGTAATGTAGCCGCGAGAGTTGCCATTCCCTGTACGTAGCCCGTGTCAGGGAAATATAGTGACATAGCGTGAAGGACACGGAACAATAGTCTTTGGCCACCCCGATAGCGTCTCCGAAACATGATATGACTGGAGATAGTCCGCGGGACATCGATATCAATCTGGACATCGTCCGGCGATGAGATATACTGGAGCTCATTGTAGGCTTCGATGAGCTCGTCCGCAGGCGGGCTTCCCTTGTGGCGTCGAGCACTGGCTTCAAGGAATGAGTACCAGGCAGTTGACCGCCATCGATCTGGAATGCCTTTCCAAGTTCGCTCAATCAGTTTTGAGCTCTGAGTATCGAACTCAAAGGTCATACCGCCGCCGTCCTTGGACTTCTTGGTCGGCTTGGCCATCTTGGTCCACTTGTCTTCACGCTGCCACTCCTTCCTTCGCATTGCGCGAGTAATCGGCGCATCTTCATTCTCGCCAGCAGATGGAGTGGGCAGAGTGAGCATGTCAGCCGCCTCATCCTTGGCTTTTCGGTCTCGGTTGTGAGGCAGATGATTGGTCGCCGTACGCAAGCGGGATGTCGTACGGCGCAATGGTGGACCATAGTTGCTTTGTGATGAAGATGGACGGGCGCCCAGGGAACTTTGGGATATTTTGCGGACTAGAGACGGACCGTTGAAAGAACGGTTGCTGGCCGGAGCGGTTGGTGGGCGAATTGAACGTTTCCGCCGAGGTGTTTCAGAAGCCAGCAGAAGGCTGGTCGTGACTCGCTGGAGCGGGTTGATCTCGGAGCCCTTGGCGTTCTTTGCAGGTCGAATGAAGCCATACCGATCGACTTCTTCTGCGCCGACATTTTGCCAATATTCAGCACCACCTGCTAACTCCTGGGTTTCCCTCTTAATTCGGACGCGCTCCACTTCAGCAGAGGCCCTTGGTTTTGTTCCATTTCCAGTTTTATTCGTCTGAGCAGCGAGTGTTTCAGAGGTTTCAGTATCCGGGGCTGCACCTTCTTCCCACAAGACCCCGTGTTCGGAGGCCAATGCTTTCGCAACCTCGGAGTCGGTAACATTCTCTTCGCCCTTCTCATACATCAGCCGAACTCGCCGGGACAGCATGTCTTCGTCTGCCGATATTGCTCTGCTCGGAAGACTAGTCTGCCTCGGGCGAAGAGTGCCCTGGGGTTTGGTGCGTCGTGGAACAGCTTTCGGCATTCCCTTTTCTCCTTCGGACTGGCTTATGATATTCGGAGGGGGCGGAGCAATTTTAGATCCCTGTCGGTCCAACCGTTGATCACAAGTATCTTCCGATGTTTCCTGAGCTGGCTGGCCGAGTTCTTGACGGGGTTCCTCCTCTTCTGGCTTTTGCTGGCGCAATTGTTCCGGTTGTTGCTCGAAGTGCTCGCCCAGCTTCTCCTGGGGCAGTTGTTCTGGTTGCTGCTCGAAGTGCTCGTCCAATTTCTTCTTGGGCGGTTGTTGTAGTGGCTGCTCGAAGTGCTCGTCCAGCTTCTCCCGGGGCATTTGGTCTGGTTGCTGGTCGGGGTGCTCTCCAAGCTTCCCCTGAGGTGGCATTGGGTGCGGACGTGTCGCCTGACCCTTGATCAGACTTCCACGATTGGAAAACTTCATCGACTTATCCAAACCATCCAAAGAGGCTTTCGGTATATCCAAGGGGATACCAGTGAAGGAGTGCTCGATTTGAGGCACTGGCGGAGCCTCTTCCAAGCCAAGTTTCCTCTCCATTTCGAGTGACCGTTTCCTTAAACCACCCCACTTCCTTTCTGACCATCGAGAGCCCGGCCTTGAGCCCGGCCTTGAGCCTGGCCGCGAGCTGGGACGGGAACCTGGTTCATTCACAACAATGCTGGGCACGCTGCGCAAGGAGGGCGCGCCCTCCGACCGAATTGTTCGAGTTTCATCTCCAACGGACACGGATGGCACGAGCCGCGAGAACATAAGCGCGGATGCATGATCATGACTTGGACCAGACGCAGCGCTTGTGCTTAAAGATCGGCCATTGGAGGCTATTGGCGCATCGGCTGTGGGCACCGAGCCCGGCTGGATTGCAAGAGGGGCGTCGGTATTTTCAAACGGCACCGCGTGAATTATCGGATTGGACTCCGACCGGTCGGGCGATAACGATGCAGAAACCTCATTCACCATTATCCCGGCATGACTTGCGAATCCGCGCGTGGGCTAGAATCGCGTGAAAGAAAGGAGCGTAGGAGGCGAAGGGGGTAGAGGGGATATTAAGCGAAAATCTTGGATCAAAGTAGAAAGGAGCGACAAGGGGAAAAATCACAAGGGAAGTTCAAAACAGAATCTCCATTAAAATTGAGAGAAGATACCTTGAGTGGAGTTATTTTGGGTCGGTCTTGGCGCTCTTCAAGGAAGTTTCAATATTCCAATGGAATTCAGGGTGGTTACGTGTAATTACATGTAACTATACATGATTATATTGTAGGTACATGTACCTATATATCTTACCATTTATTAGTTCAAGTTCTCCATGTACTTCCCTGTCTCTCCCAAAATAGACATCAAGGGGTTTGTCCCACTTTGGGCCGCCTGTGGATCGTGGGAGAACAAGGAGTATGGTGGAGTACGCTAGTTCCCAGGTACTTAGATTATGCCCAACGGTGGAACATCAGGTAATGTGCTTAATTGTATCTGTGTCTACCCAGTGAACAACACAGAGTAGATGCAATTGAAACCAATCCCCCTATACGCCCCCAAATATCCAAGACGCGTGGAACTCCTGTAGCCGAGGCTTGGGTAACCATCAGCTGTCAATGCATTCAATGCAGTCAAAAAAGTGAAACCCCAGCTAGAACCAGCGTGAAAAAAAGCATCATAAGGGCGTGAAGTGGTCGAGCCAGTAGAGTTAGATCCAGCTCAAGCCATAGCAGCTGTGTGAGCTGATGGTGAGTGAGTTGGTCGAGCCCGATCCACAGGCTCTTTGGGTAAGAGTTCGATCTGACGGACCAGGAAGCTCTTCTCATCCGTAAATTGATCGTCGTCAGTTCGGTCCTCTAGGAATTTAGGCAAAAACCTCAACAGTCGATCACGGTTATTGATCAGAATTCGTTGCACTGCCACAGATTTGGTCGGGTTGGCCACAAACACCTAATTCCTTGTCAGCGCGAGCCCTCGTCTGTTTTGCGATTCGAGGGCATCTTTACCTTGAACACATGAAACCCTTCGTACTGCACCATTTTGCGATCATCCCGCAGCAGTTTCATGCATAATTTGAGATTATCTCCACTCTCCACATATGCCATCATCACATTGTAGTTCGCACGGTCCAATAGGATCTCCCCAAGAAGCTTGATGCTTTGACGCTTGGTCACATACGAGTCCGAGTGGACCAGAATGTTATTGAATCGCCCAAAGAATAGTTCAAAGTTGGTTGCCAGATACGAAGTCACGAGGCTCTTATGGCGGGTCAAAATCTCCTGTGAAAGATATGTCAGCTAACTATCATCAATCGTCATCGTTCTGGACCTTACCCTGAATGTGGTGAATGCATCTGCGCTGACTTCGAAATTGCTCTTGTCTATCCAATCAAAGAATCTCCAGAACACACCATCTCCCCTTTGCGGGTGGTTGGGTTTCACTTCTGATAGTCGTATGGCAGATTCTCCTTCACTGGATTGATCATACAGCACGATAGCGGTGATGACGTCGAATTTCAATGCCTCTCGGAGAATGACACCACATGGCATTGCACTTTGACTCTGCATGTAGCCTCGACATAACTCGACAATGATTTCTGGTCGATGGTGGACAAGGTACGATATGACGGGAGGATCTTTTTCCATTCCATATGAATTAGGCCGGAATCGAAGGATATGAGAGAATACGGTCTGGGTGTCTTTTCTGGCTTCGAAGGGAAGCAAATGGATGCTCTTAGATAGATCAAAGAGTAGATCTTCTTGCAGGGTTGCTTGTACAAGTGCATGGACTTGATCCACTGATGCGGCGACCTCTAAAGAAGATCATTGTGTTAGTTCCTTGATATTGTGCCTTGGATATTACTTCCAGGAGACTAACCTGGTGTTCCTTGTACTATCACCTTCATTTGACTGAGCTGCTTAGCCAGCTCCTCCTCAGCCTGGTGCATGCGTTAATCGGATTGTTCCCTCTATATTTCATGTCTCCAAACAAACCTTGGGAGCATTCTGGGAGTCATGGATCCTCAGTAATAATTCCTTCGTTGTCCGGACGATATCAGCAGGTTGCCGCGACCGGCCGCGATTGAAAAAGAAAGCCATAGTGAGATGGGGAGAATATGCGGGAAATTGAGAAAGAAACTGGTGATTAAAGCGACATGGGGTAAGTTATAATCTCAACGAGAGAATCGAGATCGAGTCACAAGGGGAAGCAAATGTGATGTATTCGATTGCCAGTTGCGAATAAACAAATCGGGGCGGGGCAACGGGGCCTTTCTGCCTGAGGCAGCAATCGATAACGGATTTTTTTTTTCTGTATCAAAAATGTTATCTTCTGCCCCTCCCCCTCAGTAGAAACAATTTGTTATTGGCCGTATAAGTCAATAAAGGCATGTCTGCTCCCAATGCCGTGAACCCACCCGTGGGTGAGAGTTTCCCTGACTCACACTCAGTATCGGATTCGTCCGACTCCAGCAACGAGGAGGGCTGGGAAGATGTCGAAGCCGATGAGGAGTCGCAGCCTGTGGTTGGCCTTTTCAATAACCAGGTCTTCCCCGATGCGCGCTCAATGCTGAAGGAGTGCAAGGAAAAGTACAATTTTGATCTGCTGAAGATTCAGAAGGACCTTGGTGCGTCCATCTTTTACTCTTGCGCGGGGCTCAGCAATCGAAGCTAACAATTTTTTTTCGCTTCTAGATCTAGATTTCCTCGACAACATCAAGTTGGTCAATTACATCCGCACCGAAGTCAAGAACGGAAACAACACCCCCGATGTTTCGTCCAAGTCCAACTTTGAGGATGATGTCTACCTCAAGCCCGTTTTGGAGGACGACGCTCTCTTGTATAGCTTGGACGACCTTGCCGAAGAACAGGCCGAAGACGCTGTGGCTGGCACCGAGACAAACCGACAGGTTCTCGAACTCCAGGAGAACTTGGAGCGGTTGCAGACCCAATTCTCTGAATACCGGATTGCTGTGCAGCAGTCGATGGATGACCAATTGTCGAAGGAGGATGAGAAGCTTGCTGAATCCAACCCGCAGCCCTCGGCCAAGGCTATCGACAGACACCAGGATGCCGAGGATGGATACTTCGTCTCGTACTCTTACAACGGTAGGATCCCTCACTCAACTGATTATGCATATTATGCTAACATAGTCTAAAGGCATTCATGAATCTATGCTCAAGGACACTATCCGTACCGACTCTTACCGTGATTTCGTCTACGAAAACAAGCATGTTTTCAAGGACAAGGTTGTTCTTGATGTCGGCTGTGGCACTGGTATTTTGTCCATGTTCTGTGCCAAAGCTGGCGCAAAGAAGGTCATTGCTGTGGACAACTCGAACATCATTGACCGAGCCAAGGAAATCGTCCATGACAATGGCCTTGAAGATGTGATCACGTAAGGACCCATAATCATCCTTAGTAAAAAGACAGCACTGACTTTACCCCAGATGTATCCGTGGCAAGATCGAAGAGGTTACTTTGCCCGTCGAGAAGGTCGACATCATCATCTCTGAATGGATGGGTTACGGTCTCCTTTTCGAGGCCATGTTTGATTCCGTCATCTACGCCAGAGATCGTTACCTCGCTCCTGGTGGTCTTATGGCCCCTTCGCACGCTACTCTGCGCCTTGCTCCTTATGCTGACCCTGATTTCATCGCGTCTCACATCTCGTTCTGGCACAATGTCTACGGTTTCAAGATGGACAGCATGCTTCACAAGATTTACGATGAAGCTATCGTCCGCAGCAACCAGCCCACGACTGTTGTCGGAGATGCTCCCATTTTCTTGACACTTCCGCTCCACACCATCACTGTGGAGGAGCTGTCGTTCTTGAAGGAATTCCAGGTCACTTTGAACCAGGATGTCGATGCATTGGATGGATGGATTATCTGGTTCGACATTTTCTTTATGCCCTCCAGAGAGTCTGTTCTGCCCGAGAATGCCCTTCCCGAGGATATGCAAAAGAAGGGAATCGTCTCATTCACCACTGGACCTCATGGAACCGAGACCCATTGGCAGCAGACTGTCCTTCTCATTGACCATGCCAAGGACGATGCCAAGCAAGGTTCTCGTGCCTTGAAGAAGGGCCAGGTTATCACCGGCAAGATCGGTTATGAGAAGACTGAGAAGGGTTCTCGGGGAGTGGACATCAGTGTCCAGTGGGAGTCCGATGCGAATGAGAAGGGAGTCCAACTTTGGAGCCTCCAATAGGATCGAGCGATCTTTTGATACGTTTTCTGATGAACTAAAAGAGATATGACTACCCATATAAAAAAGGACGGCAATCTATTATCTAAGTGTCGTTTATTTGACCCAGTGAATGTAAAAATGATTTGCATTTAGGAACAAGAATGTAATGGGTATCAACGTAGTAATTTGAGTCATGATCTCGTAGCACAAATGGAACATTTAAGATTGATTCTTTGCTTCAGGATGTTTTTCCCGCCTGGCAGCCTCAGAACTCTCATCGTGACGATGACGATGACTGCGATGAGAAGAGTGGTGACGAGAGCGATGGCGAGAGTGATGATGAGAGCGATCTCGACTTCGATGGCGACGATGATGCCTGTCAGAACTTCTTCGGTCCTTCTCGCGTTCTATGCCCGGCGCATCCAGTTTGAACCCATCGAGATCGTCCACTGACGGGGATCGTCTTCGCCGATGGCTTGATTGCCGTGCTTCTTCAGTCTTCAAAGCTTCGATCTCTCGTTGCTTTTCATCATTCCACCGTTTCCGTTCCTGTTCTGTTGTTTTCAACTGGCGCACACCCCGCTTGATGGCTGCAAGTGGATCATTCGCACTCATACGAGCCTGTGTCCTCTCTTTGCGCCTTGGGTCCTCGTTGCCCCACACGTCTTTCTCGGGCATTGACCCTGGCGCTGTTGCGTTTTGTTCTGCGGAGGAATACCACGGTTTCTGGCCGATAGTCTCCTTGAAGCCTGCGGCGTTCGAGAACCTCATTGTGTATTGATCCTCATAGCTGCGTTTCTTCCGTGCCGTCTCGGCCTCCGCTTCGGGATTTTTCTCTGTCTTAGCACTTGCGACTGGGAACAGATTGATATGGCCAGCCTTGTCTAGAATCGGTGCTTGTGCTGTATCAGCCTTGCGAGAGGCGAGCATCAACTCTTCTCGCTTAGCAATTGCCTGTGCCGCATCCTCCCGAGCGTATCGTATATCTCGATCCGTATCATCTTCCCCGGCAACCCGCCTTCTCTTACGAAATCCTCCGGCGTCGCTGGCCGGCTTTCTGTCTGATCGAGCCCCCGGTTGCGACGACAAGGAGGGCGCAGGTGGAGGTGTAGGCGGACGTTCGCCGCGAAGAATTTTTATCCTGCGTTCAGCATCTACCTCTTGCATGACACGTTCATCTTCTTCCTCGCGGGCTTTTGCCTGCGCCTCGTCGCGCCTGACACGGGCGACATTATCGACGTTGTAGACGTTCCATGATTTCTTGCCAAGGAGATGGCTATTCAAAGATTAGCGGGTTTTGCAGTTATTATAAAATTGAATGAAAAAACTCCACTTACAGAGGCATCTTGGAAACTGCCGACCCTTGCGTGGAAGTTGAGGCTCGATAGCAAAGAGCTGGTCTTATCGATAATGACGTCCCCACGGCCCGACGCTGTTCCCGGGGGTGGCTAAATGCCCCATCGACAGCTTTACGGCTCCAACTCTCTTCTCTTCTTCATATTTGTTGCTTTGGATATCATCACATGCAGTCAATTCTTGAATACTAATCTTTGAGGATTGACATCAATCACCTGCGCTGCAGAGCCGACTGACTTGCACAGTTGCCTGTTCCTTTCCCGACACTGTGTCGCTAAGACAATAACGTCAACGGTTTTCAACTCACCCTCTGTGATAAGCGATACCTAAAGGGTTCATTATGTTCAATCGCAGCAATCTCCCTGCGAATCCGTTCAGCTCCAGCGGACAGCCGTCCCCGCAGGGCTACTCGAACCCCAACCAAGCACCCCCACGGTACGATACCGATCCCTCCCCCTCGTGCAGTGCAGGCTATGCAGCTCCTATCCACGATGGCGATGTGCCGATGACTGATGTATATGATGATTTAAGGGGTTACGGGGGCCCACCTCCACCAGGCGGCAGACCGCCGCCGCAGCAACAGATGCCTTCTAGGATGCAGTCCGGACAAAGAGGTGGAGGCCAGACATGGACTCTTCATCCAAGCAAGAGTCCCAACGAAAACTACACTTTTGGGAACCTGTGAGTATTTTCTGACTGCCTTTTATTTTCAGTGGCTAATACACAGCAGCGTCGCTGTTTCGCCGCAAGACATCCCACCCTCACGAGATGGCACCGACGTCCTCCTCCTTATCAATGACTTCTTCGTCTTCTCTGCTCGCCCTCTCGATGGCTTCCCTGCTGGCTATATGAGCATGTCGGACCCCCAACGAACATGGGCCAACATCGGATTGAGAGATGCGATCAAAGTGCAGTTGTACGATCCGTTTAGCCAAGGCGGGCAGGCCTACCTAGGCTCTGCGGATATTGAAGTCAGCTTTGCATCTACCAAGAAGCGGGTTGAAACTCCTTATGACCAGGATGAACTAGCACAGGCAGTGATCAGGGTTAGTCCGCTTCGTCCCCGTCGTGAATACATGCTAACAGGCCCCAGAACTTTGAAAACCAACTATTCTCGCCTGGGCAGAGGATTTTGATGGATAATAAGAGTATCCCACTCTTATTACAGGTCAAGACCGTCCAGCGGGTTGATTTGACATCAGAGAAGCCCGATCTCAGTTCTGGAGAAGTCGAGACTGATCCTACGGCCAGGGGTATTCTAACACGGCACACTCAACTCAACTTTTTCAAGGATACCCAGACCGGTATCAACGTGAAGCCATCTAACCGTCGCCCGGCGGCCAACTCTATCATCCAACCTGGCTTCAAGTTCCAGGATATGGGTATCGGTGGTTTAGACTCTGAGTTCAGTACGATCTTCCGTCGTGCTTTCGCGTCTCGCATTTTCCCCCCTGGTCTGGTTGAGAAACTTGGTATTCAGCACGTCAAGGGTCTCTTGCTTTATGGACCTCCAGGAACGGGTAAAACCCTCATTGCTCGGCAAATCGGAAAGATGCTCAATGCCAGAGAGCCCAAGATTATCAACGGCCCAGAAGTTCTGAACAAGTACGTGGGCCAGTCGGAAGAAAATATCCGAAAGATGTTTGCGGATGCCGAGAAGGAGTATAAAGAAAAGGGTGACGAGAGTGGTCTCCATATCATCATCTTCGATGAGCTAGATGCAGTGTGCAAGCAGCGTGGTAGCTCAGGCGGTGGCACTGGTGTCGGTGATAGCGTGGTCAACCAGCTCCTTTCGAAACTCGATGGTGTGGACCAACTGAACAACATCTTGTTGATCGGTATGACCAACCGAATGGATATGATTGATGAGGCTTTGCTGCGTCCCGGTCGTTTGGAGGTGCACATGGAAATCTCGCTCCCTGACGAGTATGGTCGAAGCCAGATTCTCAACATTCATACCGAGAAGATGCGAAACAATAATGTCATGGATAAGGATGTTGACTTGGCCGAGCTTGCTCACTTGACCAAGAACTTTTCTGGTGCTGAGATCGCTGGTTTGGTCAAATCTGCCTCGTCCTTTGCTTTCTCCCGCCATGTCAAAGTCGGCACTATGGCTAGTATCAACGACGATGTGGTAAACATGAAGGTTAACCGGGCCGATTTCCTTCAATCTCTTGATGAAGTCAAGCCTGCCTTTGGTGTGTCCGAGGAAGAGCTGGCGAGCCGCATTCCCTACGGTATTATCCACTACTCTTCAACCATCAGCGAAATCCTGCGGGAAGGCGAGTTATTCGTCAAGCAGGTTGGTGTGGCTGAGTCAACTCCACTTTTCTCTGTGCTGCTGCATGGTCCTCATAGCAGCGGCAAAACTGCGCTGGCAGCACGCATTGCTATTGACTCCGGCTTCCCCTTCATTAAGTTGATCAGCCCCGAAGACATGGTTGGCTTTAGCGAGCCCGCAAAGATCGCACACATCAGCCGGATCTTTGACAGCGCCTACAAGAGTGCTACAAGTATCGTTGTCGTCGATAACATTGAGCGAATCATTGACTGGGTGCCAATTGGTCCTCGTTTCAGCAACAGTGTGCTTCAAGCTCTCATGGTCTTCCTGCGGAAGCAGCCAACTCACGGACGTCGTCTGTTGGTTCTGGCAACGACAACTGAGCGCGCTTTGATGAAGCAACTAGACATCTACAACTCCTTCAACTCGGACATCATGGTTCCCAATGTTAGTTCATTCGGTGAGCTGCGGTTTATCATGGAAAAATCCGGTGCCTTTGATGCGCAGGAGATCGCGCGAGCTCTCGAATCAGTCGGTGGACTTTCAGATGACGGGCGTTTGAGCGTCGGCATCAAGAAGGTCCTCTTGGGTATTGAAACAGCCAAACAGGATACTGACAAGGTGGGCCGCTTTGTTCGTGTTATCAACCGCGCTATTGAGGAACAGGGTTTCTAGTAAACGTTGCTTATATTGGGGTTTCCACTTGTTGAATATAGCTGGAATTATAACTAGATTAGCTCTGAAGTAAATATTTCCTCGCAATCCCAACTTCGCCTCCCTTGGCATCCTGAAGTTCATCTCCTAGCGAACATCTAGTCCGATACCTAATTAGCATAGTTTATGAGAACTATCGAACGTCATTAACCGCGAACGACTGACACGATGTCATTCCAGCACTGATAATTTGATGGTTCGGTTCAACTTGACGTTTTGTTTATCCAACGGCCAGGTCTCACTGGTGTGTTATGTGACATACTCAAAAGCAAAACACCAAAGGATTGGTATATAAATCAAGAGACGGAGTTCGAAAATACTTTTGAAATTCCAGCCTTTACTTGGCTCGTATTGAATTGTAAGTCACAACCGTTCTGGTGTGTGAGGCCAAGATACACCAGCCTTCAACGTCAAACTCGTAGTTACACAATAATGTACGGCCAGCGATGCTCTGCAACCCTGGAGGGACTCAGGCACACTTCAAAGCCTGATATTACAGGCCTACAGGCAGCAATTCCTAGGCCATACAGAAAAACAGGTAAAACCAATACCATTTAGAGAATGATCTCTACTACACGTCAAGAGAGACAGATTACCTATCCAAGATATACACAAAGACCCAATCAAAAGCGCGCCAAACCCAACGAAGAATCAAAAAAAGCTATAATCCAACTTCCATCCCAATATCTTAATTTTATCCATACCAGGGGTATTTCCCCATCATATCAGTCATCAATAAGCCCATCGCAGCCCAATCCAAGCCCAATCAATAGCCATCATAGGCATACTTCTTCGAAGAGCGACGGTAGTCATCAGGATGGGCCTTCTCAGCCTTAGCCTTCAGGGCACTATTTCCAGCCACGTGTGTCAGCCTTCTAGAAACGCACTCATCGGCGCTAATGGCGCAGGCACGTTGATCGACGTGCACGTGCCAAGCTCACCCGGCGGAGCGGAAGCCCCTGTCGCGGAGCGGAGCGGAACTTGCACGTCCATCGTACCACAGTGACTGGTTTAGGGGGGCGATTTTGCTTACCTGACGCGCTTTTGCGTCCATTCCAGGTCGCGCTTTGTCTCTCGTGCGGTTTTTAGGCCCTCGGTGAAATTCGCACGTGCACCTTTTAATCGGCGTTGTGCGAGAGCTTGTAGCTCGAGGAGTTCTTGCTGCTTTGCGTTCAGTTGTCCAGATCTAAGTTTGCAGGTGCTGTTAGCTTTTTGTGTGCGGTGCAGTATTTCTGATAGATCGTGTTTTGCCAATCACCTCCTGGTAGTGGTGATTGCTGCGAGGTGGGATTGGAAATGCTGATTAAGTGGTGGTTGCAGGGAAACCTACGTCTGCGCTTGTCGTGCCAGACCCTTGTCCAATGGGGTTGGATCATATGCATCCTGCATGCGGTCGCTCAAGACATCCACAACATCGACGCCGGAGTACGATGCGAAGCTGGAGTCGTACTCGCCGGCAGAACTGAAGGTGAGCCCGCCAGAGGAACGACTGCCGGCGGTGGTACTTGCGTCAGAGAAGTCTGGTGGGGAGCCAGAAACTCTGGAAATTGGATATAGAGATGCTGATGCCGGTGCCTTGGATGGTGCATGGTGGTATGGGTAGGCAGCAGGCTGGTAATAGTGACGTTGGGTGGCCATGGCGACGATTGACTGAAACAATAAGTGTTATAGTGAAGCAAACAGGTAGTATGAAGTTCAAGTGGACTTGAGCGAGGTGATATGAAGGAAGAGTATGGGAAGGATATGGAAGAATGTGCAAACGGGCCGAACTAGGAGTGATGGGAAAGGAAGAAGAAGGAAGGACAGTGTCCCCCGGGCCAGACGAGGGATTTTATAACCTTCCGCGGGGAGTCTTCTTTCCGGTGGATGCTCCCATCCTGATGGAGGCGAATGTGATGGCAAGGATTGCGAAGGCCCCGAAGGAGCCATTGGACCAGTCGGGACACATTGACTCGCACCCCTCCCTCTGTACCCCCAATCCCCGAGCTCCGCTGCACGTCTGTCTCCGTATCTGCCCGCCGATTTGCCTCTTGGACCGCCTTGACCCCGCTCAGATGGGAAAAAAAGACTCAATGCGTCTGGCCGAGGACGCTAGCCTTCCTCCACTAGGGTTTCCGCTGTCCAGTGGTGGCTTGGTACAAAATTGGTCTCGATCTACACCCCTCTTCCTGGTCTAAACTTTTGGGTCCAAGGTGCAGATTGGAAGTGTTCAGGGATTGACTAGAAGGACATGGAGGGTAGGTTTGAAGGAGGTTAGGATGGGTGGAGTTAGTGGGAAGGTGAGATATAAATATGGCCATGGCCGTCCTTCCTACTCCCACTTTTCCTTGCCTTTTTTTTTTCTCCATCTCTCATAAATTATCCTTTCCCCCCCCCGCCTCGTTTCCATTGATCTAAATTTTCTTTCTGAAATTCGGGGGCTGGGAATAGGACGATCAAGGTTGATTCGTTCGACAAAAGCCCCAAGATAAGACGGACTACACAAGAACCGGTATGACATGATTCCCCCTCTAACGGTTCAAGTCTAACATGATGATTAGTTGATCAGTTTCCTATACATATACAACTGTTGTAGTTGTATAGTGGTCAAATACGCCATTCCGCAGAAACCAAAAAGATCCCGGGATGTTTCGCGGCCTTACATCATCTTTGGGATCGGAGCCCAAGAGCCCAAAATCGAGGATCGCTGCATTCAATTCAGGTCACACGGAGAATGTTGGACATCACTGCATGTACCAAGGGGCCGTGAGAATTGGCATTCGAAACTGTTCCGAATCAGTGGCTCCATGCTTCTGTTGCAAGGTTCTAACAAGAATGATCCTGGTAATATATAAACAGGCAAATCGTGCGACCAACGTACAAGAAGTCCTGGTCAAATTACAAGTGAAAAACACAAAGCGAACATTGATCCTTGTTCCTCTTGCCCACCTGGATGCGGCTGTTATTGCTGCGCACAACGCGAAAGCCCCCCTCTTGCAGGAATCCACCAATAGCCATCAGAGCCTCTGACAGCGAGATAGAGAGCATTGCTGCACCGACAAGCGCTCTAGATGCTGATCAACGTGGGAAGCAAATATGCCGCTCTCCACTATGCAGATGGCCGATGACTTGCTTGACAATAGCTATTGGGGGGGTCATGTATGCAAATGGGAACCCCATCCTGCAAGGCCTGTCGGAAATAGTATATTTCAAGAAATGCTGTGCCGCCCACGACTGTCTATCATTGGTCCCAGATACATGCTGACATGAAGACCACGCAGGCCCAACTAGGTGGAAAGGAAATGGGATTTGCAGGGTACACTCTTCGAGGTCCGGGTGTTCTAAACTAGATCTGGATCCTTGCTGACTCTATGTCACTTTGTTCCTTTCCTGTTGGTCCGCCCGTTGGTGCCTCATTGTGCCTAATAGCCGGCCTGGCAGCCTGACGACTCACGATATGCCCCGTCAACCAATACTACCGAACCCTGTGACACCACCCTGACTCCCCAATCTGTCAAGACCCTGGTTTGATGAATACTGCAGGGATGTCATCTTTCTTGGAAGTGGCCGAGCACGATCTCTTATTCGGCCAGGGCAATATCGGGCAGCACGGCAATTAATGACGCGCAGTTTACACTTCGGCTTGGAATGAGCCATACACCATTCTTTGATTGCGCTCGTCATAGTCTTTCCACTAACTAGGTCTTGATCCCCTTCAACTCGGACTTCAGACTCGCATTGCTTTGAACCTTTCGGAATACTCCGTCTATCCACGATGTCGACAGTGTTTCCTTGCATAGGTTACACGAGCCCTTTTGGTCCGAATATTGAAATGAATGTCTACTTTTCTTGGCCATGTGCAATTAATGGGCTTGGTGTCTAGTACCTGAAGTATTTCCAAGTGTGAACCATCAACCGTGGCCTCAAATTCCAGTCAAATTCCAGTCAAATTCCAGTCAAATCCAAGTAATCCAAAATCCATCCCAAGCAGATTATTTTTCCAGCACAAGTGGGGGGTTTGCGGGGATTTTCTACTTCCTTCACCGCCACATGCGCCATGGCCAACTCACTCGCTTTCCCTTTTCGGTACATCTACTTGAACACTTTCCAGCCTCTTGTAGTCACATTTTAATGCTTTATATTAGTCTGCAGCTCACATGCAATAAATATTATATATCTTTTGACCTTGGAAAAGCCCAGAGAAAAGTAACAGCGAACAAGCTTAAGTATCTGTCTTATTCTATCCAAACGCCAGGATATTGAAACCAAGTTGAAAGAGAAAACAGAGAAAGAGCTGGAGTATTATTAACAACTACAAGATCCAGAAGTTAGAGAGGTGCCATGCGGTTATAATCTGGTATCACAGGAATGTAAAAGACAAAAAAGCAAAAGGGGTTCGGCTTGCTTGGTATAAATCCCAAAAAGCAAGAATTAGAGTACTGACGCCACGATGCACAGCCTCAGAGGGCGGAAAGAATCTATGCTCGTGAATGGAGTGTAGAAATCGAGATAGAAACAAGTGCCTTCCTGAGCCTATGCAAATGCCAGGGGAATGGTATCAATAGCTCGAGCGCAAATGCAAATGTCACAATGGGACTTCCAAAATGTAAACGAGCACGCTTCAAGCGTGTCTAGCGAATTTCCAATGGCTCCCCTGTGCAATCCCCCAAATCCAAATCCAAAAAAAAAACACATATCCAAAATGAAGCACCAAAAAGTCACTCCGTGGTCCATCGTAAGAATATCAAATGCAAGAACCGGAGGGAGAAGGGGCGGGGGGATACGGCTGGCTATATATATATAAAAAAAAGGCAATATTAAAACAAGGGCATGCTAGTAAAGCAGCAAAAATGTGTTGGGGGTGAATATGATCAAGGCAGGGAGAGAACCGAAAGTTCTTAGCGGCGAGCAGCGATGGCTTGTTGGTGCTCTGGGCTAAGGCGGTCTCGCAGAAGCATGAGTGGGCGACCGGGTTGGAGAAGGCCCATCATCATCTTACCCAATTCATTGTGTTTGATTGGCTTGGTGACGTAGTCATTGAAACCTGCGCGAGCAGCATTTTCAATTTGATCTGTCATTGCGTTGGCCGAAAGAGCCATGATGGGAATCTGTGGGTAATGGTTCATTTGTTCCCAATCGCGGATGTCTCTACAGGTATCGTAACCGTTCTTGATAGGCATCTGGATATCACACTGCGAATCGATGCGGTTAGTTTTGCGGGGGAACAAGCGTATGAAGGAAGACTCACGATGATGAGAGAATAGTATCCCGGCTCTTTAGAAAGCACCATGTTAGTGCACTCCAGTCCATTGGATGCAGTCTCCGACATTAGCTTGATCTTGTCCAAATACTTCAGCATGACCTGTAAATGAGTTAGTGATCAATCCAACAAAGTTCTCATAGATCAACTTACGTCTCGATTGGTTTCGTCATCCTCAACGAGCAGGACTCGATAACCCTTGTTACCCAAAACTTCTTTGACCATCTTAGAGACAGTCTTAAAGTTGTTATTGATCTCGCGGGCCATGTCTTGGTTGCGATCCTTGCTCAGTTCACGCTTGCTATTGGGATCGAAGATGGTCGAGAAAGCAGAAGGTTTGACAGGCTTTGGCACAATGAAAACCTGCTTTCCTGAAGCTGCTAGCTCTTTGACCTTCGAACTAATTTGACGCTTTTGGTAAAGGTCTGAAATTATGACGATGACTGGAGCGGGATCCAAGCCTGAGTCGGACATGCCTTGAATGACCTCCAAGATATCATCAGTTGGAAGGTTCAAGACAAGGTGTGTGCAAGGATCGGTGGAAGGCGAGTGCATCATGTCTTTCCATTCATCAACATCAAGCAATGTTGTAATCTTGAAGGTGATCTCATGAGGGACGACCTGCTCGATGTGCTGCTTTATAGCTTGCCTGGAGTTTTTAAGCGGACACAAGATGACAATGGAGAAAGGACCATGAACGGGCACAGATACCGGCCCTGTTTCTGTATCTGGAGAGCCAGATCCTTGAGACGTAGGCGACGGCACGCGGGCCGGTGTGTCTGGCTTTGTAGCGGTGGGTTCGATGCTTGTACTCGAGACTGCATCTGGCAGATTCACCATAGCTCTTGTCTCTTCTAATGGAGGCGGCAAGGGTGCGGGGCCAATATCTGGGGTCGGGAGAGCAGATGATGTGACTGAGAACGAGGAAGACAGGGTGGTATCGGTGCTTTTCGCGGATGAGTCGGAGTTTTTGGTAGCCAGAGGAGGTGCTTGTTGATAAGAGGTCGTTCTAGACTTTACCGGCCTTCTTGAAGCACTTGAATTCTGGCGCATCAATTTGGGCTGCTCAGAGGGGGAAGGCGGCGGTGGAGCATCGACCTTAACGTAAAAAGAAAACGTTGCTCCCTGGCCCTCTTTGCCGCTGGGAGTGAGCTTGCCGCCATGCATTTCGACAAGTTGCTTCGACAGGAAAAGCCCCAGGCCGCTACCTGCATGCTGCTGTGACCCATTTTCTCCAAGTTGACTGAATCGTTGCATCAGTCGTTCCGCATCCTGAGAGCTGAAACCCTTTCCGGTGTCCACGACCTCAAAGTTCATGAATGCTTGGGTGTCATTGGGACTTGCAGAAGGATCCCGATACATGCCGCAAGATATGTGAATTTCACCTTGCGCAGTGAATTTGACTGCATTTCCGAGAAGGTTAATTAGAACTTGGCGAATTCGGAACCGATCTCCAATCACCATCGATGGCAAGTCTTCGGCTATGAGGTAGTTGATCTCAAGAGCCTTATCGATTGCTCGTGAGGCGATGGTATCTATTACATCCTCGATCATTGATCGGATATGGAACCAGGATTTGACCATTGACATTTTGCCAGCTTCGACGCGGGAAACATCAAGGATATTGTCGACCAACTCGCGAAGATTGGTGGAGCTGTTTTGGATGGTGTCGAGCATTCGTCTCTGGTCACTATCAAGCTGTGTATCCAGGATGAACGGAATAGTACCAAGGATACCATTAAGTGGGGTTCGGATCTCGTGAGACATGTTGCTGAAAAACTTTGTCTTGGACTCCATTTGGTGATTCAACTGTTGCATAGCCTTGTTAAGTTCTCTTTCGAGGTTTTTGCGGTCGTTGATATCGGTACATGTTCCGTACCAGGAGGCTTCCTCGCTCCCGAAACTGCTGGTCTGGACACGTACTAGGCGAACCAAATGCCACCGGAAATCACCACCTCGAGAGCGAAGGCGGATCTCGGTGGAATAGAACACTCGGCCATTCTCATCTTGTTGTAATGAAGCAATGCCACGCCTCACAAGTTCGTCAAGAGCCGATCCGACCATGAACTCATAAGATCCGCTATCATCTTGGTCCGCGCTCGGAGATGTTCTGTTGAGAGACAGCTCACCGCACTTTTCGAGATCGTCCGGATGAACATGTTTAGCGAAGCCGAGATCGTGTGCCTCCTCAAGCGGTTGGCCGGTATATAGATTCCACTGCTCATTGACGAATATCAATCCGCGCTTCTCCGTTGCCTCAAACACTATCTGTGGGATCGAATTGGAGAATGCACGATACTTTGCATCAATAGCAAACTTCTCCCTCTCTCGGGTTGCCTCAAGCTCAGCAATATGCTGCTCATGAATGTCAAGGAAAGACCCAATCCAGTACAATACCTCTCCCGTTGACGACAACAGCGGATTGGCCCGGAAAATGAACCAGCGATATGCCGATTCATCGTTGAATCTTCGGACCCGCACTCTTTCAGTGAACTGTGCACCCGTGCGCAAGGCATTGGCCCATTTTATATGAACGTGCTCACTCTCGCTGCTATGGATATTCTGCCAAGGATCTCGAAATTTTTGGTCCTGGTGCTGACTTCTTCTGTAGGCATCGAACTTGGAATTGGTCCAAATCACTTCACCACTCTGGGGCTTTGCCAGGAAAAGATGCAACGGGATTGAATTCAGCATCAGCTGGGCTATCGTGTCAGAGAACGGGCGCGGGAGCTCCCGTTGTAGTTGGGCGTAAAACGAGTTCGTCGAGGCCTGTCGTGACGGTTGCTGGGTTGGTGAAAAAGGGTTGGCCGGTTTAATTTCTTGCAGTGGTGATGCGACATAGAAAGATTGATCTTGTAGGTTGTGCTCCTCGCCGATGGTTGGTTTCCAAGTCATTTTATCGGGAGAGATTGGCGATGACGAGTCGATGTTGGTACCCTTCGACTTAGAGAGCCGTGGTCTGTGATGGGACGCGTTGTCACGGGTGCTTTTATTTTGCGGAACATTGAAGTAGCTGTCAGCACCTTCGCCAGATCGTGAAGTCATTCCAGGAGATTGAGTTGCGGAACCGAATCCAGGGGTCCCCAAAGCAGATACAGCAGGACTGAACTTTACAGACGAGCGATCACTAGGGCTAGTCATGCTCGTGTGCGCAGACATTGGGTTGTTATTGTCGCCAGCGGAGTAGCTAACGTGACCGCTCAGTCCCGCAACAAGCTCAAGCTCACTGCTTGCATCCGAGAAAGTGCCCCCGAGACCTAAAAGATAACCAAAGCGAGGAGTTTCCACTTTGGACGAGAGCTGACTTTCAAGCTGGCTATATCGCTGAGCCAAGCAGAAAGAAGTTGTCAAATGCGGCATCAGGAGAGAAAGTGATTGTCTGAGGTTGGGAGGATATGGGACGATTGTGCACAGCATCGACACAACGGCAACAGGAAATCTTAATGTCGATGAGGAATCCCGGTTAGAGTGACCACCGTGTATAAGAGGAATGTGGATGACGGTCTTTGACTGGTCGATCCCAATGGCCTCTAGTGGGAGATTGTTAGAGTAGTCGTGTGGAGGCGGATTCTTGGAGAAGGCCCCTTCATCAACCGAATGGTTCGTGAAGAACGGGTTCTGATCTGCATGTGTACGGGGAGCGGGCGATGGAGCAGGGGACTGAGACCACGGAGACTGCGGAACCTGCTCGTATTCATCATATTGCTTCAACTCATTGACACCAAGGCCATGATACATCGGTACACTCCCGATTCCCTTATCACCAGGACCATCGACATCGGGAGTAATTTGAACCATCTCATTTGGACTTTCGGCCGACTCGGCCCACCGCTGCGGATATTGCGCGCTCTCTGCATATTCACGTGTTAAGATGGTGGGACGGGAACGCCCAAATAGCTTGGCCACGCCTGTACGCTTGATGAGGGGGTCTGGCTCTATCTCCAATGGTCTAGGTGTGGGGAACACAGCCTGTTGCATACTGCCGAGAAGGCTGCTGAATGTATCGTTTTTGGGTTCGGGGTTCTCTCCCATGGAATGATCTGTAGATGGCGGGTTCTGGGAAGCGATATGTACGTGCTTTTTCTCCGATTTGACATTTATCTTCGAAACTTGAGGTTGGTTGGGGTCGTGGAGGGCGTGTCCTTTATTTTTATCAAACCCAGCGAATGAGTGCCGAGATAACAAAGATGGGCGGGAAGATCCAGGCATTTTAGCCTGGAACACCGTCTCGGTTTTCTGCTGCGTGACGCTTTTGCGTGAGTGACACGGCTCCTTCTCCATATGACGCGCTTGAAGTTCATGCAACGATGTATCCGCGTGCTGGTTAAAAGTTGCTTTTTGGCCCCAAGGTACATTTTCCAAATCAGTGACATCTCCAGGGACAGCGAGCGACATGCGTTCAGCCCCGTAATGTGTCTGCATTATATCAATGAGGTTGGACCACCACGCTTCGAGTCCGGAATCCGCATTTAGCTGTAGTGTCAGATCATAAAGATCAGGACTGACAAAATTTGGATCTTCCTGGATCTGGTTATGTTGAGCGGGCAGAAAGGTCGGATGCAGTTCCACGGCTTTTGGTTCTGTAGGTAGAGTATGGGGCCCTGGTGTTGGAAATTGAGATTTCTCAGAAGGAAGCTTTAGTCTAAAGGGTCCGCGCGCTGTTGGTTCAATTCCCATTTTGGCCGGTTTGTGCTGGATGTGTGGACTCTGCATGTGTGGGAAGGGATAGGACGGTGTCCGGTCTGCTTTGCGATCGGACGGTGTCTCTGGCTGGACACCTTTGATTGTGCCTGTTGAACCTGCCGAGTCTGCGGAAGGATGTACAATGGCGACTGGGGGTTCTATTGAGGTATTGGACGTATTTGACAAACGTCTCTTTCTTGGAGTATCATTTGAGAGGGCGGAAGGTGGACTCCGGGAAGAGACTGGTTGGGTTTGCTGCATTTGTTGGTATACAAGGAGATCCTCCATCTGCTTTCGGAGTTCTTTGAGGGTATGCGAACTGCGTCCTTGGTCCTCCCGTCGCTCGGCTTCCGATCGTGGATCTTCGGTGATAGGTGTTAGACCAACAACCTGATCTGTAGAGTCGCCGCGCGATAAACGAGATGGTTGGAGGGAGGATTTCTCAAGAGCGTCTACCCTCCCCGCAAGTTCATCTACCAATTTTTGGGATTGGTGACCATGTGGGGGGCGGGGACCAGGCGATCGGAGAGGCTGCATATGAGATTGTGGTCTAACAGGTGGAAATGTCTCCGTTGGTGAAGGGAATGGAGGACTCCTCCTATGAGCATTCCCCATTCTCACTCATCCGCGAGTGGAGGGAAATGGAATAAAATGATATGGTTGGCGGAGTAGATGAAACGAAATGAGGCGTTTATGGCTTGACGAAGGTCGTAAATGGCCCAAGGATCAAATCTTGGCGGGGGGGGATGTGTAAAGCTGAAGAAAGGACCAAGGTTAGAGAATAATAGAGCGGACACAGAATAGCCGATGAAGACGAATGTGGTTGGCGGTGTATCCAAGGGGGTGTTCGAGAGAGAAACAACTTCACGTACCCGCCAGGCCCATTGCTTGGATCGATTTGGGAGTGGATGGGGAGTGGATGGAAAGAAAAAAAGTGGACTGGGGGCGTGATGTACCGGGGGGAATATTATGACGTAGAAGGGCTTTTTTCCCTTATAGTATACGGGTTATTTTCTCTATACATACATGTTTAAGGGTTTAATCTAAGAGTATAAGAAAGCATTCACCTTTTTTCTTTAATTTTTCTTTTTTTTTTCTTTCTATATATCTCTATATATCTGAAGTTGACCATGTTCCCCTTTAAAAAAAGATCCTGTGACGTAGCTCGATATTTTTTAGTACCTGGACCTTTTACTCGGTACGGTGAACAATGACGAGGTACTTTCGTCCCAAATCCAAATCTTTCCCCTTCTAAGCTTGTAATATATGAAATATTTCGAAATGCTCTGAAATATATGAAATATTCACACATCTGGCACATGATATCTATTACATCCATAAAATTACATGCAACTTGTAAATGTCTAGAACTCCAGTGGTCTAGACCAGAAAATTCAATATCCCCCTTGATTCAGCCTCAGATTTTACGGGGAATGGAGTATTGCTGCATTGTGACAGTGCAGGCCCAACCCCCCTGGGAACGAGGGGATCGACCCGCCGACGTCAACGGGGCTTCGGTGGCGCCAAATCGGCTCGATGTGGGAATGTGATTTGTGCATCGGCTGTCCAAGCCCCCCTTTCCGCAGAAAATTATAGAACATATGAATATCCTGGGGTCGATACCTTATTTTATATTGGGTAGAGAGTATGGAGTATCTTGAAGCTTTTCTATTTAGACATTTCATTTGAGAACATCTGAGTTCTCCTTATTCGACATCATGTACACATTCCATTCTTACTGGACTGGCTCCCCTTATATGCAAGTCTGGGCTCGCTAGCTACATATGCAGTCATCCCTTATTCTTCTCGGCGCTATACCCAGTTTCATCTAGTTATAGATCCCGACTAAATAAAATCGCTTACCAACACTTCCTCTACGTTAGTAAGATTAAATCAAGTAACTATGGAGTTTTACTAGTCCCAAACCCCATTCAAAGTGGAAATTCATTGAGATGTATGTACTTTCCCAGTCGAATATGTTGCAAGTCTCCAGGACTATAACCAAGTGTTTCTGAAAATACCCACATAAAAAAGTCAAAACGCCGTGCAATCATATGTTCATCAAACAGGATTTAGAGTACTGAAAGTTTGGACTAGTCCACCGACTGTGCAGACTCTCGGCTATTTTTGCCCGGATCGGAGGACCCGTCCAGACCGCGACGAGGATTCAACTCGCTTTGATAAACCGGTTGCTCGTTATCCTTCAAACCCGACCCGGTGGGGTCTCTCCGAATAAGGAAACCCTGCACCCGCGCGTCGTTTGAAGTCATCTGTTTGATAGCCTCATCTCTGCGGCTCTGCAGGACACGCGCCGACTCCTCGGTGACCCCGCGTAGTCGATCATTGTAACCGTTATTCATCTGCCCGATCCAAGATGCTTGAAGGGCGCCTGCAAACAGCACTAAGAGGATAATGAGCCGAGAGAACGTGCGCTGATCGACAACATGCTGCTGCGGCCCCTGGTGGCGATTATGCCAATCCTCCCAATCCTCCCATGTGGCATTCGAGTAGATATTCGGTCCGTGGGAGTCGCGGGCTATGGTTGTATCCAGTACCGTGTGGCTCCAGCCAGTGCCATTCCGATCGTACGCTGCTCGTTTGATCGGATCCGAAAGGAGATCATGTGCATCAACCACAATTCGGTACCGTTGCAATCGAGTTTCGGCGGTCAATTGACGGAAAAGAGGATGGTCGGTGAGAGGCCGGTCGGGGTGGTAGATCTTAACGAGGTCATAGTAATGTCTTTTCGAGTACGTCGCGCCGCGGGGTAGATTCAAAACGTCATACGGGGTGAAGGATGAAGTGCTGGGCCATGAGTAGTTTTGATGTGGAAATTCTGCTGCAGTGGCATAGCTCCTGCTTTTATAGAGTGCCAGTCCATAACTTGAAGAGGTTTGGGGGTTGAAACGAGACAGTGGCGAGACCGTCGAACTGAACAGTTGCGGGCTTTTAACACAAAGATTGATTTTCTTAAACATTGTCACATGTTGTCACTCAAGAGAACACGGTCAAAGCTTCCGTTGCGCTCTTGTCTTAAAGTTCTCGTGAGGGTGGTGTGGTGAGACTCTCATCCTTCGGATCGGCTTCCGGGATAGTCACGTGTATGGAGATGGAGCTTTAATCCAAAGATCTCCAATACTTCGATCTCTACGCTTGCTTTTCCCCACAGTCCCATTTCAACAGCAACAATGGCTGGGACTGACGACGACCGCCGCGAACGCCGGCGACGAGATGCGCCCCAAGACGACCACTACTCGAGCTCAAGACGACGCGATGAAGACCGCCGGACCTCTCACCGGGACAGCTCTCGACGGAGATCGTCTCGCAGTCCAGCTGAAAGGACCAACGGTCGAAGTGATCGTGATCGACCTCGCCGCGAGCGCAGAGAACGATCAACAAGCTCAGCTGGTGAAGATCGCCGCAGACATAGACATCGCAGCCACCGACACCGAGATACCCGTGAAGATGAAGGACGATCATCTCGGAGACACCATGGTACGCGATCTCGCTCTCGCTCTCGCTCACCACAAAAACCACGCAGCCCTCCACCACAGGCATTGGAGCGACGCGGCCCCCTCCCCTCGCAGAGCGATGCGTTCACCGATGTGGCCCACCCTGGAGAGGCACCTGCCCCAGAAAAGCAAAAGCCAAACTTCAATGCCACGGGCAGACTCGCAGCAGAAACCAATACAGTTCAAGTTCAGGGCGGTGCGGAAATAGTTCTGAAATACCATGAGCCTCCAGAGGCGCGCAAGCCACCCTCCAAGGAAGCCTGGCGCATGTATGTGTTCAAAGGGCCAGACTTACTGGAAACCGTTGAATTGGCTGAACGCAGTTGCTGGCTGGTCGGTCGCGAGCGTATGGTGGTAGACTTCCCACTCGACCATCCCAGTTGTTCGAAGCAGCATGCAGTGCTACAATTCCGATTTGTTGAAAAGCGCAATGAATACGGTGATCGCATCGGCAAGGTCAAGCCTTATCTGATTGATCTTGAGAGTGCAAATGGATCGAGTATTAATGGGGAGACCATTCCCAGTGGTCGCTACGTGGAAGTCATGGACAAGGACGTAATTCGCTTCGGCCTGAGCTCGCGCGAATACGTTTTGATGCTGCCTCCTAGCTGAAGAGTTTTCTTCGGCTCTGTTTAAGGCATTGCATTGAGGCGCTAGAGGCTACTACAAATTTGATGAACGGCATATGAAAATAATATTACAATTGGGATCACAAGTGATGCAAGCTTAATGCGGTCTCTGCAGGCAGACAAGATCGAAGGGTTTAATCAACGCCGCGCTTGGTCGCCTTGACCTTCCCGTTCAGCCTGGCCCATCGCCTAGTACTTCGTCTTCTCATTGGCTTTGTTTAGTGCTTCTTCTGCCTTGCCCTTGGCTTCTTCTACCTTGCCCTTGCCCTTGCCTGCATACTCAGACGCCTCGCCCTTAGCTTCGCCCAGTACTTCCTCTGCCTTGCCCTTGCCCTTGCCTGCATACTCGGCCGCCTCGCCCTTCACCTCTCCTGACTTTGCCTTTGCTTGCTTGGCCCCGGAGCCTACGACATCCTTAATCTTCTCGGCGGCTTTCTCTGTTGGCAAAGTCGGGTTAGCATCAGTCTCTGCACATTGAATGAAGTTACGTAGATCTATGTGATCGATGAACACATACCCCCTGTATTGATGCCCTTGACTGCTGCATCGGCAACGGTCCGATCGGCCTTCTTCAATGTCTCCTTTGTCGCATCGATGGGTCCCTTGTGGCATGGGGCGGTAGCTGAGATGGAGCGGATTGCCTGGAAGCTAGGTGCGGTCTGTGTAGCCACCCGGGTTCTCAGGAGAGGAGCGAATCGTGCTGCGGACATGGAGAACATGATTGATGTGTGGTAGAAGTGTGTGGTAGAGGATTCCGATAGATGTAATTGGAATTGAAATATTTAATGGATTTCCCCGGATTAATGCAGAATAAGTTGTTTAAGTAGCTCTAAAATGCATCATACTTGGTTTCTGCCGGGAGTTAGTTTTGACGTCATGAGTATGCCACTTGTTACGTCGATTGACAGTCAGTCTGGGCCAAGATTTCCTTCCCCAATCCGGTTATTCTGTTTGGGAAGGTCACGGGATTTATGCATGTCTAAGTCCGGTTTTCAATATGTCATTGGAGTTTTTGTTCTGACGACGTTGGATGTGAGCCATAACAAGTGTAGAGCTCCAATTACTAGGGAACGGGAACAAGATTGCTTGGAACCCCCACATTAAAGGGATATATCGTTAGGCAAGAGCAACTCTACTATTATTCTATATTACAAAAAGAAATGTTGGCGATCCTAGATATGGAGCTATAATATTCATCATCCCTTTCCAAGATTCGGGAAGACATTGTACCCAAGACATGGATATCTGGGTAACAAGCTTTTAATATAACACAAGCAAATATAACACCGAGGCTCAAAAGATACTTCGAAATATATGACCGAAGTCAAATAGATTATTTGTTTCTGCATCCCGAGCCAGGGTATTCTTGTTATTTTCCGGCACGGCGAGTCTAATTATGCGATCATATATAATCACAACAATCGAAGATTAACTACCTCGTTTCATCTCGAATACCAAGACCAGAGATCAACTATGTAAGATGAAGCCTCCATGCCTTGCATTTCTTTCATAGGATCGGCCCGCTTTTACTGTTAAACTTCCGATGTCTGGTGAATACTTAGCACCATGCTTCCCAGGATCTCGATTGGGATATTGTATGATCAAAATGATGCACTTTAGCGTTGTCTCAAGGTCTAGGACAAACCCAAGCTGGCCAAGGTTTGGAATCTCATGGTATTAAGAGATGTCAAAACCATCGTATATATCATACCTGAATATATAAACAAATCGGCATTGTACTTGATAAGTTAGGATCTCGCGAGAGCATTTCATTAGCGATTGAGTAAGTCCAAATTGGAAAACTTCTGAGGTCTCAACAGTGGTCTACAACAAATCGGATTTTGAATTACAAGTTCAAAAGGGTCAACTTGCTTTGTCCGACCCGACCGCAAATATACACGGTGCGACTTTGGGATCGAAGCCGTTAGCAAGGCTGCTACCAAGTACATTAATTACAAGAAGTGGAAGATATCAAAACGATATACATAGCAATACATACATATCAATTTCCCCTAATTAGCGTCCAGATCTGAGATCTTGGCGACCCAGTAAACAAAGTTGGGCTTAGCGCATGTCTGCCGGTGATGATACCGATCTATATGAATCAACTCGCACTTTGTAATTACATTTATAACAGACAACCAACAGACAACTCGCAGACAGCTCGCAGATAAGCACCAGGAAAGTATTCCAAGAGAGGTGATATACAGTGATAGAGAAAATGGAAGACTATATATCTATGCATATATTAAAGGAATAGTTGGCACATACACTTCGGATTTTCATGTATACACCGTATATATAACTGTCTCTCACCCTATAGGATATCTACGAGTGGACCATCTAGCCATGAATCGCAAAGAAGAAGCCCGAACATGGGCGTCCGCTGATCAGGGACTTTTCTGGCGTTGTGCAGAGCGGGGAGATCATGCTGTAAGTAGGAACCCAACACGGACCAACCCTTACCGAATTTAGCCTAATCGAAATATAGTATTCTAGGCCGTCCTAGTGCCGGCTGCTCGACCTTTCTCCGAACTATCACGGGTGGGGGTCACGGGCTCAATCGATTACTCTGGTCTCAGCCCGGATGAAGTCAGGAAGCACTACCGTGGTGCCGTGGCGTATGTCCCCGAGGACGATGTGCATTTCCCAACCCTGACCGTGCGTCAAACCCTCGAGTTTGCCCTCCCCCTCTCTTTCTCTTTCAACACTTCATCAAACCGACACATGCTGTTTGGCTTTTTTTCCCCCTACCTCTCGTCTGATACATTTCTACTGGGTTGCCATTCAGTGTAAAAATTCAGCAAAAATGGAGTCCACAGCCAACTCCAGTCACATTAATCTCTCTGAACAGGAGGGAGAGAAGACGTTGACTGGCGATATCTCCACTAAGCAAGAAAAAAAACTCCAACCTGCAGCGGCTGAGCTCAACGCCGAACATCCACCAGTCGAACCGACCACAAATGAGGGAGCCGAGCATCCAACGGGCCCCAAACTAGCGTTGATTACACTGGCATTATGCTTGGGTGTGTTTCTAGTCGCTCTTGGTACGTTTACATTCTTTTCTTATCTTCTAAATTTGATTATAGGGCCCGACTGACAGATATCCTCTTGCCCTATAGATAACAGCATCATCGCCACGGCGATTCCAAAAATCACGAGCCAATTCCACAGTCTCGATGATGTTGGGTGGTACGGAAGCGGTACGTCAAAGGCTACTTAAACGGTGGATGTGAACTGATATTGATATTTTTTCTTTTCTTTTCAAGCCTACCTTCTTACCTCAGCCTCACTTCAGCTGCTCTTCGGAAAGTTTTACACTTGCTTCAATGTCAAATGGACCTATCTCGTCGCTATTGGCTTATTCGAGCTGGGCAGCCTGATCTGCGGCGTGGCCAACAGCAGTCTGACGCTGATTATGGGCCGTGCTGTTGCTGGCATTGGGTCTGCGGGTATTTTCTCAGGCTCTCTCATCATGATCGCTCACTCAGTGGCCCTGGAGATGCGCCCATTATACACCGGCCTTATCGGTGGCATGTTCGGTATTTCATCCGTGGCTGGGCCTCTGCTCGGTGGAGTTTTCACCGACAAGGTGACATGGCGGTGGTGCTTTTACATCAATCTTCCTATCGGGGCTGTCACTGTCTTGGTGATTGCATTCTTTTTCCCTGCTCCGAACCAGCATACCAAAGAAACGACGTGGATGGAGCGCATTAAGAAGTTTGACCCTATGGGTACAACTCTTTTTCTCCCTGCCATTATTTGCTTGTTGCTAGCTCTGCAGTGGGGTGGTACCATCTATGCCTGGAATAACTGGCGCATCATTCTGCTGTTTTGCTTTTTTGCTGTCCTCGTTTTGCTCTTTTTATTTGTCCAGTACGTACAGCAAGACAATGCTACAGTACCACCACGCATTTTCTTCCGCCGCACTATTTGCTTCGCTGCCCTTTACAGTTTTTGCATCGGCGCTGCCTTCCTGTCCTCTGTCTACTTCTTACCCATCTGGTTCCAAGCCGTGAAAAACGCCAGTCCCGTCAGCTCGGGTATCATGAATCTACCAATGCTGATTTCTGTTGTGCTTACTTCCATCGTATCGGGAATCATCATCACCCTCGTCGGTTACTACACCCCCTTTATGATTTTCGGTACAGTCCTTCTCACCATCGGCTACGGTCTCATGAGCATGTTCCACGTGGACACATCCAAAGCTGTTTGGATCGGCTATCAGATAGTTGCCGGCGTCGGCGTCGGTGCAGGTATGCAGCAATCTATGATCGCTGTCCAGGTTGTCCTTGATCTTGCTGATATACCCACCGGCACAGCTATCATCGTCTTCGCCCAGACGCTTGGTGGTGCGCTCTTCGTTTCTATTGGAAACAACGTTTTCAGAAACAAACTTGTTCAGTATCTCGCCAGGGACATGCCCAACCTGGACCCGGCTGTGATTCTCAATACGGGCGCCACTGGCCTCCACAGCGTTGTCAACAAGGCTAGCCTGCCCGGGGTCCTCGTTGCTTACAATGACGCCCTTACCCAGACCTTCCTTGTCGGCGCAGCTATAGCCTCGATCAGCATTATCGGCGCTTTGGGTATGGAGTGGAAGAGTGTCAAGGGAAAGAATCTTGGCCCAGGAGGGGCCGCATGATTTTTCTAGATGTTCATTTCAGGGTGTTGATTCCAAGCCAAGTCCCTGAACTTTTCAAGAAGGAAACCCAATGTTTACTGGCGTGTATTATACAAATCGAAGGAGTCATCCAAACATTCCATATGTAACCCATTGAGCTATCAAATGTCAACTCTTATCGGCTTGATAACCCTAAACTGCCACTGGACCTCGGGACCTGGCTAACTAAGCCCAAGACGTCTTAGCGTCTTGTTAACCCCAGATAAGCAGCGGAGAACATCGAGTTTCAGGTTAACTTCATAATATCTTATGACCCCATGGGACATTCCACTTCATGAAATGCCGACCAAAAGACGGATTTTGTCCTGCCAGCCGTGTCGGCGCTTGAAGACACGATGCGAGGTTCTTCCGGGTTCGAGGCAATGTGCTCGGTGTATCTCTCTAAGGTAGGTGGCCCAATAGAACCCTATCATTTATTGAGGACTGTTCGGGGTTGATCGGACACCAAATAGGCTTGAATGCTCTCTTCCATCCACTTCTGTTATCTCTAGTCCAGATTCAGGGTCTATTGGTAGACCAGAGAGGCTTTCCGCCCAGCCTCTTGGGTGCAATTGTGCAACCAGGTATTTCTAATACTATTGGTATAGACCGAGGCTCCAGTCACTGACTGATTAGTACCAGGCTTGACGCTATCGAATCCTCACTATCTGAGATGAAAGAACTACTGAAATCTCACCTCGGCAATGACCGGTCAATGACAAGAGATCCTGCCAATGAGATGCGCGGAACGAGCAGTAATTTAAACCCGAGGAAAGATATCAATAGTCAAGCCACCATGCACGTGCCATCAGGGACAGATATATCGGCAACCACCGACATCCAACCAGCACCAATCACAGTGGTCCGCCACGTGGGAAGTCTAATCACCGAGCCCGTAACGACCGGGGAGAACGATTCGCTTCGGGGAAATATGACCGAGATGGGCTTGGACTCGGACAACTTCGCCAGTGTTTTCCAGCACGGTTTCGAGCAGATAACGTCATGGTACCCATTTCCGCACGAAACCCTGACGGACCTGAAGCAGAATCATCCTCTGCTCTTTGCTATGTGTCTTCTAGCAGGCATTCGAGCAACGGCTGGTCTTAACCGCACCAACTTGCACGTAACCCTTCATTCATTGGTCAAGACCCACTTAGGCATGAAGACTCTAGATACACCCATTGATATTTCCACCATACACGCCATGCTTATCTTCAGTGCCTGGAGTTTTGGGCCTCTCGTGCCGGGTGGTAGGTATATCGATAGCTGGCTGATGAGCAGTACGACTATCACCCACTGCATGCTCAGTTTTCCTCTATCTGAGCTTGTGTCTCTCGTGGGCTTGTACGACGAGACAAGTCGGAACATGTGCAGGATGTGGATTCAGGCGTCGCTGGTACATCTGAAGTACGTATTCTTCAAGATTACAGTGATAAGCGAGCTGTAAAGCTGACTAGGGTTCAAGATATGCAATTGGCACCGGTCGGCCATCAGTGGTTCCATGCGAGCGTCTTCATCAGTGGACGGAGATTGTCAAGTACCCCGGGTTTGAAACGTTCGACCAAATCATTGCAGCAGAGCTCAAACTCTATATTCACCTGTACGAAGCCATCTATCACACTGTCAGTTCCGTGCCAGAGGCTTGGGAGATGGTCAACGGATGGGGACGCAAATATCTTGGAGGTGAGCATGTTAATTTAATCGTCCGGTGGGGTTATTTCTATACTGACTTCCAAACACAGAAGGGAACAACATATTGAGGTGGGCGCACTCTTGCGCATCTCTCATTTTATCTCGATGGGAATTGGCAAAGCAAAATCAGGTCATGTCTCCCGACTCACTGATGCGCAACGATCGTATCAATGAGCTGACCGAAACGGTCATTCGTCATGCTCAGCTGGTACTGAGAGAGATTCTTGTCCTTACTACCGCCGATACTGCGTTTGTTAGACCAACATACGACTACCTGCTTACCGCATACGCGGGTGTCACGCTAGCAGAGTACTGCTCTAGTATATCGGATGTGCACGCAACATACACGTTGATGGAGGATGTTCGGACGCAGGCTAGAATTCCCAGGAGTATTGAAGGGGTGTTTAGTTGGGCAACAAATGTTGTGCAGAAGAAGGCAAAAGACCTTTTGGATTCGAAGGCGGCAGTAGTTCCCGAGGACACCTTTTATTCATATCCAGGGTCGGTCGCAGACTGGGCTCCGTTTCGGTTTATTGACTCGATGCCTGCTTCTGACTGGGACGGGATGAATGGGTCTATGCAACAATTTTGAAATCTATATAAATTGCGTGTATTATTTGACGTTAAATTAAAGTGGAATACATATCTCTCTGGGTGAGTCTTATGTTCAAGGAGAAATGGGCTTTCCGTGGGCGAGTTCAAGTCGGTTTCGATGCCACTAGATGTGCAAGTTAGGTACGTCCAATATCGAAGTATAGATGGGGGTGTGGGTAGTACTACCTTTCCACAAGAGACAGGTCCATAAAGCGCAGGATGGGCCTCATCAATACATGAAGGCACAACTTGACAAACCGAATCCGGATTGAAGCCCAGGAAGAAAGGCATCGAATACCTGGAGGTAGGTTGACGATTATAAACCCTATGCACCGTGGACTTGAACCTATTATTTGAAAGACGCTGCAGTAAATCACCAATATTAACCACCATCGTTCCAGGGATAGGCCGAGCATCGAGCCATTCATCACTGCCAGATAGGACCTGCAAGCCACCAGACATATCCTGCCACAAAATAGTCACGCACTGAATATCGGTATGTGAGCCGATGCCGACATCAACGTCCCCGTTGTTCTCGAGTGTCTCGACTGGTGCAGCGGGGTAGTGTACATAAAGCCCGTCTGCACCGGGGTTTGTGATGACCTCGTCAAAGTAATCTTCCGGCATGCCTAGAGAGAGAGCAAAGATACGGATAATCTTGCGCGCAAGCGTCAGGCGGCTCTGGAAGAATTCGATAGTCTTTTCCTGGAACCCAGGGAGATGGCCTGTTGTTTCCCATGGAAAGTCATCGCCGGTCAGAGTGTCTGGGTCGGAGACAGTTGGGTCGTTACTGGGATTGTAGCGCAGCGAAAATGTCTCTTTGCGATCTGAGAACGTTCTTCGTCAGTCATTTGTGATATGATAAGGATATACCTGTCCTGGTGGGGGTGAGGGGAGTATTTACCCCTTGTTTCGGTTTTGTTAATTTGGCTGCTTCCCAGCCCATGCCATCCATCTGCATATTTTTGAGTCTTTCTGGAGGCTAGCTGCTTCTTTTCGATCGGCTGATCGAAGAAAGCTTTCGCCTGGGATAGGGCATTCTGAATGAGCTCTTCTGAGATACCATGATTTTGGATATAGAAGAAACCCGTGTTCTCGGCCGCCACCCTGACTTTGGACGCTATGATCTTTCTCGCTTCCAGATCCTTGTCGATAGAGGCGAGATCTATGATTGGAATCTCGTCATCGGTGGGTAGGCGCGGAGGAGCAGTTGACACCCGGCGGAATTCTGGCCCGTTGAGCGTCAAAAGTTCGACTTGAGTGTATTCGAGCAGGGTTGCCATGACTATTTCGATTTATGACCAATACCAAGTCGAGAATGCTCGTGAATTTATCCATCGTTCGTCCCCCGCAATATGTTCGTAAGATTGTCAAGTCAGGTCCACCGGTGACCGTCGGAGAAGCATGGACGGCAATCGCCGGGCTATCTACGCCCACATGCGTGGCTGAAATGATAAGCCAAGATAAACCGTTACATTTGTGATATTCGCTTTTCATTCTCGGAGATAGCATCGTCGGTGCCTCTTTGGATGGTTGTGTTTTGTAGGCTACCAGCAATTGGGAGTCGACTGCTTATCAGGTCCATTGGGCTAAATAACCCTAAAAACCATCTATCCTCGTACTTCTCTACCCCCTTTATCCAAGTTTCAGAGTGCCACTAAGATCAGCACTCGAATTCCACCATCACCATCTTACTCTTTTTTCTCCACACCCCACCCCACTAACCAAATCCACCTCAATCATGTCCAAACTAACACGGCTCGATGAGCTCTTAATAGTGAAAAGAACTGAACGAGATGGCGTTCCTCGTCCAGTGGATATGCTTGACAATGACTCTATCCGACCAACGCCAGTAAAGGATCGAACATGGACCCAACTTACCTATATCATGTTCTGGTTCTCTGCGACTGCCAACGTCAGCAATCTGTACACAGCTTCCACCGGAATGTCCATGGGACTGACCATGTGGGAAGCCATCGGATGCTCCTTCGGCGGCCAAATTCTTGCCGGTGCCTTGATGGCCGTGAACGGGCGTGGTGGTGCTATGTACCGCATTCCATTCCCTGTTCTTTGTCGCGCTAGCTTTGGGCACTGGGGAGCACTGTGGCCGACGTTTAATCGTGCGGCCATGTCAATCGTATGGAACGGCGTCAACTCCGTTCAGGGAGGGCAATGTTTATAGTGAGTTCATATCTTATTTTGTTGTTTATCCCAATGAGGGAAGCGCGAAGGTGTAGTTATTGACGTTCGATTCTAGTGTCTTTCTCCATGCTATATTCCCTTCTATTGAAAACATCCCCGATAAGATGGGGCCTAAGTCGGCTTTGACTTCAGCACAAATGATGTGCTTCTTCGTCTATTGGTACCGTGACTAGTAATCTCAATACTTGGTCTATTGTTAACCACCGTCGATAGGTTTATTAATTGTGCATTCTTAGTGGTGCCCGTACCAAAGATGAAGTCCCTGGTCTATGCCAAAGTTGTTGTCTACTTTGGCGCAGCCTTTGCTATGTTGGGATGGACTGTGTCTCTCGCCGGTGGCTCTCTGAAGTCAATCAATGCGCCCTCGGAGATCAAGGGTGCCGAGAAGAGTTATCTCATTTTCAAATTCTTCTTCTTGGGACTCGCAAGTTGCGGAACTTTTATCTCCAACGCGTCCGATCTCCAACGATATGCTACAAAGCCTAACGACGTCCTCATCGGCCAGTTTATCAGCTTCCCACTTTCGAATTTCCTAGTTGCTATTCTGGGCAATCTCATCGCATCGGCTAGCAAAGAAATCTTTGGAGAGGTTTGTTATATCAAAAGCCCCGTGTAAGACTTTGGACTGACGGAATTTTCTAGCTCATCTGGAGCCCGCTGAACTTCTTGGATAAATTGATGGAAGGAGAGCGGTATACCTCTGGCAACCGCGCAGCCTGTGCCTTTATTTCTCTGGCATTCGTTTATTCGACTGTCTTCTCTGCCATTTTCGAGAACTCTATCCCGTAAGAATCCCTTTCTCGCACATTTCTACGTCAAACACTAACAATGATAAGTGCGGGCAATGATATTGCAGCTCTACTACCAAGATACATTTCAGTCAAACGAGGATTCTTCATCTGTGCTGGTAAAAGAAGAAACATAAACAATCCCTCTTGCCAGAACCCCAAACTAACAAACCTACCAGTCCTCTCCTACGCCATCTGCCCCTGGTATCTCCTCGCATCCGCCTCAATCTTTATCACCTTCCTCTCCTCCTACCAAATATTCCTATCGGCTATCACCGGCATTCTCATCTGCGACTACTACATAGTCCGCCGAGGTCTACTCAACATCCCAGCCCTCTACGTCTCAAAACCAAGTCCGTACCGATACTTCCGCGGATTCAACCCACGCGCTTTCCTGGCCTACGCTATTGCTATTGCGCCGAACTTCTACGGCTTCCTTTTCCAGATGGGTGTCAAGGCCCCTCTGGGTATCCAGCGATTCTACTATATCGCTTACCCCACCGGCCTGATCATCGGATTTGGCGTTTATTATTTGTCCTGTTTGGTATTCCCTCCCCCTGATATGAAAGATGCATCTGGATGGATGGAGCCCAAGGAATTTGTGGAGGATGATGATGTCGCTGGGAGTGACGGATACACTGATGCTGTTGATCCCACTTACGCGGAGAAGGGTGCTGTCGCAGTCACTAGAGCAGCTGACGAAAAAAGTTCGTTTTAATGAGATATGTCTCGTTGGTATTTGGGGGGTGCTTGTATTACAGAAGGAAGCATGATTAATAATTTGGTGCTATAGCTTAATGTCTGCAAATGATACATAGAATTTGAGGTATTTAATTTTTATCTACACAGTTCGCTTATCCTCTGGTGTTTTTGTATGCTAAATTGAATAGGCGCTCTAATTCATAGGAATTGAGGCTCTACAGCATATTACTCTAATTTAACATCCGTTCCATGCTGCCAAGTGGCTTTGATGCAAAATTGGGTTTTCGCAGGCAAGAGCCCGCAATTTAACGGGGTTAGGGGTCGTCACCCCCCGGGGCCTAGGGACAACACCTGCCCAGCCTCGGTGAAACTCTGGGTGGTCTGGATACCGGAGGGGGACCAGCCGATCATACTTTGGGAATTTCTCGCTCCCCGACTCGACCTCCTTTGTCGCGCTGCAGTATGAATCTGCCCCTCTATCTTACCTCCCCTATCACCCCGTGGCTGACGTTTGCGTCTACCTGCGTAACCAATGTGCGCCTTTTATCACTTCCTCTTGCGGAGATCATGAACCCCAATGCCAGATCTTCTTCCCCGAGCGGCACATTTTCTGGGGTGGCTTTGAGTCCTTCATTAGCCTAGGAGCAGCTCGCAATCTCACATTTTTGCTATATTGATATGCTTCCATGGCCATCCGCAGGCTCGGTCATGGCTTATCATATCATTGCATGGAAAACCTCCCATGATCGACCACAATGAATTCGCCAACGACTTGGTTCATAATCGCATCCAGTGCTGGAAAGTTATACCATGGTTCTTCGATCGATAGCGGTTCATCTTTCATAATTATATGGATGATGCGAACTTGTGTTAATACCAGAAGTCACAAATATCTAATGCATTATAAACATGTGTTGAACCGTGAGAATACTCGTAGTAAACATGGGCTGCAAACACACCTATAATTATGGCTTTTCTGTGACTATTTTGCATTATGTATCTAGTTTTGACTGTATTCGAAGTTTGTTCGAGTTAGTGATTGGTAATATCTTGGTACTACATACTTTTACATGCTTCAAAAGCAATTCCTTATCCTGATTATGTGCTTAATTTCGATGTATCAGTACCACTTGAGTTTATCAGTCCTAAATCCGTCCGGTACGTTCGGTTTCTTCTGAAACTATAAAGCCCAAGAGATGTCAAGCCTTATCGTGTACGGCATCAGAAGCCATCGCGCCAAGCCAAATGATTTGCATCTTCTTTTGCCGGTCCTGTTCTCTCTATTATATAGTAAGATCTACACCTTTATACATCATAGCCTTCATAGTCAAGTTTTTATTAACATCTATTGTATTAAAGATGTATTTTCAGTCAAAATCCCACGGTGGCCTCTAAAAACTGCCGTAACCGTGTCAGAATTAGAGTTTACTATGGGGCCATTACCCGCGCCGCCACATTTCAACCTTGGTTCCGACCTACTTTGTACAACGTACTGATTCCACATTATTCCCAAATGTCAGCCCCCTGGAGTTAGCGTGGGACTTTGCGGCAACTTGAGATCTAGACTTTCTCTACGAGCGATTTAGATATTATAGATGTTTTGGAGTAGAGCATATATTGAGTTCATAAAGCTATTCGTAATAGAGAAATAACCTCATGCTTATAAGGGTTTCATGGTACGGCTACGTTAAATCTAGTTTGGGCATAGACTGAGTGGCTCAGGGCCAACGTGATTAGTAAGTTCCACTGACCTCGCCATATTGCCTTTTTGGGGCCCCATGAGCCAACATATTACGCAATTACAGATGTGATATGAGATGTGACTCGTATGAACTCAGGTGATATTGTATATATTACCGTTTAGACTGGCGGGGTTGGAGTCCAAGGTCGAAATCCGACCTGCGTTTTGGCGAGACATCTACTGAGCTTTAGTCTTCGTTCAAAGGCCTTCAAAGGGGTCTTGGTCCGTTTCAATTTTAAGAGAAGGAATATGGTTAGATTAATATATTCTGAGAAGTTCCGTGAAGTTGTGCGTGCGGCTGATAATAATCGTGCCAAGCGCCTAATACAGCTTTACCCCGTTAGCCGCTTGGCACGATTACCTGGTGGGGATTCATTCTGTCTTTCCCCCAGAGTTTGGGCTATTTTGTGTTATTACCTCCAATGATCTAGTTGGACCAATTTTCCAAGACTAAATCCACGAGTCCCTCTTCGTTCCGATCATCCATCGACTTCCTTCGGCACACCGCGTACTATCTTGCTCATACCTGCACAGTCCAGCGTGATAGCAACATGTCTGAGAGAGTTGGACTGATCGGGGACGACGGAGAATCCACTGAGATGCCCATGTCTCGCGGGATGAAAAATAAAACGGAGGACCCTCAGCATCGCTCGACCGAGGTGATGTGTAGCGACTACACTGTCGGATGGATCTGCGCGTTGTCTAAAGAGCAGACTGCCGCGACGGCTATGCTAGATGAGATACATCCTGATCTCCCTAAGCCGTCCGATGACCCCAATACATACACACTTGGGTCTATCGGCAAGCACAACATTGTCATAGCCTGTCTTCCTAAAGGAAGGATAGGTACCAACTCAGCGGCAGCCTTCGCGACCCAAATGGCGCGCACTTTCCCATCCATCAGGGTCGGTCTGATGGTAGGCATTGGTGGCGGTATCCCTCCCAAAGTCAAACTCGGGGATGTCGTTATCAGCGCTCCTGTGGACCAATATCAAGGGGTCGTTCAATGGGATCTGGGTAAGGCAGAGCAGGGTGGGAAGTTCAGGCGTACCGGTGGTCTAAATAGCCCCCCAAGCGCACTGTTGACGGCTTTGACCAAAATGGAGACTAGGAGCAGGCTCACTGGAAATAATCTACCTCGGTATCTAGAGGACATGGGGAAAAGATGGCCGAACCTAGTGCCCGAGTACAGCGGACCGCCGTCATCAGAGGGCACCTGTATTTCTCCAGCCAATTCTCATAGCACACGAAACAGGTCGCGATTTACCTTTTCTGTCATTTGGGATATGATATTGGCCCTTCTTGGCTACCTCCTGGGCCGGCACATATTAGCCCCCCCGGATCGTGGTGGCGAATTGGTTCAGTTGAACGTGACTCCAAGGAAGCAGGAAGTTATTGGCGTGCATTATGGCTTGATTGCATCCGGTAACCAAGTCATCAAAGATGCGAAATTTCGTGACAGTGTCGATGAGAGCCTCGGAGGAAATGTGCTGTGTGTTGAAATGGAAGCAGCAGGGTTGATGAATGACTTCCCCTGCCTTGTCATCCGGGGAATATGTGATTATGCCGACTCACAAAAGAACAAGATTTGGCAGGAATATGCTGCAGCTGTGGCAGCAGCATGTGCGAAGCAACTTCTAGAGTATGTACAGTCGAGTGATGTCGCCGGGGAGCGCCCCTTGAAGGATATTCTAAGCCAAGGTTAGTTTTTGGCCACTTTATTATCATACGCGATTCCTAATAAAGCCCTAAGTTGGCGAAACTACCCGGAGAACCGAGGCCCAGGTCCAAAAAATGAGTCTCAAATTGGATAAAAAGGAAGACATTAGGGTGCTCAATTGGCTTTCGGCAGTCAACTACGGTCATCAACAGAGTGACATCCTGAAAATGCGACAACGAGGAACTTGCCAGTGGTTTTTAGAATCGGCTCCGTATAAGAACTGGCGAAGCGTTCGTCAACAGACGTTATTCTGCCCAGGTATTCCTGGAGCAGGAAAAACAATCATGACCGCAATTGTTGTCGACGACCTCTACAGAAGCTTTTTTGATGACCAGACTGTTGGAATTGCGTATGTATACTGCAACTTCAACCGACAAGATGAGCAAAATATCAACGACCTCCTCGCAAGTCTAGTCATGCAATTAGTCCAGGGCCGGCCTTCCATACCAGATAATATTCGCAATCTTTACACCCGAAATATGAAGAGAGGCACAAGACCTTCATTCGATGAAATCTCCAATGCCTTATTGTCTGTGGTGGCTTTGTTCTCAAGAGTCTTCGTCATCATAGACGCGCTAGATGAAGGTCAAGCATCCGATGGACGCGTGTCAATATTTCTGTCCGAAATGTTCAAGCTGCAAGGCGCAACAGGAATCAATTTCTTTGCTACATCAAGACCTATCCCAGTGATTGAAGAGAGGTTCAAGGGATGTCTTACACAGGGCATATCAGCATCACAAGACGATATCAGCGTTTATCTCGACGATCATATTACTCGCCTTCCAGGGTTTGTCCAAGAAAATCCAAATTTGCAAATTGAGATCAAGGGCGAGATTATAAAAGCAGTGGAGGGAATGTAAGTGGATCTGATTCCTTGGTCAGTAGGTTATACTAATATTCTATTTGTTATGAAGGTTCTTACTTGCTAGGCTTCACCTGGACTCTTTAATTGGAATCAAATCAACCAAGGCAATTCGAATTGCTCTACAGAAACTTCCGAAGGGATCAAATGCATACGACCATGCATACGATGTGGCCATGAAAAGGATCAATGGCCAAGTGCCTTCTTCTCGGGAATTAGCAGAGCAGACTCTCTCATGGATTACCCGTGCAAAGAGGCAGCTTTCTATCACAGAGCTTCAGCACGCGTTAGCGGTAGAATTGGGAACACCCGAACTCGACGAAGAGAACATTTCACAAATCACCGACATACTCTCCGTCTGTACTGGTTTGGTGACAGTTGACGAAGAGAGCAACATTATACGACTCGTACACTACACGACGCAAGAATATTTCGACCGAACATGGAAACATTGGTTTACAGATGCAGAGGATGAGATTACAAAGACTTGTGTCACTTATCTTCTGTTTCATTCATTCGAGAAAGGGCCTTGTCAAAACTCCGACGAGCTTAATGAGAGACTGCAAGTTCATAAGCTCTTTGACTATTCCGCAAACAATTGGGGTCACCATGCTCGCGAGGCGTCGGCTGTACACCCAAAAGTCATGGACTTCATCGCATGTAAAATGAAGTTTGATGCGTCAAATCAGGTATCACTGCGGGCTAGAAAGCGGAACGGCTTTCGACCCCTTGCACCCGCCCCCAAAGGAGTGACAGGCCTACACATGGCAGCTTACTTTGGAGCAAAGGAGCTTGTGAAACTATTGATTGAACAACGCGTCATTACCAACTCACAGGATGGGGATGGCGACAAGGCAATTACTAGGGCGCAACTTGACAAAAGAGCCGTTATAGATGAAGACGATAACGACGGGCGAACGGCCCTATCATGGGCAGCAGAGGCTGGACACGAGGCAGTGGTCAGACTCCTCCTTGACGAGGGTGCTGATATAGAGAAAAAAGACAATGGCTCTGATCTAGTTCCGACAGTGTGGCTTCTAGCCGGTGTGAGTCATACACACGAAGTTCACACTGGTCAAACACCGTTGTTCACGGCAGCCGGAAATGGACACGAGGCAGTGGTCAAACTCCTACTTGAGCGGGGAGCTGATATAGAAGCAAAGAGCAGTACTGGCAGAACAGCGGTTACATGGGCTGCAGAAAATGGACAAAGCGCAGTTGTCAAGCTACTAGTCAGCAAAGGGGCTGACATGGAGGCAAGAGATAAAAGCTTTGCACAAGCCTCATCGTCAGCCGAAGCACAGAAAGGAGTTAATATCCAACAAGTCAGCGCTGGTATGACACTACTGACACGGGTAGCACGGAATGGAAACGAGGCAGCTGTCAGGGAGCTACTTGACCAAGGAGCTGATATGGAGGCAAGAGACATAGGATTTGGCCGAACACCGCTGGTGTGGGCAGCGCGGAATGGACACAAGGGAGTGGTCGAACTACTGCTGAGCCGGGGCGTTGACATAGAAGGGAAGGACAACGGCGGCGCAACGGCGCTATCCCGGGCCGCAGACAATCGTAGGGAGGAGGTGGTCAAACTACTACTCGAAAACGGTGCCGACCTTAACACAAGGAACTGCAATGGCCAGACACCACTATCAATAGCAGCAGGAGAGTGGGGAGGCACATTTAGTCTCAAGTTTCTCCTCAAGCACGGGGCAGATGTCGAAGCTGCGATGCATGGCGGATGGACACCACTTATTTGGGCGTCACAATACAATCAGCTGGAGTCAGTCAAACTACTCCTTGAGCACGGTGCTGATATCAGAGCAACGAACGATCATGGATGGTCACCACTATATGCCGCCTCATGCCATCTGGAGATTGTCAGATTGCTGCTGGACAAGGGCGCCGACATGATTGATATTGGAGCTAAAGACGGATGGACGCCACTACATAGAGCCTCGTCTCATGGTCATACCCAAATTTGCGACTTGCTATTACAGAAAAAGGCAGACATGGAATTGACAGATCACCAGCATCGCACGCCACTATACATGGCCTCAGAAAATAGTCATTCCGATACGGTTAAACTACTCCTCGAGAATGGAGCTGATATTAATGTCACAAGCAGCGACGGATGGACGCCAGTGAATATGGCTTCAAGTCGTGGTCATCTTGATATAGTCAGGCTTCTGCTTGGGTACAGTGCCGATACTACAATTGGAAACGATGCTGGGATAACACCTCTTCATTCTGCATCTCTCAACGGATACCCTCAGATAGTGAGGACTCTTCTCGATCATGGTGCGGAACCCACCCTTGCAGATAAGAAAGGATTTGCACCTCTGCACATGGCTTCAGAAAGCGACCATCTTGAGGTGGTCAAGCTATTCCTCGAGGCTTCAAAAGCTAGCCTTGAGGTCCAGGATAAATGCGGTCGGACACCTCTCTTCATCGCTGCTGCTAGAGGTCGGACCGAAATCGTACGGTTGCTTCTTTTATATTCTGCTCTTCCGAACGCGCATGACCGCTATCAAACGACAGCGCTCTTCGCGGCAATCCGGAACGGACATGAAGAAGTGGTTGAAGCTCTACTTCCCTTGACAGATATTACAGGCCACTTTGAGGACGGTCTTGGGCGGAGTTTGGCCTGGTGGGCGATGAAGTCCGGGTGTGTCAAAATCATCAACCTTGTGCGGCAATGGGCTCAGAAAATGGATATCGAGATTTGCGAGAGTGACCTCAGTGTTGAGTCCTCTTCAGTCTCATCCAATGAACATAGTAAATCGTGCGATGTGTGCACCCGCTTTATGACGTCTGATCGCGCATACTACCATTGCAAAGGTTGCAATGGGTTTGAAATATGTCAGGAATGTTCTGAAATCGGTATTCACTGCCTCGATAGCTCTCATGAGTGGATCCTTCATAGCTCTGACGGTTTGGCATGTGCTTGAAGTATTTTTTGCTGCATACTCACAAGCCCGGGAGCTTCCACGTTTTGTATTAAGTAGATTAGATCTTGTTGGGCTACGGTATATAGAAATAGCAGGAATATTATCAGATTTACCTCTTCCGTAGGTATGTTCAAGAGATATATACTACATAGTTCACTAGAACCACAACTTACTGCTAGTCCAACCTGATATCTTGAGTTCCTATCTTCGTATCGAGCTACACTCGGAGAATGTTCATTCACGCAACCATGGATTGGTTGACAAGCCTGTTCACGGGAAAAGATTCTACGAAAGCAGAACAAAAAGCAAAAAGGCGAAAGAGCCAAAAACAAAGTCAAAGAGTTCGTGCTCGGGAGAGGGAGCTCCGATGTGGAAAGGATAACAATGCTAAACGGGCGAGCTTTTTCTGGGGTTCGCCGGGTCAGACATACGAAACTGATGTTCATGGTCCAGGTGAAGGAGTTCGAATGATCGGACATCTCACAGGGTCAATTCTATGGGTTCAAGGATAGATCTGCGAAGAAACGCGCCGGTTTATCACTCTACAACATACAATAACCAGGGACACACTGTAATATTACCCTTCTGACCATGACCTCGGGAGGTTTATCTGAAGTAACAGAATCAAGGACAAATAGATCATGGCTAATGAATGGTGAAATATCATGCGTTTTAATTCGAAGCGTTGAAGATCCTCTAGATGCTATAGTTTTAGTCAACCGACTCTCAACTCCAATTAACACCACGGTTTGGGATATCACCAAGCCTCATGGAAGAAACTATGCCAAATCAACCACAGATGCGAGATGAGCAAGTATAAAAGGACAATAAACACACCAAGATAACAACCTTGTATGCAAATGCAATAGAGAAACAAGAATAATAATAAGAAGAAGAAGAAAACAATGAAAACCCAACACTAAAACACCAGCGCTGAGATACCAGCACTGAAATACAACACCATCATTAGTACCGCATACCCAAATCAACATAATTAGTGCGCGAAGGGGAGCTCCCACTACGCGTACGAGTCCCATTCCCATATACTCCCAGTCGGGGCGCGGGCGCATAGACCTGACCATCATGTTGAATTAAAGGGCCCGACAAATTCGGGTGATATAAGTGATATTGAGGGGGATATGGGGGCAGCAGGCGAGTCGATCCATGGAGTCGATGTCGTGCATCTCGTACATCAACGCGGTGTCCACCAAAATGCAAATACCGCGCTGGCTCAAGCTCCGGGTTCCAGCCCTGGTCGGGATACTTCAGTCTCTCATCCATGGAGCCGAGCTGTCCATTCGATGACAAGGGCGGGCTGGGATAGTTGGGATCTGCCTGGAGAGCACCGCCCCCCAAAGGCAATTCGCTTGTCCAGCTACCAGTCCCGGTGAGCATGTGTTGTTGATGCTGCATGCTCGGTGGTGGGGTTGGAACCATCTCGGTGATCTGTTGGTAACTTGGAATTGGTGAGAACCGGGGTGGATATCGCACGGGTTCTGTAGCCCACGATTGATGGGAGTAGCCGGAAGAGTTACGCGACATTGGCTCCGGGGTGGATCGTTCTGGAGCTGAGCCCATGTGTATGTTGGGATTAGATAATGGCAATGCGCCCGGCATGATTGCGGATGGATGAGCGATCGGAGAAGGTCTAGGGTCATCTGAGGCAGTTATTGAGTCGGATGCTAATTGAGAGGATCGTCTGCGGCGTTGGAAAGCGACGGAAATGTTCTCATCGTATGGCAGCGGTGGCGGGTAGGGAAGGAGGGATGGCACACTTGCAGATAGACCTCGTGGGACCTCCAGATGTGGCACTGAAGCACGCCGAGAGGGAGCCCGGGATCCAGGAGCGGTATGTAAACTTGCTCCTTGATGGTAATTTGGCATATTGAACTCAGGCTCACTGTAGGTTGATCGACTCAAAGTCTCAGTCATCAATTCGCCAGACACATCATTGGCTAGTGGAGACGTAAAGGTGTAGCCCGCCTGACTGTTGAGCGACTCAGTAGACGGTTTCATCTGCAAACCGTCATTCGAATGCAAAACGCTAGCTGGATCCAAAGTCTGCATAACGGGAACTGAAGATGGGTGACGTTTTACCGTGGCGTCTACCTCTAACATTCGTCTTGTAGCCACATTCGCATACGTTGGCATATTCTCTTTGCTTGTCGGTGCAGAGGCGATTGTAGGCTGTGGGGCGTCATCGGACACTTGAGAGTCGCTAGATCGACGCACTGCAGCGAGTGCCTGTTCGGCCTCCGAAGCCGGCATCAAAGAGCTCGCCATTTCGGCAGCGGATGTGCGGCTTGATGATCCTTTTCCTTGGACTGAGGACAGTTTGACCAATGGGGTGTCGATCTTGGTATTTTTAAAGGGACGAGAGCCTTTGTTCCACCTCTTTGTCTGATTCTCTTTATTTGACCTTGGCTTTGAGTGTCGATTGACCACTTGCCACTCTGATAGGCCAGTGGTGGGTGGAGGCGTCGATGAAGGTGTCTTGGTCGGTTTCTCCGTGGCTTGGCTCACTTGTGACATGGCTGGAGATATTCGAGGTGCCTCCATGACTTCCCTATCCGTCTCATAGCCTTCTTCGGATTCATACCCAGTCTGTCTGAATATATGTGGCGGAAAAAGCTCTAACCTGAACCGGGGAGGTGGCATAATCATCTCCTCGGGAGATTCCGCTCGAGGTGAGCCGAGATCACTCCAGTTAAAGGTAGACCGACGAGATAAACCTTCGTCTGCTGAAGAATCGCGGAAGGATGACGATGAGCTGCTTGATCGGTCGAAAACCGACTTTTGGTTCCGGGTGAAGTGGTGTGAGGAGCTTGGAGACATGTTCGCTATTTCTTTGCTTATGAACTTCGTCAATTGTCGCAAATTCTCTCGTGTTTCACGAACTATTAATGGATGGAGATCAATTGTTGCCTTTTTTGGGAAGAGCTCAAGCAGTCGTGAAGCGTGAGTTTCGTACTCTCGGTAGTCCCGGACAAGGCCACAGTCTTCATAATGAGCCATCCGTTCCATGGCGGCTTCATAAGACGTGATGAGAAAGCGAGTGACAACAATCAACCAAGTATCGAAGAAACCAGGATCATTTTTGCTCATGGTACCTTTGTTCTCCTCGTCCTTGATTCGGAGCTCATCACGACAGAACCCCTGCACCACACTGTGAATCTTAACTACATCAACCACCGATTCGTGACGGTAGATTGAGAAGAATCCTTCTTGGCTGCTCTCTGTCAGCGAATCTGAGAGTTCCGGAACAGTCTTCACATCCGAGCTCATCTGGTCGCCCTCAAAACGATGCATAGACGATCGTTGCTGGAAGAGGTCGGCGTCTGAAATCCGTTCAACCAACCCATAATGAATGAGAGTTCCCAGCGTGGTATCGAGATCAGGATCTTCCCCAGCTTGGGCGCTAGTCTGGATCTCCAAATTCTCAGCGGCCATAGCGGCTCGACCGAGGTTCAGAAGGCCCACTGGCACCTGATGACCAAGAAACGAGAGAAGATTAATCAAGTGCAGCGCCTGTTTTTGCTGCAACCGAAACAAATCGTTCATGATGCTCAAGAAAGGCTCTGCAAGCTTCTTGTCCGTCACTTGAGACTTGACATGATACTTTTCAATCGGTTTACCCGTTGCGTTGAGACGATGCCCAATGGCATGGATTGCCAAAGGCAGACATTCGTAGTGCTCAACTATTCGGGTAGCCTTGGAGATTTGCTCGGGTGTCGCTCGCGTAATCCCAAGATCTTTGAACAAAAGCTTGCAAGCATCTTCCACTTGCAACCGCGAGATCATCAAACAATAGGGCTCGTACAATCGTTGCTTTTTGCGCAGCGTTGTGTCGACCGAGGTGTATATAATACTGCACTGTTTGCTCCATGGCAAGACCTCCCTGAACTTATTGATATCATCGTCGCGGTCGAAGGTAACACCATCGAAGACGAGGAGCCAGTCCCTGCGTGTCTGAAGCCAGAGGCGGACTGCATTCACGTATTTCTCAGTCTCATGATACTCAGGGCTCACGGTCACCATTTGCTCAACCAGCGTAGCTTTTTGTGCAATCTCCCAGAAACACTTGTACGTCGATTCACGGGACTTGGCGTCAATCCAAAATATGCCGCCTGGGTAGCAGTCACGATGAGTGAACACGTACTGCCGCGCTAGATGTGTCTTGCCGGAGCCTGGAACGCCGGATATCAGCACGGCCATTGTCTTTTCTGGACGGGCCTTGGCTTTGAACAACCGATTGTGCAATACTTCAAGTTCTTTCTCCATTCCAAAAAAAGTAGCGTTAGGGTGAAATCCTGGAGGTGCCACCAATAGGGACGAATCCTTGATGGAATAGTGGGAGAATTGGAGAACTCCGCTGTCTCCCAGATCAGATACCGGGGAATTTCGACCTTCTGTCGCAGGGCCACGCGGCGGGGGTAGTATGGTTTTGTCTATGATGAAGTCAGCCTGTATGACTCTAAGAAATATCATGATTCTCAAATTGAGAAGAGCGGAGGTCAGCTAGTTGGAGGACATGAGATGGGAGCCACCCTGAGAACAAGACCAATAAACTAAGTACAAAAAGAACGAGCACACTTTGAATTGTATCAAAAATAATAGAGTGAATTTGCAAAAATATTAGGCCCTTTGACTCAGTAGCGAATGGCCAAGAGAATCATAGGAAAGCATTGGAACAAACGTAAGCAAACTGAGATCGAAGTAAAAGCGGAACAAAATCTAAGACAAAAAAGCAAGCGCGCTGGAAAGCTTCATCGAACAGGAGGCTCCTCAATCTCATAGTCCCTCAATGTGACAGACACTTCCGGTGCAGGGAGAAGGTATGGAGCCCTACCATCGTTGGTCAATTCAGGCATGCTTCGGTTACGGGGATCATCTATTCTTGCTGCAATAGTTAGCATTGGAAAGACAAAACATCAAGTTCTGCGCAAGACTCACCGTCATATATTTCCCTAGCCTTGGCCTTCTTTTCCTGCGTACGGGCGTTCTTCTCTTCCACCCAGCGATCCGTAATCACAGCAGGAGCCTGACGGGAGTATCGAAGGATCGCCTCCGCCACAACCTCATAGCCCGCTGCATTGTCATCATCAAACTTGCACATATGGCTGTGGTCGGCCTCGATACCCGCCCGCTCAACACCCTCCATATACGGCGCGGCTGAGTGCTCGTCCACGATCACTTCGCGAGTACCACGCATATCGGTGGACCGTGTTTCATGGAAGAAGTAGATGTGGAATCGGCCCATGATGTCAACGAAAAGACTGTTGATGTGCTGCAATGTTTCATTGTTGGTCCGTAGAGCTTTGACAAGCTGCGGAGACGACTCTATGAACCTCTTCGGGAGCACAGCATTGCAGATATTTTGCAGCAGCAGACCCCATTTTGCAATGTCAGATCCATTATGAGGTGTACCGAGGAAGAGAATGCCAAAAGTGGAAACATAGACTGAGCGCAGATGCTCGGTCTTCTCACTTGAGAGACTACGGGAGTATATCAGGGCACGCTTCACAATCAGGCCCCCCAGCGAGTGGCAGATAAATACTATCGGACGATTGGAGCAATCTTTTAGCTATAGAAATTCAGGTCAGTACTTGAAGCTCTATACTAGCAAGGAAGATATCAAAAGAGCAACCAAAAGCAAAAAGGCGAGGTGTCAACCTACACTTCGATTAGCCGCGAGAGTGGACGCAAGAGTCTCGGCATGGCTGACGACGGTATCACGCGAAGCCCCATCTGTGAAGGCAGTGACATTGGCATTGTAGCCATAAGTTAGAATGCGGGGACGCTGTGAGGCAAGCACGTCCGGGAGAAGGTCCGTTGGCCAGAAGCAACCGGTGTCTTTACTGGTCCAAGTGTCGTGAGGGTGTCCGTTGAGGCCATGAACAAAGACGATATCGATCGTTGGATCATCGCGCGGGGTATAGATCTGCGTCAAGCCAAAGGCCTTGATGGCCTTTGGGTCAACGATACGGGGCTTGGACATAGCAATGGGTAGAACAAAAGCAGTCAGAATGATATTGCCATAGTCTGTGGAGTTGAGAGAGAGGAAGTCTTTGAGGGACTTTGCTTTTATAAATATGTGCAGGTGACTACTGGGGTAAGTGACTGGGGCTAGGGTGACTGACCCAGGTCAGCCGGACTATTTTAGTCGATCCATGGGGTTTTTGCATCAGTTTTGAATCCCGGGGGCCGCACATCATTCTATTTCCACTGTCCTTGGCTTCACCTAGTTTTACCTCCATTGCTTGCACAGCCCTGCCGGGTCGGGTAACTTGCCAGGTACCGTGCCACTCCCGAGGTCAGACCTCGACTTGCCGTTATTCATAGATTCGATGCATCAGTGTGCCTTGTCCGGGGTATGCTGCCTTGCAATATCCCAGGGTAGTATCCCATGAGTCATATCCTAGAACCATGACAAAACATACAAGACAGGATAGATGTCAAGGCAGAAGTATAAATAATAACGGATCTCAGATTCAATAGAAATGGGCAACTTGATCCTGTGGGTATACAACTATTTACTATTACTATAGTCATGACAGGATTGTCTGAGAACCCCTTTTACCCTTTCATCTCTATTGGACGCATGACCAAAAAAGGCAATACCCACATGATGTCTTAATACCAAAATGCCACTCTGGCTTAAGTAGTTCTACTCCTGAAGAATCGGTTTTGCTTCTTCAACCAATAGGAAGAATCTGCACGTAAAAGTCCATAGAATTATAGGACATATCATTTTGATATAGTTTGCCTAAGTAAATCACCATTTTCTACACTTACCTCCCACGGAACGCCGGCTTCCGCTTCTCAACAAAGGCGCGCAGCGCCTCATACCGATCATCAGTCTCGACGACTGCCTCATAAGCTGCATTCTCCGCCCGCTCACCCAAAGCATGAGCTTCGACAGCCTGCATCGCCATCTTGATAGCAATAGGGCCACCTTCACAGATATCCAGGGCGAGCTTGATACTCTCCCGCAGAACGCGTTCGCGTGCAAGACCCTCCTGTGCCTCCTCCTCAGGCAGCACCTCAACAAGACGATCACAGAGCCCAATGAAGTAAGCCTCGGGTCCGGTCACCCGGCGCCCGGTGAGGATCATATCCCGGGCGCGGTTAACGCCGACAATCAAAGGCAGTCGGTATGTGCCGCCAGCGCCAGGGATAATGGCGAGACGTGTTTCGGGCAGGCCGACAGCGCTGGACGAGGCGAAGACGCGCAGGGTGGTGCACAGCGCGAGCTCGAGGCCGCCGCCCAGGGCCATAGAGGAGACGCCAGAGATGGTGGGGATTTGGAGGGCGGCGAGGTTTTTAAAAGTGGAGCGGAGTTTGAGGAGGAAGTCTTCGGTTCTAGATAGTCGCGCTGAGTGGTTAGCTATATTCGCGTGGGTTCAAGTCCCGGGCACTGGGCACTGGGCACCGGGCGTCGGGTATAGGGTTATTTCTCACTCGGCCATGCTCATATTAGCGCGTTCTTTCAGGTCTGCGCCCGCGCAGAACGCTGCATCTGCGTTACTCGCTATAACCAAGGCCCGGGTTGGCCCATTGCCTCCCTCGGCGGCGATGGCGTCCACATGTTTTGAGAGCGCGTCGAGTAATTGGGTCGAGATCGCGTTGCGGGCTTTAGGTCGGTTCAACTGGAGCACACGCACATGCCCTGAACCTGGGGCGGGGACCTGCTGGGTCTTGATGATGTCTTCTTCCGTGCTGGTGCTGTAGCGCGAGATGAAAACCCGGGTAGGCACGGCGGTCGCCCGGAGGTGGGCGAGGGGTGCGGGGAGGCGGACGAGGCGCGATGACATGATGGTTGCCATTGTGGGGATTCAAAGATCGAGTGGGATTACACTCGACCGCGATATCAAAATGAAGAAAGATGAATGCGCTGAAAAGTTCGTAGTGGGAAAATGTTCTCGGAGCTCGGGTGTGGGGAAAGCTGTGAGGCCGACGATTACCGAAAACTACAACGATGAAATATATGGGGTATCATGTACATTGACAAAAGTCCTCTAAAACTACAATATTATATACATCACTGGCAGTATTCTGTAACCTCCGCATCACTCGGCCAGTCCCAGCCTGTCCGGCTGATAAGGTCGTATGCCTCCACGATCAGGTCCGATGGTACCCGCGTGTCAATCCGTTGCTGTCGTTCCAAAAACACTCTGATCGCCACAAGGGTTCGACGCATCATTTTGTCTCCATTTGCATGTTCATCTGCAGCTTCTTTCAGTTGATCAGCTGACCGACTCATCCAGTGCAGCAGATGTAACAACCCTTCGTCATCTCCTACCGACCCCAGGGCCCGAACAAAAGCATGTAGCGTAGCAGGTGATGGTATTTGCAGCATCGAGGGAACATTGAGTTGTGTCTCGGAAACAGTTTCTGCTGCAAAGACACTTCGTTCCGCATGCTCCGAGGTTTTGGAGGCTGGGAGAACCAAATGATCAAACTGATGCTTTAAAACGTGCAGCGCATGCTGCATCAAACCATCAACATCGTCATCACCTTCGTTTTTGGCCTTAAGGCGACGAATACGAGCTTTATGAATCAGCATAAAACTTTGTTCGGCAGTGCCAGGGTGTTTGATGGCAGCATCAATGGCTTTTGTGAACGCCACACATAAAATGCGGAATCCTTCCTCGCCGAGTTCGGCATTACACTGCCGCATCCAGCTCAATGCTCGGAGGGCCTGGTGCCATGCCAGTATGCGCTGTAGACTTCGGCTTCTTGAGCCATAATACCCGGTTAGGCGCTCACGGGTCAGGGCCGATAAAATGTGGGTCCAAGCCGGGGTGTAAGGAGCACGTCGCAATTTGGTCAATTGAATCGCGTGCCATAAAGCCCGTGGGTGATGCTGGACTCCTGGATGTTCCTCGGAATATGCAACCAGATCCACTTTGGCACCAGTCGAGCAGTCGGCGGCTATCAAGGCCGGGAAACGATCCGCTGTGAGGATATTTCGATTACCGACATCCAGACTGGCAATATCTGAATGTGCGCATAGAAACTTGACGAACGATGCAAATACTAAGTCTGGCATTTCATGAAAAGCTTCAAGGTCCAAGGTGTGGTAATTGCGAGGCTTCGCCCGCACAATAGAGAGCGCCTCGATTTGGGCATCTGTCAAGCTACTACAATGAAGATAATGCAACCCCGAACGCAGAGAAGTAGCCGACTGAAGTAGTAGGCCAAGGAATCTCCCAGAAGGCCGAAGCCCCTGTGCGCGCATCTGATCAAGGAACTCATTCACGGTAGGTGGTTCTGTGGGCACATAGATTATATCACGGGCAGAAGCCGGTTCAGGGTGAACTTCGCGGCCATCGCCTGGCAGAGCATGACTCATTTGGTCAAATTCGCGTTCTATGGCGTTTCGTCGGTAGATTAACTTTTCGGCCATGGCAGCGTAGATGGCACCCTTCGGAGGCAGGCCATGATCTTGATAGGAAAGAAAACATGCCCAGGCCTCACGGACGGTCCTCGTAGAGCGAATGCGAGCAACCCACATTTCATGATGATTCGCCTTGGGTCCATGTCTGTCTGGTAAAGCTTGCGGGCGACGCATCATAGCCCTCGTCTGCACCGTCGGGCTGCGGTCTGTGTCCCAACCGGCCAAAATCGAGGATATGTCCTCCCAAAGACGATGAGAATAGCCAGCATCTTTCATTTGTGAAAGTACCTGCATCGCACGACTGAACATCCCTTCATTCCCGCGCTGGGAATCAATTCCCAGTTTCTCTTCTTTCCATGGAGGCCATGATGGAGCTTTTAGCTCGGCAGACTGGCGCTCTTCAAATGTTTTCTTATGTGCCAGTTGGACTGCAACCACTGCTCGATATCCTTGCCTCGTGATGGGCAGGACCGGCTTGTGGGTGGCCATAGCTCGAAGAAGTTCAAATTGCGCTTGCTGCTGGATAGATGTTGAGCGGTAAGGAGCAATGTTGGCTGGTATGGAAAGTAACCAAAGACAATCATTAAATTTAACGGTTTTGACGCGATCGTCATTTTGAGTCGCCAAAAGCGACCTCTCGGCATCATCTACCCTTGGGACTGAGAGGAAGCGAGCGAATGCACGTGCAATAGTAAGAAGCGATTGCGGCCACACGCGCCGAGCATGCCGGATTAGACGAACTACCAAAATCATGCAGGTGCCGGAATCGATTAGAGGACGGAAGTCCTCGGGGGGTAGCTCAGGATCATGTTCGGCAACCCCCGCAGGAATTTCAGCGATGGGGAAGGTATGTCCGCTCATGAGATGTAAAGAGTGGATCAAGAGCAAACGGAACGTGTGGGCATCGAGGTTTTGCTGTCTCAGAATATAGAGTGGGATAAAAGGTGGAATGCTTGGAGTAGCAGGGCCAGACTTGGCTCTCTCAGTTTCTAACAAGAACAACCGTACCATTGCCTCGTGTGGATTCTGGCTCTTCATGATCCAGGCCCAAGCAGCCACATCGGCGGCATCGTAGCCACGCGAGGATAAGTAATCCTGACTTGTGTTTCTGAACACTTTCTGGAGAGCGATATCCAAATCCTTGTCCGAACGCTTATCCGACGTAGACGAAAACAGCGAGTCCACCTCTCGTATGTACTCCCCAAGAATAACTGGCAGTGACGGCTTTTTTGGTCGACCAACTGTCCTCAATTCATTTTGTGTTTGGAGTGTGAATTTGGAGTGAGCCCGGTCAATCCCAGCGGGTTGAACATTATATCCAAGGGCGTGGCCAGTGTTTCGCAAAGCTTTGGAGAGATATTCGGCAGGCTTCGGTTTCACTCTGACACTGGGAGTCTTCTCGAGCCTTTTCTCTCCGGGTGAGCAATTCAGCCGGTTTTGGATCACTGTTGCGCATTGTTCGTCGAGCGAGGAATCCGACCGCTTGTTTTTGAAGTAATCATCGAGGTGTAAGAGTTGAGTGTCGATTGCAAGTGACTCTGGCACATTTAGGAACGCGGTGGACTGAAAGGAACGGAAACTGGCTGGACTTAGGCCAGCCAGGGAATTGCGCGAATAATGTACAGGAAACTTGGGGCCATGATGAGATATTGCCTAGGAGATATCAAAATGATTTAGCATTGCATCCAATGAGGGAAAAGGTCGAATAAAAAAATACCTTGTATAAATGACTATTGAGCAGGTCTGCTCTTAGCCGCGATACTCCCGAAAGGCTTCGGGCATGCTTGAAAACTGATGACATCCATGAACGTAGTCATGGGTGAAAGTGCCTGGACGCCACAGACCCATTCAATAGGCTCAAAGAGGTACTTGTCTCCGAAGATGAGAGGTAGTCAAGTCAAGCCAGAAAAATAGAACAATCGCGCGGCAGAAAACGGGTCACGTGATGGATCGTCAGAAGGCGCGCCATTCCGAAAAGCGCAACTCAGTGAACGTTCTCTCCAGACAAGAAAAAAAGAGACCACTTGACCTATTTGTTCGAGGGTTGCCTAGTGCATTGATCATTGTCTTAATTCCTTGGTCTCTATTGACAATATTATACACTTCATATTCACCTCTTTTACTGTGGTGACGTGAAGGTTTATCTTCCCCCTCGCTCTTCGCGATCCCCAAAGGATTCCCTTTCACGCCCTACCATCGAGGTCACTTGGACTCTTGCTTTCCAGACCAAGTATCAACCTCGACGATCGCATCCTCTCAATCTTTACTCTCAATCTTCTGATTTGTGGACTCCCCATCCATTTGCATTGGAGGGGACAGCGTCAAAGCATCAACCTTGACCTCGGCGCGACTTCGCAACCATGAGCGCCGACGAAGCTGGAGACACAACCCCAGTGTCCGCCACTAATGGCGAATCCCATCCCGACCCTGCTACTAATGCAACCTCTGGGAAACGGAAGCGCTCCACTCAGGACGACAAACCGAGCACTGATTCAAGTGCCACCGCCTCGCGCGATCGGGCAAATCTCCATGAAACTCTTCGCAGCCTGATTGAGCTTCTACTGAAGTAAGCTTTGAGGAAAGTATATTCTTCTTAGTTTTATGCTAACAATAGCCGCAGGCATGACACTGAACTCCAACTCCTCTCTTGTCCTTTCCCAAATACAACCACAAAACCTCGAACGAAACGCGCAAAGGTTTCCGGCGATCCAGAAACCTCCAACGTCCAAACACGCGTCAATTCGGGCAAATATAACACATTGCAGGAGTTTCTTTCCGACATTGAAAGAGCATCAGCTGCTGTAATTGAACGCAATCAAACACAATCCAATGGCGCGAAAGAAGATGGGGCACCTTTGAATGAGGTAGTCAACCGGATCGCAGCATTCAAAAAACATATGAACAGCTTGATCGGCCAATCTTTCGTCAATCAACCTGAGGTCAAAACAGAGACGATGGAAGATGATACCGACGAATCAACAGAGCTTCACGCGATCAATGTCTGCCAGCGAGAGGATAAGCCCGCCCTAACGCTCTTCGGAAATCCATCAAATCCCAAGCAGCTATTCTCAAGTCTTCAAAAGTCTGTCAAGGTACCACTGCAGTCCGAGTCAGGACCTGAGAAGTTTGTTGAAGTGCAAGAGGAGCTACGCGAGGTCGCCCTGCCTAATGGCATCACAGCCACCAAAGTCATCCCTTACAACCTTGATGCTGCGTCTCAAGCATCGAAGCGAACATTTGGGGAAGTGTTCGCTCCACGCGAAACATTACCAAAGCTGGAACCTCCGCGCAAGCGATCTCACCGGGCTAATTCAACCACATGGACTGATCGCTTTGACGCCACTTTCGATGTTAGGACATTTTTGGGAGAGCGTAGCAACTATTGCCTAGCGCCCCTCCCTTCGACCCAATGGCTTCAATATGGTGGAGTCACATCATCACCTGCCTACTGGGACCGTGTAGAAAAGCATGCAGATTCGGATAATGTTCATCGGCATGGCGATCCTGCCCTTTCGACTGGTCCCGATTCATCTGCTTTCCAAGGTGTCTTCTCGTCATTTGCTCCTTCTTACGACAGCTCTGGTGCGATTGTACAACTCGATTCGAAGGATATGGTTTGGTGGGGACAACGGGGTGCGGACCGCGTGAACACCTTGCTCTCGGTCCCATTGGAAGGAGAGGTCAAACAAAATGCCACTGGCACAGCCCAGCCTGGCAATATTGGCGAACTTGATGAGAGCATTTTGGATGAAATGGTTGAATCATTCAACGCCCAAGACTTTGCTGGGGACATCACAGAAACCGATCCGAGCAGTGAAGTCGACCCAGAATCAAAAGAGATCAAGCAAATGCTTGAGGAAGTTTCCGACTTGCTCGACACTCTCAGTTCCTACCAGCGACTTCGATGTCTCAAACTTCCCACCGATCTCCAACCGCCTGGTCAACAAGTTACTGAGTCGAATGAAACCGTTGGCCTTGATTTGGGCGACGTGAATACCCCCTCTGAAGCCGAGACCCTTGTGTATGAAACTCTCAAGTCAAGTCTTGCTACAATCATCAACAACTTGCCACCTTATGCTGTCGCTAAATTGGACGGTCACCGGCTCGCTGAGTTGAACATCAGCCAAAAGGTTCTAATTGAAATTCCTGACTACAGCGGCACCATGGAAAAGGATGACTTCACTTTGTCACAAGAAAGGGCCGCAGCATTGCTCGCAGCAGCCAATGCCGCAAATCGAACTTCAACTCCCACTACCTCACGACCTAGTAATTACCAAGGCTCTCACAATGCCTACAACCAACGTGCCTTTTCTTCCAATGCTCGGGTTCAGCCTCAACCAGGGTTCCAGGTCACACCGCAGCACGCACGGCAACCCTCGGCGCCAACCACATACACGCATGCTTATGGCGCGGGTCGTCCACCGAGCACACCCAGTCAACGTCCAGCCAACACTCCTCAATACGCGCAAAGCAACCCGCAATACAGCCAGGCTCCCCCATACCAGCGCCCTGCTTCCAATGGATATGCTCAAGTGTCTCCACAGCCTTTCACACCACAGCCCAGGCAGCCAGGCACATTCAACGCCACGCCACAGGGACGTACGCCCTATGCCACTGCAACCTCGAACCAGCGAGCTCAGTTCCCAAGCCAAACTCCTTCACAAGCTGGCTACTCAAACTCCGCCGCTAGTGCGACATACTCTCGTAGTGCGGCCGAACAAGCTGCGCTGATGGACAGAAACAAGGCACAACTGGCAGCTCGACAGACAGGCCACAGTCCTTCAACGCCTCAACCTCAAGGACTAGATGCCCGTGCATCCCAAGAAGGCAGCATGACACCAGGAAGCAAACCAACTGGCACGCCCCTTTCGACATAGTGCCTGATATTTTCGCGAATGTGAGCATGTGGAGTTGTGTTCAAATGCAAACATGCGTTTTGTTTCTGAAGAGAGACAAACCTCCAACGTTGCATTCCTCTACAGTCAGCTTTCTGCTTCATTGACGTTTGCATTTTTCTTTCTATTTCGTTTCGAATTATGAGCTCTAGGTGTGATCCGTGTCTCCGAATTTTTTTTTCTACCCAACTGTGTTGTTAATGAACCTCTTGATCCCTGGCTTTGTATGATTCTTCTTTATTTGGTGTTGTATTATGGACTAAGCGATTGGCGTGGATGGTTTTTTTTTCCAAGACAGGTCGGCCTAGGTGTAAGGCTACCATTGCGATACAGCTAAGTCTTGCTTAGAGAATTACTTGTTTTTCGCTTCCGGTGCAATTTAATCAATATGCTGCATACCAGTGCACCTGCTTTCCAATGTAGAGATTCGACCTTACAAATATTAAGAAGGGCTTGCAAAAGGTTCCTAAAGTCATATCTCATAAATAGTACATTGCTCAATACGAATCCCTAAAAAAAACACCTATCCTGCTATAGTATTTGCCAGTCCGCTGTATCTCCTGCCCAATGCTCATAGTCCATTATATGCCAGGCGCAAGATACTCGTCTATCTGTCCTATCCAATTATTGAAGCAATCGCCCAGAAAATGAACGCCGTCTCTTTCTTGTTGCCCAGTACTGAGTACCCTTCCAACCTTTCCTTCAAAAAGACAAAAACATAGATGGCTCATCGCCAATGAAACAAAAGAACAAAGAAAATTCGTAAGTCATAAGGTTGATGCAGGATGCAAGGTGAGGAAATAGAAGATCGAGGCTATGGAATGAACATAGCAGCCATAGTCATGAAACCGAAGTATCTATAAAAGTCAGTCTCAAATACAGCCACACAGAATTGAAACAATCATACATCGTAGCACAGCGCCATCCATCCCTCGAATCGACCAGCGTATCAATACCTGCTGAATAGTTCGCGGCAATGGCGGCCGCGGCGCCGCCAACGACTGTCACAACGACAAGACGACCGGAGAACTCCGCAATAAGGCTGAACGCCAACAATGGCAGCAGGAGCGCACCGGATGCGATGATAATGGCGACGTAGACGGGTGCTGCGGCGGCAGAAGCTGCTAGTCGCGGAGTGAGGGAGACTAGGTCCGCGTCGTGGATTAGGAACCGTGTCTCGACTCCAGCGACGGGTTTGTTCTCTCTCATCCAGTTGCGATAGCCCGTGATGTCCTGTTCAGAGGCGCGCGGGAGCGTCTGTAGGACTTTGCTGTAAGCGCTGAGGGCGTTGTCTGCATGCTGGTCAGCGGGTCTGCTTTGTGGATAGTAATGTGGGAAGAGGAAGGAATGGAGCTTACTGTATTGTTCAGTCTTTTGGATCAGAGCACCCATGAGATCCATGCGACGGTAATGCAAAGATGAGTATGCCTGGGCCTGGGCATCTCGGCGTCGTGAAGACGGTAGGGGCTTTGTGCCTTCCTGCTCAGCTGCGCTGACTCGGTGCATTTCGTCATACTCGTCTAGCGCGTGGAGATCTTCTTCCATTTGGGAGATCTCGTCTTGGAGGTGGAGTAGAACGCGGTGGTTGATGGTCTCGAAGCGTCGGTATAGCGGCGGGAAACCTCCGCTCTCTTCTGAGGCGGACTTGGTTAGGCGTGTAGCTAGGAGACCATATCCAGATGTCTCTTGCGATGCACCGGAGTCTCGTCTCTTTGTCGGCGTGGTGCGGTGAAGACTATCTTCTGGACTTCTTGGGGGGGATGGTGGGAGCGGTGGTCTGTGGACAGCACCGTTGTCTCTTGAAGAGCCATGATAGGTCGGTGGTCGGGACAATTCTAGTTGACCTTTTTCTGAAGAGATGCTTGCAGTCGAGATCGGACTCGGCTTTCTAGTGGGTTGCCTCTTCCGGGTAACCAACTGATTGTCTGTAGAAGGTGCGGGGGTTGGTGCGGGCTTTCGTGGTTCTTGTGGACTTTTGGATACCACTGAAGGGGATTGGGCAACTTTCTTCGGGGGTGTATTTCCTCCTGAAACCAAAACTCCATGCGGCACGGTATTTGCTCGTGGCTTGGGAGATTGGATCTTGGTGGTTTGTATAGGGCGTGGAGGCTCCGGCTCCTCGTCGGATTCAGACTCCGACTCCGACTCCGACGACGAAGATGACGATGAAGAGTCTGAAGACGATTCATCATTCTCTTCCAAGAACTCAAACACATTAGGCACCTTCTTCGCTGGCGCTGCGGGTTTCGGTGGGTTCTCTGGAACGACAGGCGGATTTAGGGCTGATCCATTGGGCTGTGGAGGTGAACTGGTCTGGGCAGTTTTAGGGCTCGCGACAGAACTAGCCTGTATATTCGTAGTGTTGGAGACCAACGAGTATGTCCTCTTTCTTCCGTCCTTCTTTGGCTTTCTAGTTTGCAACGGCATGATCGGAGAAGTTCGGAATCAACACCCGGTTCATACCTCAAATAAAATATCCAAGGGCATACCCGCAGAAAAGAAAACGTGAAACATGAAATTAACAGTGCAGTGGAACTAGGAGTATAGGGACCATAGCCCAGGGGGGTTGGAATTCCAGGTCTCAGATCGACTGTCAAAGGTGGAATCCAGGGACAAAAGCGAAAAATAGTATATCTCCAACTTCCCCGCGAATTCCTTCAGACATTCCCCATGATAAAAGGGAATATGAAACCCCCAAGCTGTCAGACGTTGTTATAGAGAAATGTCAGCCCCCAATCCAAAGTTGGAAATAGGTCGTCAGCTGGTGAAAACGAGCCCAACGTATGATGCCTGTCGAAATGGAGACTTGTAATTCGTCACAGGCAGTCCGGGACAATCTGAAGCAAATTAGAAGCGCCGGCTTTATTTAGATTGACCAATGAGGATGGTGTAAGGAGGTTCCTTGTATCCCTGTAGGGCGTCTCTCTTATTCAAAAAGGAATAGAAAAAGGAATTGCCGAGAGCATTTTGAATATTTGGCCCAAGTCGGACAAATCAGACCTCGTCATATATACGCATGTGTGTCTGAACGAAGTTAGAAATATGTACTCCGTACATGCAGTTATGCGCTGGTCGATCTTCCTTGCATCTGGCGGTCTAGCGAAGCGGGGGAATGTGATGCAGCATTGTGAGCACTCTTAACACTTATCTACCATATTTCATGCATAAAGCATGGTCAAGAATGTATTGTAGTTGAGTGTATGGAGGGGATACTGTACTGTTGAGAAAGGTGAGAAAGGTGAGAAAGGTGAGATAGGTGCGATGATAAACAATCCATTACTCTGTACTCTCTACTCTCTACTCTGTACTCTCTACTCTCTACTCTGTACTCTCTACTCTCTACTCTGTACTCTGTACTCTGTACTCTGTACTCTGTACTCTGCACTCTGCACTCCATATAGAAAGTTTATAATTTAATTAGCATTGAGTTTAGAATAACAGTTTTCTATTATTCTATGTATGTTATACATATACAACATCGTATGCATACTGCTACGCGCTACATCTTGCAGCTATATCGGGTTTGGGGGTTTTCCTCCGCCGCTTTTATAAGGTCCCAAGTATTTTACATATTTCCTATCTTCTCACTAGTTTGAGAGTCAAGAAAATAAAGATTACTATGTTATGTACCTTATATATGTACAAAAGATCTTTATGATTTGCTGTCCCCCACTGGGCTTGGCACAGATTATACCGCGTTTAGGCTCTCCGAGTAAAAACATGGCCAGAAAGGTTGGTGTATTTCCGTTGCTAGGCAAAAGATTTCTTGCGCACGCCTTCGCCTCCACTCGTTGCGAGATCAAAGTGAATGTATCGAAGATATGTGGAAGCCCGAATTCCCTTTTCAAGATCATCAACACTTTTACTTCTTACAGCCCCGGAACGCCATACATTAGTGTGTCTCTAGGAGGTCCGATTGAGATGGCTCACAATACCTTACGGTTACGATGAAGATCACCTACGGTTTGACCAACGATGAGATAATCCTTACAGATATAAAGCCAATCATTATACAGAACGGCCCTTTTTGCATTTGCGCTTGACTACACCGTCGCTACCACAATTACGATCTATAGTCTCTAGACGATGATAACTCCGGAGTGGGAGTCGTATAATTATTAATAGAATCTACTTAGTATAGTCGTAGAGGGCGGAATTAAGGTGAACGTTACTAATAACGAGGCTTTCTTACCTCCAAAGGGTGAATGGATCTATAGCGATTGGTGATCGATTCTAGTAGGATAGTAGGGTTAACTAGTGGATTTGGGGTGATTGGGAAGAATACGCTCAGTAAAAGTGCCAGCCTAACTTGGTAGCAAGTCGCTGATCCCTCTGATAAGGGAAAACTGAAATGATTCCCAGGTCTAGAGTCGAGTTCGCTATCGGTAACATATAGATTATTCAATTCACAAGAGCGAACTATTTCACGCCTGAGTAATAGCTTGTCAATTTCGTCTAGGCCTAACAGAAAGTTCAAGTAGATATATAGCTAAGGATATGCCGAGTTAACGATTTGTCCGAACTCCAGAAACCTCCATTAGCCTCTTAGTCTAATTACTATAATGATACATCTCTGCCACAATCTGGTGATAAGAGTGAATAGTAGATACAGATGTATGAGTCTGATTTGAACACTAGACTATCTACATCTATCAACAACGTCCGATGCTTATTATTTGAAGCTTTGGGAAATTATATAATATGTAGGCTACTCAGCTCATTATATTGTGCTTTCTGGGGGGTAGGATGAGAACATCGGGAAACGGTTTTAACGATTAATGAATTAAATGATTAATGCACAAAATAAAATGTATTCTCTAAAGTCATACATAAGATCCATAATTTCCAGATATTGTGTTTGATGAAAATGGGGTTTGTGTAGTCCATAGTAGACTGAAGTCCAATGATCTGCAGATCGCCAAGTCCCCCGAGCTCCCGCAAATTCACGTCTTTCAAGATTCAACACTCTCACCCGAGTCCAATCTCTCTATGCTTCGATCATGGACTAGTAGCGGTACGGTCCGCTCTCTTTGCGCTCGACGCTTGACTCGGACACCCCTTTCATTCCCTAAAGCCCCATTCTCCTCCGCGCCAAACCGCTATCTCCAACCGCCGGCCTCTGCAGATCGCGTCCCCCTCCGCAAACAACTCAAGCAGGAAGCTAAAGCGCTGCGGTCACACAAAAGACAACGCAAAGAAACAGCGGAGGCTTCGAGGGAAGAATGGGAGCTGACAGTGGGTGTGGAGATCCACGCGCAATTGGATACAGAGACCAAACTATTTTCCCGTTAGTACGCCTTTACCTCGGAGACTACGAATCATCTTCTCATAAATTGAATAGGAGCAGCAACGTCGACAAGTGATACCCCCAATTCCAACGTCGCCTTGTTCGATCTGGCGTTTCCGGGTAGCCAACCAGTTAGTGTTATAGTGTACAATACTGTGCAATAGGGCCAGGACTGATCTGAGACAGGCATTCCAAATCGCAACACTTCTACCAGCTATCCGCGCTGCTATTGCACTCAATTGTGAGATACAGCCAGTCAGTCGGTTCGATCGGAAACATTACTTCTACCAGGATCAACCGGCCGGGTATCAAATCACACAATACTATGGTAAGTTATTGACCCTCTTCAAAACGTGAAATATACTTACCTGCTTTAGAACCTTTCGCACGAAATGGCTACGTTGACCTATTCGATTACGATGGAATCGCCCCGGAAGACGGTGAACGGGTCCGTATTGACATCAAACAACTCCAATTGGAGCAGGACACAGCCAAATCCCAGGAATACCCGCCCTCGACACAACTCCTTGACTTCAACCGCGTGTCCCATCCTCTTATCGAAATTATCACCATGCCCCAAATCCACACTCCGGCAACGGCCGCGGCATGCGTTCGGAAACTACAAGCCATTGTACAATCGTGTGGTGCTGTGACTACGGGAATGGAGATGGGCGGTCTTCGTGCAGACGTCAACGTCTCAGTCCGTCGCCGAAGTGAAGAACCCGGACAATATCAGTACGACGGGATCAGCGGGCTGGGTCAGCGTACCGAAATTAAGAACCTCAGCAGCTTCAAGGCGGTAGAGGACGCCATCATTGCTGAGAAGAACCGTCAGATCGAGGTGCTTGAGAGTGGCGGTGTCATCGAAGGAGAGACGCGTGGATGGACAATCGGCAGCACTGAAACTCGTAGACTTCGCGGCAAAGAGGGCGCGGTCGACTACCGCTACATGCCTGACCCTGATATTCCACCGCTGATCATTGGAGAGGACCTGCTCTCTAGTCTCAGAGAGTCTATTCCGACAGCCCCAGATGCACTTCTTACACTGCTCGTCGGATCCGAGTTTAATTTACCAATCGAAGATGCCAAACCACTCATCGAGCTGGACAACGGAGCCCGCCTCGATTACTATCACGATGTGGTGGATATCCTCCGCACTCTGCAAGTAGACCAAGACGACAAAACGCGCGCCAGTCTTGCACGGGTGGCAAGCAACTGGGTCTTGCACGAGCTGGGCGGTCTCTTGGCCAAGGCAGACCGGGCATGGGACCCGGAGATCGTCCCAGCCCGGTCTTTGGCCCATCTCATCGACCACCTGCAACGGAAACTTATCACCGGTCCCACAGCTAAACGGGTGCTGGCCACCATCTTTGACGGGGACCATCGACCAGTGCCGCAATTGCTAGAAGAGGACAATCTTCTACTGCGGCCGCTGTCGCGGGAGGAATATCTAACGCTGGCGGAATCGGTCATTGCCCTGAACCCGCAGATGGTCGAGCAGATCCGCAGCAAGAATCAGCTGGGTAAACTGGGCTGGTTTGTGGGACAAATGATGCGGACTGGTGAAAAGGGCCGTGTGGAGGCGCCTAAAGCAGAGGAGGTTCTCCGGGAGTTAATTCTGGGATAGCTTGTATAGTATCGCATAAAATGTATTCTATGGCATCAATGATACCCTCTTTTGATGATGGCCAAGGCCGGTCTTTTCAATTATAATTTCCAGACCTCTCCCGGACCTCCAATACCACATGCTAAGGCCCGGAAATGAATTGTAGAAATTGCCGGTCTGTCCTCTACTGTAACAGGTCAAAGCTAAATCTTTGTGGGACACCGAATGGCCCTAAAGGGGGGAGCTCTCCTCAACCTGTACTTAACGGAAGTGATGGAGATCCGGCGGAGTCACTTTGATCGCTAAAAGCAGTTTTTAGCGACTTCGCGGGCATTGCGCAAGGAATGAAAGCACCGCCCCGGTTGAACTCGGGGACAATGTGAAAGATAGTTTGAGACATATGAGATATTTAAAGGGACGAGTTATCCTCTTATTTCTCTCTTTTCAAAGAAAATTCATCGACATCATCTTGATTCTTATCTTTATCTTATCTTGATCTTCGATAGCTCGATACCTGAATAGCTCTCTTTCTCT